GACCTCCGTCGGGGAAGCATTTTTGGCCCATCTTTCGCAAATGGAAAAGGCCCATGCTACCAATTTGAAGACTCGCGATTCTGCGAATAAGAAGCTGGAAACCATGCAGCCGAAACAAAACGTGACAATCTGGCTGAATGAGTGCCGAGAATGGGCGTCCGATCTCACTGATGCCTGGGATCTGAGCTCCCTACTCGTCAAGCCTTTCCAGCGCGTGCTCAAGTACCCTCTTCTCTTGACCTCTCTCCTGGAGTCCACGCCTACGGATCATCCCGACTACGTGAATCTCGCCGCGGCTCTCCAAAAGACAAACGAGATGACGGAACGTCTCAACAGATTGAAGGGTCGAATCGAACTCTTTGATCAAGCCCTGGGGCGCGGCCGCAAAGAATCGGATGTGCGTGCGAACCTGACAAAAGCATTTGGACGCCGTACAGAGAAACTGCGACAACAAGTTGGCTTGTCAGATATACTCGATGACAAGGTCTACGCTGCAATGGCTTGTAGATTCGATGAGAAGATGTTGCAGTTGCGGGTGATTGTGTCAGATATTGGGTTATACAATTCCCAGGCTGAACAATTCGCCGAGCAACTACTCGAGGTTTCCCTCGCGATTGAAGAGATGATCGATGTCGCAAAGACAGGCTATCCTGAATTGGAGAGCAAGTGGCGTCACTTCAAGGCGACGACTGTTGAGATTCGCACCGTAGTCGTCACTGAGCATGTCAGTTACTCCACCATCCATCCAAAACAAGCTGAGCCAGAGTATACTAACATTTGATTAGATCGAAGCCGTCCAGAAAGCTGTCAGGCAGCCAATCGAAGAACTTATCGCCATGCACTCCAAAGCGTTTCGAGCCATGCAGCGGCGCGAGAAGCGATTACTTGACCACGCGCGTTACAAGGTCCTCGAGGAACGTGGCGATACTCCTGACAAGAAGCTCAAGGAGCAGGAGGCGCATTTCCAAGCCATTGATGAAACCTTGAAGGAAGAACTTCCCCAACTCTACAATCTGTCGTGGAAGCTCACGCAAGCCTGCCTCAAGAACTTTGTCACCCTCCAGTCCTCTTTCCTTATGGCACTACAAAGGAAATTAGAGCCTCATGTGGAGGGCCTACCGGTGGACTTCCCGGTGGACTTCCAGAAAATTCTTAGCGATTGGACCAATGACCACGGTTTTGCCGAGGCTCAGGTCCTCACGCTAGGTATCTGCAATGGATCTTTGCTAGCTGACGCGGTTAACCTGGTCAACTTCAATACGCCCTCAACGAACGTCAATTCACCCCGCCGACCTTCTACCGTTAACAGCTCCAACCATCGTCCTGACTCAATGACGGAAGACTCGCCCAAAGTTTCTCACGACTATGGTGGCGTTGGCCAGCTTTTCCAATCCCCTCAAATCGACAGTCAATCCAGCTTCAGCCGCACTCGTGCCAATTCCACCTTTTCCGGCCGAGCACCCCCGGAAACACCAGAGACCGGTCGCAGTCAGCTTTTACAGCAAATAACAAATTCATCATCCACCCCGAGTATCGCGCAAGCCCCAAAGCCCGCGGAGACAGAGTCTTTCCCAAGTCTTCCAAGGCTGAGTCTCGACACGCCTTTCCTTGCAGAGATGATCAGCGCCTCGTCAAGTGATCATAATCTACCAACTTCTCCAGCTGGTCGATACTCTGGCTTTTTCTCCTCCGCTATGCCTATGTCGGACAACCCTCACGAGGAGAACCATGTCGAGAACCACCCGCCAGTTGAGCATCACCCAAGCGAGCCTCGGGTGTTGTTCCTCGCAGCCAGTGTCGAGCAGTTCCATTACGAGGGGGAGCGCCGCGGCGAAGCAGGATATCCGTATCTTACCTATGAATCTGGGGACATCTTCGATGTAATCGGTGAAAAGGGTGAGCTGTGGCTTGCGCGAAACCAAGATGATGATTCGCATCAGGTCGGGTGGATCTGGAACAGGCATTTCTCCAAAGTTGGCTCATGATTCAAGTTCTTCAGAATAGAACCTCTGACTCCTCTTCTATTTCATGCATCGCATATTAAGCCCCTGCTTCCCTCAACCGGCTTTATTTCTCACTCTCTATTTAGCGGGCCATATGCCATATTTCCTTTTCCCTTTCCTTTCCATATTTCTTCATTTTTCCTGTATTCTCAGGGTATGCGTGATGGATCTACTATCTACTGGAGCTTTGGGATGTAATTTTAGATACCCCTCTTTTATGAATTCGGTTATTCTTGTCTTCATCCTTGTAAACAGCAAACCTGGCTATTCTAGACTGTATCTACAAGTACTAATGCCACTAGTTCTTAGGACATAGTATGTGAAGCCTTCCCTTCCAAAAGAGGCAACGATCCCCACGTGACCTACATGTGACGTGACCCGAGGAAGGTGGGAAATGCCAGGGCAAGTCAAGTTCGCATTTGCTGCGATCTCCAACCTCAATCCTAATCTTGTACAGTCCCACGAGGTCCCATACATCCTCCGATTAACCTTGTGCATTCCGACATTATCCCCCTCGGTCCAGACCTGCACTCTGCCCTGGCACCACCACTTGCGACAAAACCACTTCCGAGCATACCCAGCCCAAGCCCGAATCGCACCGCAATAGAAGAACCTTGGACCAGTCGCGCGAGGCCCGCTTCCCTGTCTCCGATTTCCGGCGTGTGATATCTGACAGGAGAAAAAGCCCATATTCGTTCGCTGCTTCACTCCAAGTCTTCTTACCCCTCTACGTCCTACACTGCGCACCCACCTTCGTTGTCACCATAAGGCTGACGGCCTCGTTCCCCGAAACCCGGCCTCCCCGTCCAATCCAATCCGCAGCGCCCGTTAACTGCCCCACCTACTGCAGAAACCAAAGAACTGGGGTTTGATTACGACGCTCTGCGCCGCGGTTCATTTGCCTTTTTCTTCGCCGAAATTAGCGTCACGAACATACTCGTCTTGCTCTCTTTGCCACTGGTCTTTGCACGACTGCCTGGGGCCTTGATATCTGTCGAGTCGGTATATTGTTCTATTCTATTTATAGCAGCGATTGTCATTGTCGATCTTGCTGTGCTATTCCGCAGTCCTTTGGTTCTTTCTGGTGCCTGATTCCTTTCTGGTCTTTCCTAACGGAGAAGCGTTTGGTCCTTGTGTGGTTGTGGATTGTGTGGCGCGCCAGAACGTCTGTGGCGACTACGGTATCCTGCTCATTGAGATCTCATTGATCTCTTCTTTTGCATAACCTTCATCTCATTGTTCCGCTGAGCAGGTCTAGCCACCATGTTGGACGGGGGCTTAAATAAGTTGCATAAGCGAATGCGGGGACGGTTTAGTGATATGGTGAGTCTATCTTGAAGAGTTTCCGTGTGATTGGCCGCTGATTCTTCCTAGTTGACGCCAGATGATGCCTATTTGAGCTGTGAGTTGTGTCGCATAGGCAATCTTGCAGGGGTCCGTGGCATATGAAACTGACGAAAGCATTTTGACCGTATTCAGACTATGATGTTCGATGTAAGATCGGTGATCGTGATGACCACATTACATAAACCAAAGCTTACATTTTTGATAGTGACACGAGAGGACATGTTGACTCTAAAAAATGACTGGCTCACAGACAACGTGGGTTATCTCACGACCATCCATCTTAACTAGAAGCTAACCTATCACAGGTTATCTCATTTTGGGAAGAGTAAGTCTCTACCAACCAAGCCCACAAGCCTTCCCCGGGCCCACGCGCTCATAATCAAATCTAGATACCTAGAGCACGAAGTCCTCGCGAAACAAAAATCCTCCAACATCGTCCTCCTCCGCCCAAGCATGTCATTCATGATCCTCCAAACTCCAAACCCGCACACCCTCAAAGACGCCCTCCCAAGCTTCGCCGGCGTCTCCCACGTCTTCCTCCCAATAAACGACTGTCGCAATGTCACCCAAGCCGAAGGCGGAACACACTGGTCCTTACTCCTAATCTCAATCGTCGACCGCATCGCCTTCCACTACGACTCCCTCTACCAAGGAAACGTCTGGGAAGCGCACACAGTAACGCACAAATTTGGAATTCTCCTCAACATGCAAATCCGCTTCATGCCATTGAATGACTCACCCCAGCAAGAAGGCGGTAGTGACTGTGGCGTCTTTGTCTGCGTGAATATGCGCCAACTTCTTGAAAAGCGCCTTCTTCGCGCTAGTGCGCATGAGAAGGTTAGCATGAGTCTTGGTGGGCAGAGAGTTGATGCTAGTCATTCACGGAAGGAAATGGCTAAGATTATTGAGGGGTTTCGTAAGGAGGGTGAGCGTCGGAGATCGTAAGTTAAACCGCCTTTATTTTCCTTTTGTCTTGTTTCGTACTAACTTATTTCTTTGCAGAGCTAGTCTTAGTCGAAGCCCGATGGGAAAGAAGTCGAGGAGTCCACCACGCATTGAATAGCCTGTTTATTTATGTTTACGAGTTTATGCCCGTTCGATGTCTACTTTCATGCATACATATTTTCGTGTTTTATGTTTTTAGGAATGCCGAGATCCCCTTTTCGGAGCGGTATAGCGTTGCATAAATTCTGATTTCTGCAGTGATGTAGGAGTGCACTAATACTAGCCCTGGAGGTAGTCCTTTGTATTAATCTTAATGGCCCCCGTATTCAAGTTTGTCTTGAATCCTCGAAATTCCATTTTGGATTATATTTTGGGTTATAGGATAAAAAATACTAACTTAAAGGTGATGATGCTAGTAGTATTCAAGTAGTAATCTGCCTGGGCATATAGTAGTTACTAGGCGCCATGCTGCACTGGTCCTCCTAGTGATAACTACCGTGACCTTAAGCCTAGAATGACTCACTATTACTATTACCCGAGTCCACCAACGTTACATTTTAAGGTTGGGTCACTACTATTTTAGGCTTGGCCCCCACTGGCATCCGTTATCACGTCAATCTCCCGAGGTCGTCTGCCTGGCGGCTACAACACCCTTTAATCAACGTGATAACTTCCTTACTCGTGTCTCTAGATTGCCAATCAATCATGGCAAATGAGCAACACTCGTCACAATGCCACCTCGAACCTATCGACCTCAATCAAGAGACTCAGTTCACCGAGCTCCAAAGACAGCGAACTCTCTGTGGCTGGGACTACGAGCAGCAAACCCTACAATCATGGAAAGAGAACACGAACACCAAAAAGCTTTTCTGGATCACAATTCCCGATCCCGAAGATAAAGACAAGTCTATTCGCGCGGGCCATATATCCCTCGACCCGTCATCTGGTATCCTCCAACCCGGTTTACTACAAGACGACGAGATCGACCTCACCCTGAAGACCTTCTTCATATCACCCGAACACCGAGCTCTTAAACTCGGAAAGAAGGCGGTGCAGTTACTCGAAAATTTGGCAATCAATAAGCCGCACGGTGATCCACGCTGTCGTTATCTCACGCTGTGTGCTATAAGCAAGAGATACGTATACGATGAGGAGTGCCGAGGGTTGTGGTCGAAAGTTGGGATGGCCGAGCCACCATTCAGTATCCAGGAGTGGTATGAGAAACTCGGTTATGTCACATGGAAGGAGATGCCATTGACCGAGGCAACTTCTTTGGATGGCGAGGTTTTTCGGGTGTGGGAGGCGTTGATGAGGAAGGACCTACGAGAGAACTTGAATTTATAAACCCTGGTATATACTAATCAACAAATTTGTCAGTGAATAAAATTATTCTCTTTGGTTATTTTTTCTTTTGAAACTTGTATTAAAAGGCATTCGATTATGCTATGCCATAGGGCTCCCAGTCATATTTCGGCCTATCATAACCTGTCGCGCCCCACTTGATGAAAATACCATATGCAGCTAAACACGTATCCATATCTAAAGTCACTGAGTATCCTCTGCCGTTGTATATGCGAAAGAAATGCTTAGATTGCGTATCAGCATCAAGTATCGCGCCTTTATCGAGAAAAAGTCGAAGAAGTTGACGATCTCCTCTTTCGATAGCATGCATCAGGTTCGTATAACCATCATCGCCTTTCGGGTTGAGATCCACCCCACGTTCGATGACGGGCTCTGCCAATGAAAAATGGCCAACCTTGACGATAGCCTGAAGAAGAGATGTCCCATCATCTGTTTTTGAATTCGGATCAGCTCCCCCAGCAAGTAAAAGCTTGAGAATATAAGGAGCGAATTTTCCTCGGGAAGGATATCCTTTTTGAACGAGATTGAAGATAACAGGGAGCCCCCGGGAGCTCTTCGTATTAGGATCTGCTCCCTTTTCGAGTAAGATTGCTGTGATTGGGACACTCTGGGGATTGTCTAACAGCTCTCCTGATGTGATCACCGAAAGCGCACTAACTCCGTCATCTTCTTTCTGATTGACATTTGCGCCATGTTCTAGTAGGACATCAACCATCTGGAGATAACCAAGGCGACATGCTGAGATAAGTGCAGAGTCAAACTCTGGGGCATGTAGATCTATTTGTGCATTTCTCTGTAGAAGCAACTTGACCAGAGAATAATTGTTGTCTCGAACAGCTCTACCTAGAGCAGTATTTACCCGGCCAACCTTGGGATGAAGATCAGGTTTTGCACCATTGTCCAAAAGAAGCTTGACAATGTGTCCCTTATTAGATGCAACAGCCTGCATCAAGGCAAACTTCCCAGTTTTAGTAATGATGTTAGGGTCAGCACCATTATGTAGCAGAAGCGCTATCATGGCCATGTCTCCACTCTCGACAGCTTCGTGGAGCATCGTTCCACCCTTTATCGTAGGATTGGGATTCGCTTCCTTTTCTAGAAGAATCTTGACCATTGACAGATTCTTCAGTCGAACCGCTTTCCAAAGTGCAGTTTCTCCATTGGAGTCTGCCTCCTCCAAAGACGGGTCTTTGTCGAGAATCAGGCTGACAAGTGTAGGGTCGTTGGTGTCAGCAGCCAAAAGCAGTGAGCTATTTGCTGCCTTCCCTGTTGTGATATTCGCTCCCTTTCCCAGAAGCAGTTTTGTCATCGCAATGTTCTTCGACTTGATTGCCTTGTGCAGGGCAGTCTCTCCATCGGCATCCTGTTCGTTTGGATTGGACCCTTCTTCAAGGACGATCTCAACTAGGGAAACGTCATCCGTGCCCGCTGCCAGAATAATGGGTCTCAATCCACCCTCTGTGCGCTTGTTGACATCGGCCCCATTTTGTAGGAGGAGTTTGACCAGCTCTGTTTTGCCCTTCCGAATAGCATAAAGAAGAGGAGTTTGGCGTTGATCGTTAATCAAATTGATCACCATTTTTCGCGTCGCTCTCAAGAAGAAGCCTCGTGGTCTCCAGTTGACCTTTGTCACCATTCTCATCCTTGGGTTCGTGAATAAGTGCCCAGTGTAAAGGCGTGTTGGAGTGAAGTCCGCTGGTGTCTGCCTTTGCCCCTGCATTCAACAGTAATTTGACGACCTTGTCGCGACAATTCATACATGCAATGTCCAGGGCTGTTAGTTCCTCGTCATCTAGCTTGTCTATTTCGGCACCATACTGTAACAGTAGATGAGCTATTTTTGCACATCCACGCCCTGCGGCTATCATCAGCATCGTCCGACCATTAACGGGCACGACGTTCACATCAGCGCCATTTTCCAACAAAACTTTGACAACATGTTCTTGGTTACTATGTATTGCTGATACCAAAGGCCCGCTTGGTCTCATGGAATTATCAATCTCACGTGCCACTGGAACGCCCACATCGAGTAGCAACTGGACAATACCATAGTGGCCATACTTTGCTGCTGTTTCAAGAGCATGAAAGCCATGGCCCGATGCAACAATATTCGCGCCATTGTTGACAAAAGTCCTGAGAATATCAATATGTCCATTTACCGCACACACAAACCAAGCAGGCCGACGACCGTATTTATCCTGGCTATTGATGTTTGCGCCCTGGCGGATTAGATCCTTAACCGAATAAGAGTCACCCCGCTCAACGGCATCTGCAAGGCTGTTTGTGCTGTGAGTGACCCTGTATACCAATCGAGAAAATGTGCTCCTTTGTGGGCGAATTGGAATCCTGGGTCTTGGATAACCCTGAAAACTAGCCGTTGACGGCGTGGCCTTTTCGATCAAGCTTTCAGCGGTAGAAGGGGGCGAGGTATGTGAAGTCTTCGTATCACTGGATAGACTTGATGATTTCTGGCCCTGAGATCCAGAATCATACATTCCGTAAAGGTCACCATTCATAATAGCAGACTCCAGCTCCTCGTGAATAAATCCCCTATTCTTTTCAAAAGCTTCGTGGTCCAAGCCAAGATCTTCCAACTCCTCACGTATTTTTGTCCATGTGCTTTCCTCGTTCAAGGATAGCGAACCGACAGAGAGATAGGAAACAATGGAAGCAGTTTTCTTCTCATCCCGAGACTCTTTTATCCATCGCTTGATATAACGAATGACATTTTCTTGAGATAGCCTGGTCATTCGGTCATCCGGTGGTTAATTTGGGCAATGAATAAGTAGGATATGAAGCAGCAATCATCAAACTCACCTAATCAACTGCGTATTCAGCATCGTGAATGTTTGCCTCGAAGATGTGATTCGGGCTTGCATCCCGGTCAGACTGCTTGCGCCTATTCCAGTGCGTTCCCATGCAACTCTGGAGTGGGATGGGAGGTCATCATAGTATTTTTGCAACTCCTGCAGGTCGTTCAGGACCTCTTGACATTGCTGAAACTCTTTCTTTAGTGCAGGAAAATATTGGTCGTCTTTTTTGAATTCGGGATATTTTGCGACCGCAATTCCGAGGGAGGGCATTAACTGGTCGAGTTCGTGTTGGACCCGGTCAAACATATCTGGATAGGAGGAGGCGACGAAGGCAGCATTTATATTGTTGGCTAGGTTTTGGATTGTGGTATGGACTGCTCGTCTCATGTTAGGTTTCCGAAGTCGCCAAAATCCAGATTATACAGAACATACTGATGTTGATGTCACCGTTCGACGAGAGATTCCCAAAGATCGCCCCGCCTTCGGTTTGATTTGTCGTTATTTGCCCCTCGGAGGAGGCCATGTTGACGTTTCCAGTTTACTTGACCAGCGAAGGCAAATATGAAAAGTTTTCGGACGTGTGAAGCCAGCCGCTCCTGGTGGGGTAGATAGAGAGTGCTGGGACTCTGTTCCCTGGGTGCTAGGTTCAGTTATTTGCCCGGGCAAAAGAAACTCCTCGGGCTGAGCCTACTCGTGTCAGCTGCAGTTTCCAGCAAACGCTTACAAAACGAACCTATCACCTTGCTCGGCTTGCATTGCCCCTCTCGCGAGCCTCAACTTTCGAGAAGACAGAGAATGAAAACGAGAGACCATAAGCGAGAGAATATAAGGAAGAGAATATAAGGGAAGAATTCCCGACTGAGACTTTCCTCAAGTATCATCCAAGATGTCCGAACTATACTCAACCAAGGGAGATTACGGTCTCAAATTCCTTCATGAGCCCCCCTAATCCGACTGTAGAGTACATGATCCTTTCTCATTGCTTTTATGACAGATTCAACACTCACACTTCCATCGCAGCATTGTTTTTGTCCACGGACTGACAGGAAATCGAGAAACAACCTGGACATGGTCTCATAAAAGGGAATCCGTATTCTGGCCCCAGGACTTACTGAAAGAAGATCTGCCCAACGCACGAATCATGACATTCGGCTACGATGCGGATATCGTTCACGCGCTAGCTATCGCTGGCTCTAATACTTTGCGCGACCACGGAAAATCCTTCGCACATGAGCTTGCGATGAGACGGAAAAGGACCGGCGCAGTATGTGCACCCGAGTCTTTTAAACCCCCATACAGAGATCTGTACAGCTGACCAGTCTCTCAAAATTTAGGAGCATCGTCCTCTGATTTTTGTCGCTCATAGTTTAGGGGGGGCTTGTGATCGAACAAGCACTATTGGTATGCCGTGGCGAGGCACATTCATATTTCAAAAGCATACTCTCTAGTACTTTCGGCATTTTATTTCTCGGCACACCACACGCTGGATCTGGGAAAGCAGACCTCATGAAGCCTCTCGCCAGTCTTGCCAAGGTATTACGGGCCTCAAATAGCGCGATTGTCGGTGTCCTGAAACCTGGCTCCGAAATGCTTGCAAATCTGCAACAAGAGTTTCATGGAATGCTAGAAGATCGCCGTCGAAATGATAACAACCTTATAGAAATATTCTGTTTCTATGAAGAGCTGGAGGTCGAGGGAATCGGCAAGGTTAGTACAGGTTAAATATTTGGTCGAGGAAACCAAGTCTCACACTTTCCAGATTGTCCCGAACTATTCAGCCATTCTGAATAACTATGGAAATCGCAGTATTCACGGTAACCATATGCAGATGACACGATTCAGCGGCAAGACAGATCAGGGTTATGTGGCTGTGAGCGACCAACTCTGGGCATGGGTTGAAACAATCGAGTCACGGTCGTTACCAGAACCTGCTACGCCCGTCACGAACCATAGAAAGCACAAGACCATTGAATCAAGTGGCGGTCCTATCTTCTTAGGTAATGCGGCTGCCGGTCGTGATTTCAATATCAGTACTCAAATGCATGGGTTCTATCCTTCGAAGGGAGAATAATTCAAATGATTTATATATGAGGTTCATGATGTACACTACTGATATGCAGCTATTACGGTGCAAGATTGTGGCAGCTGGGCTATTAGTAGTTATCAATTCAAGCAAAGAAGATGACGAGCAATATAACTTGAAGTAACTTTGGCTTATACTACCCTCGCATAATCTTCAATCTGCCCATTTGTAGCCCGACCTGGCCCCAGGAAACCTTATCCCTGATCATACGCCATCACACACCTGCTATCTTTGTTCCAAATCCTTTTTAATGTATTGTGAAATTTTAAATCATAGAAAGGAGGTAGCATAAAAGCTCAAACTTATAAAACACTCCCGGTTGCAAGATAGATCAAAGTTTGTCCCAGTGGACAGCTCGCAGATGCTGTTTCATATTATCCTTGCGATTGAAGACCTTCTGACATTTGTAAGGGCATTTGAAAGCCCCCGGCGCCCGATGCTGAGTTTGAATATGGCGATTGAGCGTATATCGATTAAAGAATGGGCTGGTGTTTTTGCATCCCTCCTCTTTGCAAATTAGTATTTGGGAATCCGTTCTGTTATGAATTTTTATCAGCACCATACAAAGCCGAGCTTTCGAAAGATGATATCGCAACATACTTCGTCTTCCTTTGAAGCTGGTGGTAGGAGGGGTTTTCTTTGCTTGCAATTGGCCCTTCCGTTGTATTCTGAAAGATAGGGACTTGATTTCCCGGATTCCAGGTCAAGTTCGTCTTAGGCACATCATAGCTCGGGGCAATATCTGGGAATGCCGGTATCTGATCCCAAGCAAGAAGATCTAGCTCCGCCAAGGTGGTATCCAGTAGAGCCTCTCCAAAGGCACTGCAGGCACTTGGGCTTACAGAGTACCCTTCTGGTTGAATCATTCCATGAACTTGCTTTTGGTTGCCGAAGAGGTTTTTATAGACCAGATGTGGAGCGATGATCAAATCTATATCAGATTGAATAATAATGAGATGGCTTGCGATGTAATAGCGGAAATCTTGGAATTGAACTTTCAGTCCTGGAGAAGATCGAAAAGGATAATTTATAAGGATATTTAGGGCGCAGACTATCCCTGGCGTAATCGATCGCGACTGGCCGGAGGCATGGGCGGAGGCATTGGGCGGAGGTGCAGCCAAGAGATTGATTAGCCTAGCCAATGGCGAATGTCGCGGGCACGGCCATATAACTACCCCGGCTGGCCCTCGCTTTGACATTTCGATTTCGATCGGCCCCAAATTCCGGATTCCACAGATCTGAAATTTCACCTACCAAAAAATCACTCAACTATCATGCAGCAGCCGGCGGTGGCCTGACACTTACACTAGGAATACGCCTAGAGTAGCGTCACCGTATTTTTGGTGTGAGGCTCTGCCCCCGTCAATCGCCGCTGCAGAACCTGAAGATTCGCTCATAAGTACACACCCCACACGCGTCTTCTGTCACATAGCGTGGCGTTTTGCTCACTCTAGAAAGCAAAAGTTCTAAAGAATCAGTAACCAGAAAATGCGTCCAGATTCAACAGCTTAGTCTCTAGTGACGCGGTCCCAGATGCGCGCCGACTAGTAAATTTCATAGTAAGGAAAGATGGCATAGCTAGTCTGGACAGTCACACTAGGCCTAAAGTGATGTATTGGTTGTCGCGCGACGACCAAGAGATTCTTTTGGGCCTGGTTAGTGCATATGTTAGGGAGTGGCGTAGACTATTTTTGTTTCCAAATTTGCGGGAACGATATAATCATGGTCGGTATTTACGATTGTTGCACTTACGAAACTGACAGTCCCACGTTGCTACCTAGCTATACTTGCTGCTGCTCGGGATGAATCTTAGCATACCTCAGGATGGGTATACTTTCACGGGCGGCGTGTTAAGGTACTTGACTAACATTGAAATTACCAACTCAATCTGAGAAATTAATTAAAAATATTCTATTATACAAATATTCTAAATATGAACTAAACAGTCATTGCCAAAACCTAAGTCATCATCGCATTCCAAACATCCGCAGCTTCCTGTCCGGACAAGTTGGCAGTAGCATCCTCCGCCTCGTAGCACCTGTCAATGGTCGCCTGGGGCGCATTACAAGGAGTCCTTAGACGATTGCAGACCAAATCCTCGGGAGCACCGATGGTAGGCGATGATCCGAAAGTGAAATCCTTCTGGTTGTTGGTGGTATAAGAATACTCCGTGCGGCCATCCAATCCGTACTCCCACTTGATAGTAGGATCCGAGCAGGTGCCGTAGTCAAGACCGCCGCCGTCGGTGCCGCCGCCGGTCTCGCCGCAGTCATCAGATGTGACAGTCTTTGTGACTTCGAGGGTCTTCGTTTGGGTTTTGGTTGAGACTGAGGTGACGATTTGGTTGTTGGTCACGGTGCTTGTTTTGGTGGTTGTTTTTGTGTCCGTCTTGGTCTCGGTCTTGGTCTCGGTGGATCCGGGGAGAGTGACGGTCTCTGCGGCTTGGGTGACTGTCGTGGTTTTGGTCTCGGTTGGACCGGGGGTTGTTACTGTTTGGGTGATTGTTGGACCATCGGTTGTGACGGTTGTGTAGTCGGTTGTTGTGGCAGTACATGCGGTGATGCTTGAAATGAGAGTATCTGTCTCTGTTTCGGTTTCAGTCACGGTACCGGCTGCAGCATCGCCAGTGGTGATTGTCGCAGTGCATTGGCTGATTGTGTCAGTGACTGTGTCGGTATCGGTGACGGTGACGGTGACGGTTCCAGTGCCCTTGCCACTGTCATCGGTAGTGATAGTCACAGTAGTTATAGGTGCAGAAGGGCTGTTTTTTAATTAGAAATTGCTTGGCTCGGACTTGGAGATATTTATTCATACCAATCAGAAGTCACCGTAACTGTCGGTCCAGGACATCCTGATCCGCCTCCACCTCCTTCATGGCCACCTCCTTCGTGGCCGCCTCCCCACAATGGTTGTCGGGACCACCACCTCCATACTGAACACTGGATTGATGGGCAACATGACTAGGCTTGTAGGCAAAGGCCTGGCTGAAAAGCACCTCAAGATTGCCATTTTGGCTGAGATCATCAAAAGATTCGGGTACAGCAGGTGCAGGATGAGCGATTGCCTGAAGAAGTAAGGTAGACAAAGCGAACAACTCGCATCGTGAAGGCATCTTGAATAATTCAAGCGTAAAGAATAGAAGAAAAGAGATAGATTTTAAATTAAATCGAAGGAAAATGAAGAAGCCAAAAACGCCACGAACCTCGGGAGGAACGATAAACTTTTATTCTTCAATTGATGAAGTAGAAAATGTCCGAAGTCGATCTTTGAATAAACAAATATACAACAGTGCACAACGAGTTTAACCGTATATCATCCATAGAATGCCAGCAAGAGCTTTGGTAACCAGCCCAACCAACTACTAGTGGCACCGGAAAACAGTTGCGGATTGAAGTATGCGTGGAATGCGCCCAGGAATGTGGCTGAACCAATTGGACCAACAGTGCCAAGAGCCTCTGCCTTGCTGCTATCAATCTTGAACCTTGGAAGATTTGAAATAAAAATTAGTGAACCCGACTAATAGCTATGTTTGCTAGTAACTGCATTCCTCATCTATAGTATCTACAAAGAATCACATATACCAAGTTCTACAAGAATTTAAGTCATGTTTCTATAGCACAGCATTCCATAACCATATAGCGACTCTGAGAGAAGAAGAACTTGAATAATGAGTGTCGCTAAAGTATACAAGGGGAAGAAATCAAAATAATTCCATGGAACATAGCCTGTCCCTGGGCTCTAGGATGGCACCGCGACCCCTGATCTAGCCCGACCCAAATCATTCGACCTTTTAAACAAGCGAAGATCGATTTGAGGAATGCTAATTGTATTATTCTTCTACTGATCGGACCACCAGGGGTCCAATCTTGATATGAACCCTGATTAGGCCGTGTAGCCTTCTTGGGTAGGACAATGCCAAGAGCTGTGTGTGATGTCGGCATTTACGAATCTGCCGCCAAGAGCAGTTTGATGTAGCTTGTAGGGACAAAGTTCCTTGCTTCCAAATTGAAGGTCTAGTGACTGATATTAGCTCTAGATGACAGGCAACTCTATACAAGCGAAGGACGTGCGCCAACGTAACAGATTTTAAGATACGGATGATGTGGGCCGATAATGCAACATTTGGGTATTGAATTGAATTATATCAAGTAGGGTGTATGGAAAATATGGACAAAAGAATGGACTCGGATAATCAAGACTCTGCAGCAGTAGGAAGTCAATCATTCAAAGAGAATTGCCTGGTCACACAAGAAAGAAACCTAACGCCCCAGTAAGGCCTAGCAAGCAGGAGAGACCCGCCACCGCCAATGGTTGGGCGGCACTCTTCTGATCCGGGCACTCGGCTGGCTCGTTGAAGTAGAGATCACAGTAACGGGCCAATCTAGAGGCCTCCATGCTTGCGAGAGTGGTCTTGTCAATTTGGCTCCGACAAGGATTCGTTGAAGGAGTCGGGGAGGGTGCCACCACGGCGCATGTATGGTTGGTGTATTTACCACCCTCCCAAAGTGCGCTGTTGACATACTTGGTTTTGTCGGTCACATTGATCGCCACGCCTGGTTGCCCGGTACATGTCTTGTTGGCCGTAGCAGCAACAGGGTCCAGCTTTAGGGCAGAGTTGCTGATGGTGAACATGGTTCTCTTAGTAGTAGTGTTGCTGATCACCTCGTTGCCGTATTCGGGGAATTCTAAGTTGCAACTATCCCAGCCTAGGGTCCAGAGTACGCTCCAACGACCCTCAGTATTCAAGGAGTCGGCGAATCTGTGGGCAAAATAGGTTTCCTGGTCTGTCCAGTTTACCCATTGGAGTTCATTCCACAGGTTGTAGACTTTGCCCCCATCCTCGTCCCTTAGACTGTAACTGATTGAGGGGTTTAGGTGTCTCGCGCGCTCGGAATTCTTGAACGCAAAGACGATAGGGAACGTTTCGTTGGGCCCATATGTTTCATTGCGCGGAAAAACCAGATTCACTTCGAGTACATCAGAAGCGTTGATCACGGTCCCCAGATAGGCAGCGAGCATCCAGATCGTCGTTGGAATGTGCATGATGAGGGCGAGTCAGACCTTCGAATTTGACCGCGGAAAGATAGGAGCGAGATTAAACCCGCAGATTTAGGACAATCTGCAAAACAGGGAACCAAATTGGTAAACAGTGAAGGTAAGATTAAAAAGAATATCGGCGGCCACCTCTCAGATAGACTCCGAAGGCAATTAAGTGGGTGCAGGGGTTGGAAGTCCATGTGAGACCTTAGTCCTTGCCCGTATACAAGTGGCGGCTTGGCAGCTCATGGTCCAGTATCAACAACTGGGCTAAAGACCCTGGAAGTTTGCCTCTGCAGTGCGCCGAGCAGCGCGGATTTGGGGCCGCCCCCTGCCAAGCCCTTGGCTTTCGGCTTCCGTGGCCAGTTGCAGTGTTACAGTGCCTAGTTCGAGTAGTCAACGCTAACTAGCAAATACACACAGACCCCATAGGCTCCTGTGACCCTACGGCTCTCTTCGGGTAATTTATCCCCATTGTTCGGTGCATATAGGCTTGTACATACATACTTGGCACTTTCATATCTACAATCCTCCATTTCACCACCGGCATACAGTAAGACCAGGTTCACACACTAGTCAGTAATACCGAATATGATAAGTATAGTATTGTAAAAATGAGCCAAGAACTTTAGAGCTTCAGCTAGGTGGGAAGTAGTAATGAAGTGCGCTAATTTAGTAGAAGTAGTAACTATAGAAGTAGTAAATACCATAAGATAAGATAGATAAGGCCAGGCAGTAAGGTATCCTCACCACTAGTAGGACCTCAAACTACTATATAAGGCTATAGAAAAGCCATACTTAGAGATTAAACATTCATTCATCCAGATTGACCCAGAGTCTATAAGTATACGACCCTAGAATTTCCCTGCAAGAAACTTTCACTAACACTTTCTTTCTCTACAAAGCCCAAATTCAAGCCTCACACAATACATCTCACAGCTCTTCTCACCATCAGAACAGTCCCAGCAATAGGTATAGCCCTGGCTCCCCACACTGTCAACTGCAACTTCACAACCACTGCTGGCGCCGGGGCTACATGAGCTAGCTTTCCCAGCAGCTAGAGACTGTCAGTGGCAAACTTACAGAAGGTAAACCCTGACATCACCTGCCCAAATCTAATAGTCTTACTGCATATTCAGTGCCACCACGAATAAACCAATTCCATCCACGAGCATAACAACCACCACCGACACCACATCCAGCCAACAACCACCGATTCCGCTCCCAGCAACTCTCCCACTATACCCAGCATTGCATCCAACTGTGATGGCTCCTATAAGGTCTCATCCGGAGACCAGTGTAATGCCATTACCAAGAAGCATAGTATTACTGAAGTATAGTTCAAGAGCTGGAACAGCCAAGCCAACACGAGTAAGTCTTTCCTTTTCTCCATAGCTTTCATGGAAATAGGGCTACTACAAAGATCATAACCTAGCAACCAGTATAGAATGCTCAAACCTTTAGCTCGACTACTTTGTCTGTGTGCATATTCCCAGCACAGTCGCCACCTTGGCCCCCCAGCCATCAGCCACTACAGGCCCAACACCCCAGAAACCTGGTATTGTCACCAGCTGTCAGAAGTACCATCTGATTAAGGATGGTAAAAGCTGCTGGTCCATCTGCATGGAGGCGGGTATTACCTTGGTATAGCTCCGTAAGTTATGGGTGGAAAGGCAGCCGTTTCTGGCCTTATAAGTGGTCATTTTCGGCGTTGATCCCACAGGTCTTCATATTCTAGTTGCAATTGTAAAAAAATAAAAATAAAAATCTGCAACAGCAGGTCATTACAAATAAAAATACCGAAGTATATTGTGATTGGGGTTGTAACCTTGGAAATAATGCCGACTCTAAGATGGCCGACATGGATCTATACCCAAGCGGCCTGAGCTCCCCCCTCCCCCCACCCCAACCTAACTGCATACTAGTCCACCATTTCATTACATTCTCCGAGTATAGTTGATTTAAGAACGATTTATTTGCAATAATAACTCATGGCGTACTTCAAGTTTATACTAGACTACGTGTTTGAAGAAAAACGGACTCGAGACCAAAATATATCCTGCTGCTGGAAGCTTCCGACCTCCGTGTCGGGAATCGATACTGGGGCCCGAGGTTCCAGGGGACTCGGACTCAGAGACTCAGAGACTCAGGCTCAAGCCACTACTAGTACTAGTAGTAACTTAGTAACTTTGGAACTTACCTCAATGTACTACCTACTAGGTACTAGTACTGCGCAGGTTCAAGTTCAAAGGCCCGGCTGACAGCCTTAAGACCACATGGGCATAGCATTCCCCTGGGCAATGTACGAAAAGAACTTGAACCTTGCTTGAATTTGGCGAGGAATGTCCGATATTTTACTATTAGTACTAGCTATTTTCGCGATTATCCCCGAGTAGCTATTAATAGACGGACTTGAAGTCTACGTCAATGCCTAATGGGGTTTCTGCGCATATATGCGCAGAAACCCCATTAGTACTAGTACGAACACGAGTCCAGGGTATACCATCAGACAAATTAAGCTTTACATACTCGTACTACTAGCACTAGCACTAGTACTATTACAGGCTTGCAGAAGCCACACATTAGTAGCCTACAGCTACGGAAACAAAATCCGAATGGAATGTGATATTCACGAGGCTATAACCAAAAAAACGAATCCGCCAAGCGACAATGCAAAAAAAAAACGGGTGAAAAAAAGGAGACACCGGCAACACCAAACCATGACGAATAAGAGAGAAGATAAAAAGTAAACAAAAAGGGGGAGAGAACAAAGAAAATAAATAGCCCGTCAAAACATGGATCCCACAAGAAAGAGCCCATAGATATGTAATGTATGGAAAAGTGCAAGAAGGGGAATAGAGAGAGAAGTGAGCAGAAGAGATGAGAGCCCGATCAGCCAGCACCGGCTAAGTCAAAGTCTATACAGGTCATGACAAATGAAGCAATGTGGAAGTAGTGGGTAAAAATGAAGGCGGAAGCGGAAAGAGGAATTGGGATGGAAGGCTGGCGACAAGGGTCTATTTGACCGGAAGCCACCTGCAGAACCAAAGTCTTTATTTAATGAACGCTCAGCGTGTCATGAGAGTCGAGTCGAGCAGATACCCAAGGCTTGCCTTGGATAAAGGTAGGACATGGAAGGACAAAGCAGGGCAGTATAGGATGCAATTGATTTAGGGCGGGGTGGGTGTTTGCCCTAGACCTGGTTGTCGTTTATCGCGGGAGGAGCGCATATACATGGCCTCTGAGTGCGGATCTGAGGACGGGTTGATGGCTCTTGGTATGGCCATCGCGCGCTCCTGGGCTTGTTGCGCGACAACTTCCCGCGCGTAGAATTCTACTAGCATTGTACCGTAGGCCTCCAGTTCTTCAACTGGGATTGCGAGACGGAAGTCGTTTAACAGGAGGAATTGGAGCTCAAGGTGATTCAGCTCTACTAATGGGAGGCCGCCGACCTGCATGATTCCGGAAAAAAAAATAAGTGGATGTCCCTTGCGTGGAATTGAACATTTACCGAGATGGAGTGGAGATGAATGACGTACCTTTGCATATCGGGAATTGGTATAGAACACGTCGGAGAAAAATTTACTCGCGCAGGTCACGCCTGCGATGACCAGTCGATGAATATTAAAGCTATCGACGACGAAAAAGTGGGAGAGGTTTCCGTCTTCGCCTTGGGGATATAAACCGGGTGATATGGAGGAGTTGGGACTCTTTGGGTCCTGTGCGGTCATTCGCGTGGATGATGGCGGGGTTACTATCGCGTGATCCGGTGTATGTTGGTGTTGTTGACGTTGACGTTGGCTGTCGGATGATCCGGATGGTTCAATCGAGGAGCCTTCCCAGCAATTTTGTGACTGGTCCTGGTTGACCAGCTCGGTCATACGGTCAAAATAGACCAGCAAACTGAGGAAGACCTCGTATGTGGTAGGGCAGTATTTATGTATGCGGGTGAGATAGCTGAGGATGGTAATGCTGGGAACGTTTTTGCCGTGGAAGGCAAGAACGCTGGTCGCTTGTGGACTTAGATTGCTTGTCCCGTCGGGAGGTGGAATGTGGCGATGGATATCCTCGTGGTGTTTATCGTTGGTGGTGGTAATTTTGGTGAGAAGGCCAGCGACCATCTCGATGATATCAGTGACGGGCATCGAGCTGATCTCATATTTGCGCGGTTGGAGTCCATGGCCGGGGAGATGTGATCTCTGCGACTGGGCGAGGAAGTCTTCGCTGGCTAGACTCTGGATGTGCGACAAGCTCTGGACACGGATCCGACTCGGGGAGTTGGCTTCGGAGCCAGGTACGGATTGCATGGAGCGGGAGGTCGGGTGTAATCGCGGGGATTCGGGGGAGTTTTGAGCGTAGGTCGAAGGGCCGGAGGTCATAGGGTGGTCATTGTCCTGGTCGGTTGAGGCATGGCTCGGCTGGGACTGGTGGGCGTAGGCATGTTGAGGGTTGGAGGCAGACGAATGGTCGGGTTGAATCCCATAACTAGAGTGAGAGGTCATGGACGGCGGAGGGAAGTGGGAGTCTGGGGTTTGGGGGTGAGAGTGAGGGTGATAGGTGGGAGTTTGGGAATTGATGTAGGCGGGGACATCGTTGGATTGCGCAGCAAGCCGAGCAGAGCCTACGGTTGGCGGGGCGGTCGAGGTGGGGGTCGTGTTGGAGGAGCTCGATCTAGAGCCATCCCGAGGACGTGAGTATCCGTCCTGGTAACCTCCCAGCATCTTGCGATCGATGGGATCCGACACGTGGTGGGGGATGATCACAACGCTCATTCCATGGGGGTGGAGTATCCGGAGGGAGGAGTTGAGTTTAGTGGTTGGAGTGGTTGAACTGGTTTCTGTGGCAATATCACGATGGGATGTTACAGCTGTCAACGATGCCACGATATGCTGGATGTCTCCAGGACGTTGCAATGTCGCAATGACTGTGAGGGGATGAATTAGAGGTTATATGAGAGATTGAGTTTGACGTTGACTCTCGATGATTCAGGAGGGGAGAAAGCAGAAAGCAGAAGGTGGAGAGAAGGAAAGGAAAGGAGGGGGTTTACCTTGGATGACGAAAAGCTAGACCCGGCGATTTTCCAGGTTTTGTGATCAGCGCACTGGAGCTTGTTCACTGATGTTGGGTGGAGCCAGCCATTGCAGATGGGCAAAGGAGATGAATGGATTGGTGAAGTGGTTGAGAAGTGTGAAGTAAAGTGAAGTAAAGTGAAGTGAAGTAGTTAGAAGAGGGAGGTGAAGGAGGGAAGTGGAAGCGGAAGGGAAGTGGAAGGATAGGGGATTCCCGTTTGGACTGCTTTGGTGGTGGTTTGCTTATACTAGAGGACTACTAGCAGAGTACTATTCGACCTGTCCAAATTATACGGGCTTTTACATGAAATGACATTCCAAGGTTTACTCTTCTTCTTTTCTACTCTACTACATAATTCTCCTTGCACTGCTGTACTGCACTGTCTACTACACTGCATTGCTCCGGATAGATCCGTATCACATCAAGCCTCACCGATATGACTGTGTGCCCACTCGGTATATTACCCTAAGCAATTAACTAATAGGATCTCGAGGTTCTGCCTCTGCCCAGAGGGTGTCAACTCTTACTAGTATCCAATGACAGCTCAGGGTGGACACCCGTGGTAGTGAGTGGAGATATCAAGTCCGATGCCATTGGAAGTATAAAGTGGCGGGATCAACATGATCAGAATCCCATACTTTATCAGCAGTAGGGAGACGAGGAACTAGAGGGACGAGAACTAGTCAATAATGTAACTTAAAAGTCTCAGCCCTGACTGCTGTCAGTCCTGACAGCCCAGTCAGTGCTGTCATCTACAATGAATGCTTCTTGCCGAGGATCTACCATCAACTCCATCCAATCCAATCCAATCCAATCCATTCATTTCAGACAATATGCATCTATTAGTACATCATTAATTGGTCACGCCAGGCCCCGTGTACCCATTGTCCGGCAGGTACAGATGTCGCACTGCTCCCTTCTTGGTCAGGACCACCAGACGAATCACGCCGCCCGAGCTGCCATCCCACTTAATCGCCTCCTGCAAGGCACTTCGCACAAAGTCAATTCCCTCTTGCTCGGTCATTTGCTCCCGCCAGTGTGCGTCCGTATAACCATAGATGTAGGTGGAGCCTGAGCCGCCGATCGCGAACGACTGCTTGTGTAGCGATCCTCCCAGCGGTATGGAGTACACCTGGCCACCGTGTCGGGGATCATATCCGGCAATGATGATACCAGCACTATCCTGGGTTAGCAGATGAATCACCAGCGTAGCTGATCGGCAGGGTGCTATCCCAGCGGTCGGCTTCACTCACCTCAGGGCATCCTTGTTCTCATAGCACAGTTCCTGGAAAAGCGAGGCCGCGACCTGTGTGCTGGGGGCTTCGTTGTTGGTCACTCCGTACATGTTGAGGTGGTAGGAGACAATGTCTGCGACGGCTTGGGTGTCAGCCGCCGACCCGGATCGGCAGCACCAGATGGTGTCGTGTACCTGTGTCAATTTGTCGGTGACTCGATTGGCAATGTAGGCTCCGGTGGTTGTGCGACTGTCGGCGCCGAGAATGACTCCGTCCTTGAAGTTGATGGCCATACTGTAGGTGATTGATTAGATGGGAAGTCGGGGGAAGCTGAAGACAGCTAAAGGGAGCTTGTTGTAGCTGGTTGGAGCTTGGACTCACATCGAGGTACCCAGGCTGGAAAAGCGGTTAGTAAACATCCTTCTCTTCGATCAATCATAATGATAGGGGCAGTGCAACTCCAACTTACTTGACCTCACCACTCTTCAAGTGCTGCATATCGACGTGGATGCCATCTGGAGGAGGGAGGCGGGTTAGCTGCGGATGATGAATGACGATTAGCTCGACTGACCTTCACCCAGCATGCCGGTGACGCCGTGTGGTGCGACCATTGTGCTGAATTGTTGAGAATATTGAGTATAGGGCTTATCCAAAGGAAGAGAGGACAAAGAAGATGAGAAGATGAGAAGGGAGTAAGAGTAACAAAAAGTTGATGGGGTGATGGAGGTGAAGGTGGAGGTGGTTGATTATCCAAAGGCAGCAGAAGCTCCCACGCGTCCGGGCGGTGAAGGCAGCCTCAGCCTAGATCTAACACTTTGTTTCTCTCCTCCCCCCCGCAAAGTCAACTCCTTGGCTGATACATCGAATTCCACTCTCTACTCTTCCAACTTCAAAAGTCACTCTTTCAGATTACACCTATATTCACAGACTCGGCCTAGAACTGCGCCCACCTCTACCGGGACTCGCCATGTCCGAATCCCCTCCTCCGCCCCCATCCTGGAGCATCAGTGCCATGGCAAACAACACCATGCAGTTCTTACGTCTGCCTGTCCTGGCTTCATCCGGTCTGGCTGTCGTCGCTAGTGGTCTATTATACTTCAAGCAGAAGTGAGTAGCTACGGCTGTACTCTAACTCTTCAACCTCTCAAGCTTAACTTCCCATTCTAACCACCTCACAGCGAATTGATATATCCCCGCAGTGTTCCTGCCGATGCTCGAACCAACGTCCCCAGCCCCCGACAATTCGGTATCAAGGACTTCGAAGACCTACAGATTCCTACCCCCGATGGTGAATCCCTTCATGCGCTCTTCCTTCGTCCTCCGATGGGCCGTCGTCAGCGCAACCTCACCGTTCTCATGTTCCACGGTAATGCTGGAAACATTGGCCACCGGGTTCCCATTGCGAAAGCTCTCCAAGATACCTTGCATTGCAATGTGTTCATGCTTGAATATAGAGGGTATGGTATGTCGACGGGAACCCCTGACGAAGCTGGTCTGAAGATCGACGCCCAGACTGGATTAGACTACCTACGACAACGCCCCGAGACAAGAGACACCAAGATCGTCGTCTATGGCCAAAGTTTGGGTGGCGCCGTGGCTATCAACCTCGTCGCAACCAACCAGGAAGAGGGGGATATTAGTGGATTGGTTCTCGAGAATACCTTTTTAAGTATCCGCAAGTTGATTCCCAGGTGAGTAAACACAACAAAAGCCTCTTCCCAGTTTATATCCGGCTCTGACAACCATCTCCCAGTGTCTTTCCACCAGCACGCTATCTTGCCCGTTTATGCCATCAGTACTGGTCCAGTGAAGATACCCTGCCGAGGATCACCGATATTCCAATCCTCTTCCTCAGCGGACTAAAGGACGAACTTGTTCCACCCACCAACATGACCCAGCTATTCTCCGTCTGTAAATCCGAGCGCAAGATCTGGCGCACATTACCAAATGGTGGACACAACGATTCCGTCGCCGAACCAGGTTACTTCGACCACATTCACTCCTTCGTCACAGAGGAAGTCATGACCGACGAAAAATGATCCGCTTTTCCATTCCAAACTCGACAGTACTTCACAGCTACAGTATCCGGTCTCGGCTGTCTTAGCCCACCTCCCTTAATGATACCCCCTCTCACGACTGCAAGACAAGACCAGGCCTTTGTATTCATTTTCTCCACCAACCGACTCATTCCCCGCTACAATCTACTTGACTGCTCACCCCAGCACTCTCCGCCGGCGTCGCGCTTATGGGATTTGTATTGTTTCCCGGCGTTCTCTTCATGTCTTGTCTTTGAATTCTATGTTTGATTATTTGATTTTGGGTCGGTGTTGGATTGGTACATGATTTCCTTTTCGGGCTGCTATTCTGTAAATATAATAAGTCATCCCACATGCTTCTTTCTTTTAAAATGGTCGCCGTATGCCTAACGGCAGCTCGAACCCCGAGCCATATGCCAGTGTAAAATAAGAATAGAAAAACGCCTTGCCAAAAGCACATGGCGGGCGCAACGTATGGCCCTCATGGACTCTACTACGAGCCTCGATTTGCTGGCAATAGCCTTGGAGGGATTAAATCAGGTGCTTTTAAAGAATGTGATGTCATCTAGGCGACCTTATAGTTGAACCGCCACTGCTGCCCAACCTTGGAGTTCCCTTCTGGGACAAATGTCGCGCCGGCAGTTTGGGGTCCAAGGATTAGGGTTCTCCGCCACGCACGCCAAGTGGGTATCAACTCCGCACTTACTTCTCTTTCTTGACGTACGTTGTGCTTAACAGGTGCTGATTCGTCCACTGTACGAATTTATAGAAAGTAAATCTACGTCTGCCAAGCTAGCACCGCCAGGAACTCGATTTCGCTGACATGCATTTCAGATTGTCATAGTAATGCTCGAGCCACTTGGCCGAAGTTATATAAGATTGTCTGTAATCCAGATAGAAAGACAATCAGCCTTTTCCATTCAATCGAAAGTGTCGTGTGAGATTCACCCTCACAACAAAGAGTCAAGACACAATGCATTTAGAAAAAGTCATAATCGGATCTATCTTAGGTTTCGCCCTAAGCACAACCGCCCGAATCATCGCCAGCGATGATGTCCCCCCTAATCGGACCATCCTTCATTTCCAACTTCGACCCATCATCCTCAAGGGCCATAGAAAATGCGAAAAAGGTATTTCCAAGTCTTCTCGATAACCTATTCGAGTCTGGCAAACTGGATCGCAAAGACTTGGCATTTACCATCGATGTGTATTCAGCCGCAACAAACGATACTATTTTTAGCTACTCGCACGTCGGAGAAAAGTCGAAGGAAACCCTCACATCTGGCGAATTGAATGATCATACGATATCGCGTACTGGGAGCGTCACTAAGCTCTTTACTGTCTACGCAATCATTGCAAAGGCCGGAATGGGGGTTTTCAGTGACCCTGTAACCAAATACCTTCCCGAGCTCGCGAATAATTCTTCTTCCGGTAATCCTCTGGATAGTGTTCGCTGGGAAGATATTACTGTGGGAGCTTTGGCTGCTCAGCAAGCCGGCTCGGGCGGTATAGCCGGTGAGATCTATCTGATATAGCCACTCGCATGTCGATTCTAACTTATTTCGTCTAGATTTTTTCAAGGCATATCTGGACCCCGAAAATCCATCAGAATATAAACCCGAAGGTCGGTGGAGATACCTCTCTCGTCGTCTATGAGACTAACACATGATATAACAGACCTGTTTACATTCTTCCGTGAGAAGCGACTGCCCGTCATCGCTCCGTATCACAGCGCCATTTATTCAGATGGGGGCTTTGCAGTCTTAGGCCAAGTCCTTGCCCGGCTATCTGGCAAGTCTGTTACAGACAGCTTCGAAGAGCTTCTCTGGAAACCCCTGGGGATGACCAACACATCGACCCGAGTACCAAAGGGCTCTAACCTCAATGTCATCGATCGCACTTCCGTTGCTCATAAATCATCACTGAACATGACAGCATGGGGCCAGGATCTTGAAATCGTCGCATCGTAAGTCATTCCAATCCCCCAATATAAACTACAGCATGAACAGAACAGAACATCAGCCCTAACTTCCAATATCAAATACAGCACCGGAAGCATCTACTCCAACACAGCCGACCTCCGCAAAGCAGGTCTCTCAATCCTAAATTCAGAACTCCTCTCCGGTCCCACAATCTCCGAATGGATGAAGCCTCGCAGCGCAACAGGAACATTAGTCGAACTAGTCGGCGCACCGTGGGAAATCTCCCGCCTTGAAATCCCCGTCACGCCCGACTCAAACCGAACCCGAGTCTCCGACCTTTACACGAAGGCTGGTGGGAATATCGACTACACAGCCATCTTCGCTCTATCACCGGATCAAGGTATCGGATACAATATCCTGATCGCTGGTGAAACTGCTACACCGGCACGCTGGCCGCTTCGCAATCTTGTCGGGAGACATTCATTCCAGCGGCCGAACACGCTGCGGCCGAGAATGCAGTCCGAAACCTGGCTGGTACGTTCGTTGATGAGAAGAATTCTGGTAATAATGTCACGCTTAGCGTTGACCGTGGTCATCCTGGCTTGGGATTGAAGTCTTTCTGGTTGAAAGGAAAAAATGCTCGTGATAGTCCCCATTATCGTCTCTATCCGACTGGTTTGAACTCGGTCTCCAGGTCGCTGTCTTCTCTTTATAGGACTGAAGGGACGATGCGTATTGCGCATCGTGGGGTTAAGCCAGGCGTTAAGCCGGTGGAACCTCGGGCTGCTGTTGAGGGGGGCAAAGGCGGTTTGTTTGATGATTCGTTTATGTGGATGGCTCTTGATCAGGAGGGACCGGTGGACTTGTTTGTTTTTACGCTCGTTGATGAGAAGGTGACTGCTGTTGAGTTTCCTTTGACAGGTGCTGTTATGAAGCGTGTGAAGTAGTAGATTTTACTAGTAACAAGCAAACTTGAAGAGGACATAAATTTGGAAAGATTCAAGTTCATTTGAAATTTTACAGGGAGTTTACAGATATTTACCCGCCTGAATCAGTTTAGGTAGCATATTTTGAATATAGTTACAGTTGTATGTGATTGAACCAATCTTAGCCCATATCTATCTAGATCGTCAAAAACAGATGTTGTACAAATGATCCACAGTATATCCGAATCTAGTGGATCTTCTCACTCTCCTCGAGCAGCTCCTCAATCTTGAAGTTCTCAACATCACCCTGGGTGAACATCCTCACCAGCTCGCCCTTGCGGCCATTAGCCTGGCCTTCAAAGTCATAGAAGCGCTGCAGACAGCTAATCAACCAGGTAGCGTCCGCGTTAGAGACTCCACTGTCCGGCATGACCTGGCCATGCATAAGGACCAGACCTTTATCATCCGCCAAGTCAAGGTAGTGCGTGACAGTCGTGTGAGGCTGCGCATAGGTACCGTGCATCTTGAAAGCACCAAGGTTGGTAAAGATGACAGTAGAAGTGTGTGTATTGGCGGTTTCACCCGAAGGAGCGACAAAGTCATCAGCCGGAGGATGGAAACCCCACTGCAGGAAGTGAATTTCCGCGGCATTCTGAGTCTCAGTTTGGCCTTCTACTTCACCTTCGACGGTTTGTTGGACCGGCACCGGGAGGACGAATTGCGGGTTTTGGCGTGCGGCCGCAGCAATGCGCTGGTATGTTTCGAGGGATATGACGGCACAGATGGATGTGGCGGTGTTGGCATGGCGAAGGCGCCAGAGGGCTTCGATCTCCTTGGGAGGCAGGTCACGGAACTTGTCGAGCTCCAGGTATGAGCTGAGAGGCTTGATGGGGGTTTTGCTGCCGGAGACGCTGCGTGCGGCCTTTTCGGTCTTCGATTGACCTGGAGGAGGAGGGGCTTGGAATGGGGGAGGCGTGCCTGGGATTGCGGAGCTGGACATCGGAGAGCTGGGCTCTGGGGTTGCGACGGTCGATGCTTCACGGCGGAGGTTTTGGATCTTGTCGTTGTAGGCTTCCTTCAACGACTCGACTGACCCATGACCCTCCCTGTGAGAAGTCAGTAATTGGTTCGCGGGCATCTAATTGGAGAGGGGAATACACAAAAAGACTTACTCTTTGGCCTTCTGATCCAGCTTCGACCGATACTTGTCCTGCACATACTTGGGGTCGTGGTGAGAGGCTAGGAAGCGCACATCGTGAACCTGCGCCCAGCGACGTTGAGGAGTGCGCAGCAGACGCGAGTTGCCACGCAGGATAGATTGGAATCCTTGCAGTCGGAAAGAAGCCATGTTGTCAGCAAATGCTGGTGTTTTTAAAGATTCTAAGCGGTTCCTAAGGTTTGGGTTGACGATAAGAGACCGCATGTTATTATGTCATCATAGCTGACATAATCGGATTTGGCTGGTACAGCCAGAATAACTCGTCCATATCCACAGTTACATAATATTCTGCCCGCAGAATACGCCCCGTTTTCTGCCTATCCTAGCTTAGAGAATACATGTTATAGGCTTTTGAAGTAGCGCTAGTACATACTCAGTTAGCTTGATAGCGGTGAGAAGGTGGAGATGGACGAGTTATTTTGGCCTCCCACTGTATACACTGGGGGTTGTATTAATATACCAGCAGTTTCATCATGCTGATATAAAGTATTCAAAGATTCTACACAAGCAGAAAGGTATTTACAGTCTAGTTCACCGTGACCTGGTCACAGTGAGAAACTACATCTGGTGCGTACTAGTATTAGGTAGCTAAGAAGTTGAGAGCTATAGTCCTTGGATTTCGATTACCAAGCCGTGAGGAATGTGGATGAACAGAGTATCTTTGAGGAAATAGTTTGAAAATAACGAGTCAATTTCCCATGTTAGACCAGGACATTAATTCCTGCTCTTTTTTGAGGCAGTACCGCTACTGACGATGTAGTTAATTTCAATTAGCATCTTGTCGGGATATTCAGGGCGAATTTGCCGATGGATCGGTAAAAATGTGGATTTTGATTCGCCTTCGGGAAAAAGCATCATCGAAACCTTCTTTTTCGCCAATGGCCAACTCCATAACTTCTTTTGCCGTTATTTAAGAAGAGAATCGCATTTCGAACTACCTATAGAACTACTTCTATATTCTTTTCATCATTACTACCCCCAAAATGACTTTCCAACAAAAGGAGTTCACCACGCCCCCATCTCTTCCCCCACCGGGCACACCTACAAACTCCGAAACAGCAAAGCCTTGGTACTCCGTCGCGAAGGGAATCTGGGAATTATGCTTGAACGGGGAGGGAGAATCTAAAGCTGTCCTACAATGGTGGGAGCCATATACTACCACGCCTAATCAGGTGATCACCCATACTTTCATTGAAGAAGTATGCTTCCTTCAGGGGAGATTGGAGGATCTATCGCTCGGACAGTCATGGGGTGTTGGTGCTTATGCATATCGCTTACCCGGAATGGAACATGGTCCCTATAAGACCCACGAGGAGGGGTGTCTGATGTTTGTTAAGACCGCACCTGGGCCGGAATGTTGAACTACAAAGCACAAAATATATACTAAATACGATTGGAAGACTGCTATTCAACCTCTAAACACAAGCCTGAGATAATCCACGATGTCATGTCCTTCTTCCTTGTCCCCTGGCAATTGACTGACGACTTCAACCGCTTTTTCAAGTCTGAGCTCAACAATCGTCTCGCCATCGGGGTTGACCTTCCACGAGACCTCTGCCAAGTTGTCCTTACCAAGGGCAACCTTTGCTTCCAGGGCTCCGGTCAGACGAACCCGCGGCCTGAATAATATCTTGGACGAACCAGGAGCAACGGGCTGAACACCCGCCAGTTCAGTGCAGTACTCGTAAATGGGCACGCTCCCCCAGGCATGACAATCAGACCTCTGCCGAACATCATCCTCTTCCCACGTCGAGAGATTATTAGCCAGCATCCCTCGCCAAGGAGCCCACATCTTCTCCCAAAACGAATCATACAGATCGCCATCATCAGCCAAGGCCAAGGCCCGGAAGGCATAGAACCGCATCATGTAAGAGCATTTTGAGAACCGATCATTTGTAAACGATTCGGTCAAAATCCGCGTAGCTTCGCCGGCCCTTGCTGCACCACAAATGACAGCGAATACCTGACAATGTTGAGAATATGACAATTCATCCGCTACATCGGCTGTTGAATCGGTGAAGAACTTCCCATCGAAGCAATGGGCTCGGATAGCCGCTATCAGTGATGCTGCCCTCGATTCGTATTCGGAAGCATGTCCCGGCCGACCAACATCACGGACCAACACGGCGACCTTCTGGAGAACCCAAGCATATATCATACTGAAATAAGTGTGCCGATTGGTCTTTCTCCCCGAGGTCGGAACGCCCTTGTCGGGATGTTCTTCTGTAGCACCCCACGTCGTGACCCAGTCAACGTACTGCCAAACAACCGTCGGCAATCCGCTGACAAGACCTAGCTCGTCGACATGGGAATCGAAAAAGTCAAGGATGCCATCAATACGCGGAATAAAGCTTCTCGAGAAGCGTGTATCGCCAAAGTATAAGTGATGATCGCAGACTTGTAGGATCCAATATAGGGAAAATCCGGCTATAACTTGCGGCACGTGTGAAGGGAAGCGAGACTGTGTAAGACCCTCTGGTGTGACTGAAGCGGCGAAGTTTGTGATTGCTTGCCGCATTAGACGGTCATCGCCTGAGAGGAGGTAGTGGAATAGACCGACGGAACGACTGTCTCCGGAGTACCTGGACGGTGTTAGTCATTTGAAAATAAACGAGGTTTTATGCTTCTAGCACTTACTGTAACTGTTCGTAGAACGGGCAGTCTGAGTATCCATCGAACATACAATTTCTCATCGTCCGTATAGAGACATTCCATATTTCCTCGGTCTGAGGATCATCAGGCTGTTTCCAGCTAGCTTTCACGGCTAGAGGGTAATTGACCTGAGTAGCGTCGAACGATAGAATTTCGATTGGCTCAGGGCCAACTGCGATCTTGATCTTCAAGAGACGGAAAGTGCGGAACCAGAATGGCTCATAGACGACGCGTTTACCTTCACTGGGAAGACTGAGCGTTACCTCATCATATGGCCCGATTATGTGACCGACACTTGCATCCAGCCTGTCTGACTTAGAGCGAAAGAAGGGATATGATCGTGGTTCGAGTTCATATCCCTCTGAGTGTGTCACTTTGAGCTTTATATTTGAGGCATTTGAAACTGCTTTGAATGCCCATCGAAGAAATGCGGTCGAGTGAACATCCGCTTGTACTTCAAGGGTGTGGATTGAACTCGCCGGGAGGGTAATAGAGTAGCTTCGAACAAATAAAGCTTCCCAGTCGCTAGCCTCTACAACGCTTTCGCAGGCTCTGATTGTTTTAACAACAGCGGATGTTGACTCGGGCATTGGAATCGAGCGTGGACGCAGATTCCAGGGCGGAATGTCACCGTTCAAAGTCCTCATCTTGTATGCAACCGGTATCATTGTGGAACTGGGATCTGCGGGAGCAACACGTTCGCTGATCTATGAAAAGGCGTCAGCCCGACCCCGGCAATGTTTAATCCAGAGCCAATCTTACATGTAAGAAAACATCATCAGCAAGACCCATCGGGAATTGAATACTTTGATCAACAATTCCCAGCCAATTCTGAGAAGAATTGAGATCGATGAATTCCCCCGCTGCGGTCTCCACATTTCCAATGACAGTCAGACCGGGAAGAGCCGTCCGCTCAAAGGGCATCGCGCAGCGTAAAGAGTGAAAATAGCGCAGAACCACGAAGCGAATCTCATTCTCGCCTTCTCTCAGGTAGGGCGTGATATCCAGAGTATCATAGTACCAAATCAATGGACTGCTGCGAGTCGGTCCGACGGCAACATGCTGCCCATTTACGTAGAGTTTGTATCGCGTGTCAGCTGAGAAATGCAGTAGTGACTTGACAGGTTGCGACGACAAATTGATACTGCGTGTGAAGTGGACGACTTTTCCAGCTGTATTGGCATCTGAAGCATCAACCCAGTTTGGGACCCAGATCCAGTTGGCCTGGAGGTCGTCAATTGTCTTTTTGACTACACGTCAGCAATAATTCACATATTCTAATCCGGGTCCAGTGTAGATACCTTTTGCTCATCTGTCAGGCTCATATTGAGACACTGTGATCCATGGATAGGTTGAACGGAGTATTCTAGTTTCAAGGTCTCTTGTATAGCTCCGGCGAGGAGGGGCTAGCGGGGCTCGGGGGATCTTTCGCCGAGAGTTATTCCATCTCGGTGAATGAACCAAACTTGTCGGAAAACTATGTTATGTGTGATATGTTCTTCTGTAGGGAGGTACGTAGGTAGGGAAAACGATGAGAGGGAAGATCAGCTAGTAGTAAATGACCCGGGGCTTCGATATAGATGGAGCTCTGACCCCGCTCACATGTTGTTTTGCACACTGAGAAGATCCATGGATATGCTGGCTACTATTGCTGATACAAGACTACTGATCGATGCTTCTCCATTCTCAAATCAAATATATGAGGACCAGATATCTATACTCACCTTTCCTAATCATCGATGCCTAGGTTGTATCTGAGATATCAATATCGAGAACTGATCGCGTCCAAGGAACAAAGCTGCATCCATCTAGGCGGAAACGACAGCTACCAAAAAAGCAAATACAGCACAACCAGGTTACTTGTTCCTCTTGACCGCCACACATGGGGGTCTTCTTGTCGCCACAGTGAGCTAACTACTCCGTACTTGTGCTGCATACAGGGATGGCCCGCTGCCGATCCGAGGCCGCCCCCGGAGCATGACCCGAACGGCGGCACCAGGATCAACCCATCCGGTGATCCTGTATGGTTGCGCATGACCCGGGATGTCTCGCTTGTCGATCGTAGTGCACCACCATTCTAGAGGCATCGCCAACTAGAGGGTTACGAAAAGTGTCCGGGAGGAGTGTATCGGTAGTACACGAGCTAGCCGTCGATGTTGCAAAGAGGAGGGCTAGTGGGTGTGTCCGATCGTCCTGCCGCAGCCTCGTGATACACGACTTTAATCCAGAGTCTACACTAGTGAGACTAGCTAGCAGCATGACGACATTCATGGGCAGGACATGGACATGGACCCTGCGGGGGAGGGAAGAAGGTAACAAAATAACCCTAAACACTGGAACAGGCGATCCCAAGACAGAAAAAAAGGAATATTCAATTAACAACTGGGAAGGTTAGCAAAGGCTTGGATAATGCCAGTTTCATCTCGTATTGCGGGAATCTCCTGTATCAAAGATGCGGATTTAAGTTTGGCAAAAATAGAAAGAGGAAGAGGGAGGGGAAGAAGGGGGGCGGGGGCCATAATCCAGAATCTCTCAGCTCCATAGTCTAATCTTCCGGGGATCAGCATGAACATGGTAAGCCTTCAGCTGATAACAAATGAGGGAAGCAGGTCTCCTGACGGGTCCCCTGGGGAGTCCAGCCAACCAGAATGCAATGGGGAGACATCAGGATGGCGCGGGCGCATCTGGTCGCGCTCGCGCGTCCAGGCGCGACTTGAAACCGCATGAGGATAAATGAGGAAGGCTGCTCTTTTGTTTTGAGTCAAGTGGTTCTATTCTCTCCACTTTATTGCTGCAATATATTGCATCTATCACTGCATTCCTCTATTGTATACATTTATACAATTTTATACTTGGAACAACATAATAACACTTCCCGACCGGGCCTAGTGGATACCCGATTTGGCCTAGCGTTCTGCAAAAAAGAAAAAAAAAACGAAGGAAAGAGCGACTGGGGCATGCGACTGCGACTGCCGCTGCGACTGCCACGGCGACTCAAGGGATAACTTTATTCTTCTCGAGTTTCTTGCTTCCTTCTCTTCTTTCTCTCTCCAATCCGACTCCCCTCGTCGCTTTGGCCTCTGCACATTCTCCTTTACCCCTCCATCCTCAGAGTGCATTGGTTGTATAACCTCGCTCTCATCTACTTTTTCTTCTTACGCGCTCCGCAAAATCAGTGAACGCCCGCGATCAACATGGTCTCTTTCTCATGCGAAGTAAGCAACCCTCGACAATCACCTAATATCGCTTCGAAAGATCCGATTGCTGGTGTCTATACATATTGCGCATACATCATCAGGGCCAAATGCTAATAATGATGTTTTCTACTAGGGGTGCGGCGACGTCCTCACCAAGAAAAAACTCGACCCCCACCGCGGCCAATGCCGCGGCGCGTCTTTCACCTGTATTGATTGCATGGTTCACTTCTGGGGTACTGAATATCGATCACACACGGTATGTCGTTATTTAACTGGTTTGGTCGAGACGAGTGCATTGGTACTTGTTGCAGATATGCGTTGCGCATTCCCAATGGATGACCCGGATACAATAATCATCTCTACCTCTTGATGATAGACGCTGATGGCTTGCCTCCCTACAGAGCTGTATGACCGAGGACCAGAAGTACCAGGGTGCCCTCTACAAAGAGAAGCCTGGCAAGGGACAAAAGGGCAAGGGCCAAAACAACCAAAACACCCCCAAGCAGAATGCGAAGTCGAATCCCAACGCGCGCAACCAGCAACCCCGAGTCGACGATGCTACTTCTGACGGAGAAATCATCAAGGCCAACATCCCGCCTCCTCCTGCTCCCACTCCCCCTCCCACCAGTGACAAGAAGCCCACGCCGGCTGTGGTGAAGAACAATGACCCGCCTGTCAACGTTTTCGACTACCTCGTGACAGAGGACACACCCAACGCATCGAAGGTATCTTTAGCCCCCAAGGAACAAATGTCCATGAACCCCCACGCCCCATCTGTCTTCGAGGCTAGCAAGGCCCTCGCGCGACTAGACCCGAAGACGGATGACGAAGGCAACTACGATATCGCATACGAAGAAAACGGTTTCTCTTACGGCGCTGACCCTATTCCGCCGCCCAAGTTTCCCACCGCGGCCAATGCCTCCATGGAATTCGTCACCCCCGCGCCCAAGAAGAAGAAGGATCGACGTGAGAAGAAGGAACGTGCCCCTGGTAGCGCGAGCGAGAAGAAGCGCAAGCGCGGCCAAGGCGATGAACTCAGCAGCCCTCAACAGGATATCGACACCCCAATGATGGATGCCCCGTCCAGCGTGGTCAACAATGCTGGCACTCCCGTGTTGGCTCACTCCGGTTTGACCGGCGGTCTGAACCGCATGATGCGCTCGCCTTCCCACGATATCGACGAGACTCCCGAGCACGGCCGCTCCGCCTATCAGGATACCTCCTCCCCAATCAAACGTACCCGCCGTAACGGCAAGGAGCTCAATGGCGGAGGTGACCCTGGCTTGGGTATCACAATCAAAAACCGCGCCGAGCGTCTTGTCTCTTCTATGTTCGGCGGCACTGGCTCCGTTGTTTCCAACGGCAGCAGAGACAGCCACGATAACTCCCGCGCCTTAGTCCGTACCCGTCGCGGCAGCTCCTCCAGTGCCGACGGCCAACTGGAAGTGCGCAAGAAGAAGTCCCACCGCTCGCGCAACGTTTCAGACTCCCACGCTGAGCGCAAGTCTAAGCGTAAAAGCAGCAACCCCACTGACGGTGATCGTCCCTCTCGCCGACAGAAGCAGATTGACGAGCGCCGGCGCTCAGATTCTCAATCCCCCCCGTCGTGAACGCCAGGTCGAAGTCTACCGACCGTCCAGGCCACCTGCCCGTAGCGAGGATGTTCTTCAGCGCGAAATGGCCACCCACTTCCTTTCTCTCGTGTCTCGGGACAGCGAGCGTGGCTGTTCCTTTAACAAAGCCCTGAAACGGTTCCACCGCGATTTCGCCGACGAACAAGAGGATCATGGCCGGGACTCCCGTGAGCGCCGCGGCGAAGACGAGAAGGATCTGTGGCGCGGTCTGCGACTGCGTCGCAATGACCGGGGTGAAATTGTCGTATTTGCGTAATAAAAGTTACTACCAGTTTTGAAAAATATCCGGTTCTGGTTGGTTTTCTTTTGCACGACAGATCAAATGGCGGAGGGAAGGAGGAACTCTTTATCTTTATGCTTATGAAGTGAATGGATTAGGGCAGTGGTTTGATCTTGCATAGCGTGTTTTTTTTTTCTTGTTAAATGGCGCGGTCTTTTTGCACACTGTTTATATCGGACCTAATTGGACGCCAAATTTGATTAATGTATACAGTTGTTTCATTGTATCTCCCATGCCGCAAGACAATGTTCTAGTGGGACTTCTAGATGTCTGTCGACTTCTTTCTTCTGTAAGACAGTGTTTTAGGGCGACTTGCTCTCTTCTCTGACCTCGGGGGTCTATATAAAACAGCCGGCCCTGTGGCATGACTTTGTACAATCACTCCTAGCAGTTCTCTGCATCTCATATTCAGTCACTAGTACTACTACTACTACTCCTTCTACTCCTCCTCGTTAGCCACCATGGACTGGGAATATGCAGAAAGCGTGGCGGGACTAGCCAACGATATCTATGATCATCACGAATACCTGTTCGAAGAGAATTCTCCAAGAGACGGACAATTTCAGCTCCTGGTCGTGAACGCAGCTGCAGATGACGACGAAGAAGTCTTCGTCTACGTATGCCGCTTATATTCTTCAATGGTAGAGGTTCTTTCGCAAGTTTGTGATATGCTGAATGAATTTGAGAACAAGAATCCGGGTCCATACTATCCTGCCTTGTACGTTGACTGCATCGCGACAACGCCGAATGTTGTTCAGGTCGTCCTTGGCATGTCGCTTGATTTCAATGCCGTGGGAGTTTTGGACCGTCTTGTGGTGTTCTTCGATGAGGAGTTGGCGCGTCGTCAAATGATTTTGTGCGATTCTGATACCGGGACGGATTCGGGGGGCTCTGACGACGTCGATGATGATGAGGAAATTGATTTGTGATTCATCTGTGTCTACTCAGCTTCAAGTTGTATCGAATTGGCGTTCGATGAATGGTGGAAGGGACTGGTTATACTACTATGTTAGAGATCTGGAGTTTCATACTACTTGTTTAGGTGAAGGGGTGTCAGTGGTCTTGCTATTTCGATATAGAGAATCTTGACTGTGTCGTCTTTGGGTGTTTATCAATAGAATCGCATATACCTTAGTGATCGGGTTCCAATATCTACCCTCAGGGTCAGGTATAGTTACTAGTAGGTAGCACACGGTTCGAAAATACGCCAGTAGTAGATATTTCGCACTACTACTACTACTAGTACCTAATCGTTATATGCTCACTGCCATGCATGTGAGATGCAAGACCTACAGCCCTTCAGGGCTATATTAGAGCGAACTTGACTCCTCTTTACCAGGTCTCGAGGTCTGAGGTGAATAGTAATATGTACTACACCTGAAGGTAGTAGTACCGTTTCTCAAAGTTGAATATTGGACACTGCTAGTAGTAGCTAGGGGTTCTTCAAGCCCTGGATTCAAACAACTCGAATCCTGAGCCAGCGCCACATTTCTTTTTGTTCTTTGACCAATAGATTGCTTCTGAAGGCTTTTGCCCTGGTTTGTACTTTTGCCAACATATTTCGCAAAATTACATCTCTCTTTGTCCAATGTTCCGTAGCTTTAAGACTTCATGCTCCCGTCCGTCCGGTCTTTTTGCATACTATGTATACATACTAGTACACTGGCACTTGATTCGTTGCATCTTCCGTGCCGCACGACAATGTTTTAGAAGGACATTCCTAGGTATATCGACTTCTTTATGTTGTAAAACAATGTTTAACACAAGTTTCTCTCTTTATTCAAATAGTACTATACTAGTATGTATCGCGATCGGAATCCATGGACAGGGAGCCTATAAAAGACCTGTGGACCCAGCACGTAGCTTGACTTTGTACAAGGACTTTCCACTACATCTCATCATGAGTGACCACCCTACGAACTCAGGCTCAACCCCCAGGGACGACAAGCTGGCAGCAGGCGGACTATTCCAAACGTTCGCTGATCCCGACCGTCGCCACGAGGACATGGCCAAGGAGAATTCAACTGGACTAAGCAACAGCAGCCAGAGCATCACTCAAAGCCACGAGCCAGCTCAGCTCCTGGCCATAAAGGCCCGCGCAGAAAGTGACAAAACCCTCATCATTTGCCAACTTCATAATCAGACTTCAGTGATGGACCTTCTCCATCGTATCTTTGGTCTGCCGAGGGAACTTGTACGGAGATATCCCTATCCTGTTTTAAAAGTTCCCAGTATTACCACCGCGAAGGCGCCAATTGTTATTCGGGTCGTTCTTGACTGGGAAATTGGTTCGGAGGCAGAGTTCAAGCGTCTTATCGATCATCTTAAAGCCTGGTTCGAGAACAGGGCGGCGAGGTATGCGATGCGATGTACGCCTCCTGAGCGTCTTGGGGAGCGTGAGGTACTTGGTGTACCTGAGCATTTCTTTTGCTATGGAATATCTTCGTGATTCATGTGTACCTATTCAGCTTCAAGTCGCATCGAATGGGCATTGCATGAGTAGATGGGTGATGATGGAATGAGCCCCAGGACTGATTAGTATACTATGTTAGAAATTGAAGCTTCATATAGTACTACTTTCAAGGTCTAGGCGGACGGTTTCAATGGTCTTGCTGTTTTGATATACATAGAAGCTTGAATGATAGGTCATTGATTCTAAACAGAGGCGCTTCCCCTGCGAAGTAGAATTCAAGTTGAGGACACGAGCAAGCAGGATGGTGCATGGCCTAGGGTCCACTTAGTGCATATATTGATAGATTCCAGAGCAGAAAGTGTGGTGATGATTGGCTGATGGAAGTATGTGCCTTGGTGAGTCACTCCGACTGTGTTTGAGTCACGGGGAAGTGGCGACTTGTGACCGCCTTCAACTCCGCCTTTACATTCTGCCGGGTCTGCTTTTAATTGTGCGAGATGCTTCCCCATTGTCATCTTCAATTCTTTTCGCCCTTTGGGCTTCATTTGCCAATTTTCGATTTGCATCTGCTGTACTGTGAGCTTCACTTACATACCTTACTCCTCTTATATCGATCACTTTTTCTTATAATCCACATCTGCAGCTTTGAACCCTTTCACCACTATTCCGTCGATCATTGCATTCGATTCACCTCAATATTCCTTTTAACTGCATGAGCAGCAGCACCGTCCCCAGCCAGCCAGCGCTGGTCTCTCAGACTATGTCCAGCTCCACGGCAGCTCCGACTGTACCATCGGTTCCATCAGCCCCATCATCCACTCGTTCAAGACATAGACGCCGTGGGAGGGGCCCCGCAAACCGTCAAGGCCAATCCAATCCCACAGCCCAATCGACCAGCGACCAGCCTCCTCCAGAGCAGCAGGGACAACCAGGTGATACTGTGCCCACTGACCCATCAGCTGGACCGCCTCGTTCACGGAAAGGGCAGAAAGAAGGCAGAGGATCTGGAAGTCGCAAAGGCCGTGGTAATGGACCTCGACAAAGCGGGCAAGCACAAAATGGCGAACCATCGGACCAAATATCACAAAGACAGTCTCGAGGAATGAGAGCAAGAGGATTTGGGGCCCGACTGACCAAAGCAGACGATGCGCAGGACGGAACAGACCCTCAAGCCCCTGCAGACCCAGATGCAAATCTCCGTGCCGACGCGCCGGCTTTTGTACCCGGTATGCCTGCATCTGCCCCGCCACCTTCTGCAGCTTCGGGATCGACCAGCAAAGGAAAAGGGAAGCAAAAGCCCAAACAACCTCAAAGGCCGCCCAAGGTCACGACGAAATCTGTTGCCGACGACATAGCCACCCGTATCCACGAAGATATCGCCCACAACCTTTACGAATGTCCTATATGTACAAGTGAGCTTGGAAGAAGATCCAAAGTTTGGTCTTGTGAACTTTGTTGGACTGTGTTTCACTTGAGTTGTATCAAAAAATGGTCTACCAACGAAGGATCTGCCGCTGCGCGACAGCCACAAAACGCAGAAGGGGCTGTTACCCCCCAAGGCGTGGCGTTGTCCTGGCTGCAATCTGTCACATGAGCACTTCCCTTCCGCATATACGTGTTGGTGTGAGAAGGAATCCGATCCTCGACCTTTAGCGGGTTTGCCTCCACACTCTTGTGGCCAGACCTGCTCTCGAGCTCGGAAGGGTTGCCCCCATCCATGCGATGCAACCTGTCATGCGGGCCCTTGTGCTCCTTGCACTTCAATGGGACCCACTCAAGATTGCTTTTGTGGTCGTAATTCATCGACAAAGCGATGCCAGGATACCGATTATCAGAATGGATGGAGCTGCGGAGAAAATATGCGGGGATCTTCTACCATGCGGAGAACACACATGTCCTCTTCCCTGTCATGAGGGTTTATGTGGTGCATGTGAGGTCAAGATCGACGCGCATTGTTACTGTGGAAAGGTGCACACAGAGATGTTGTGTAGCTCCAAGGATGAGGAACTTGATAGCGAGAAGATCAAGGACGATGGATCTAACGAGGAATGGATCGGTTGTTTCAGCTGCCCTGACACCTGCAACCGCCCCTTCGATTGCGGCGTGCATTTCTGCCAGAAGGACTGTCACCCTCAGGATTCTCTCCCCGAACACTGCCCTCGCTCGCCTGATGCGGTTTCTCGTTGCCCGTGCGGTAAAACACCACTGACGGAAGTCCCTGGATATACCCGCGGACATCGTGTGAGGACCCCATCCCCAATTGCTTCGAGCCTTGTGGTAAGATGCTGCGATGTGGCCATTCTTGCGATCAAATCTGCCATACTGGGCCTTGCGGCACATGTACTCGTCGCGTTCCTATCTCATGTCAATGCGGTCGCAACACTTCCATGAGTATCTGTCACCAGGGTGATATGAATGCACCCCAGTGCTTCCGTCAGTGCAAGGCTGGTCTGCACTGTGGACGTCATACTTGTACGGAAAGATGTTGCCCCGGAGAGCAGAAGGCGATTGAACGCCAAGCTGCACGTCGAAAACTCAAGCCTCATCTTCGCCCCGCCGAGGAAGATATTGAAGCTGAACACATCTGCACCCGCGTTTGTGGTCGGACGCTGAAATGCGGTCGACACACCTGCCCTGAGCTTTGCCACAAGGGCGCCTGCAACACCTGTCGAGAGGCTATCTTCGACGAAATTTCGTGTAATTGCGGAAGATCTATCTTGTATCCTCCTCTCCCATGTGGCACGCAGCCGCCCCCGTGCTCACGTCCCTGTGAACGTCCTAAACCCTGTGGGCATCCTCAAACGGCACACAATTGCCATACCGATGATGAGTCTTGCCCTAAGTGCCCATTCCTCACGGACAAGGCGTGTCTTTGCGGTAAGCGGGTAATGAAAAACGTACCCTGCTGGCTCACAGACGCCCGCTGCGGCCAGGTTTGCGGTTCGTTGCTCAAGTGTGGGTCACACTCCTGCAAGAAAGACTGCCACCGACCGGGGCAATGTGAGGATGCAGACAAGCCTTGCTCACAGCCTTGTGGAAAGAGCAAGTCTCTCTGCCATCACCCTTGTTCTGACCAATGCCATGCCCCTTACCCATGTCCAGAGAAGACGCCTTGCCCGACCATGCACACAGTAACATGTGGGTGTGGACGGATGCGCCAGGAACGCCGCTGCAATGCAGCAAAAGCAGTCATCTCCAAAGGACAGGTTCAGCAGCCAGAACGATTGCCAGTACTCACCCCATTGACTTGCGATGAGGAATGTTCGCGTTTAGAGCGCAATCGATCTCTGGCTTCTGCACTTGGCGTCGACATTAACCAACAGACCACTGTGCAAGCATTCACACCCAACAATCTCCCCTATTCGACTGAAACATTGGATCAATACATCAAATTGGCCTCCACAGTCTCGCTGTCTACCCTGCAGACATTCGAGTCAACCTTGCACTCCCTGGCAACAGATACATCCAATCGATCTATCCGCTTCCAGCCTGCAAAGACCACCATCCGAGCATTCACGCACTCCCTGGCCACAGATTGGGGATTCGTAACAGAAAGTCATGATCCGGAACCCCACCGCCACGTCTTCGTTTTGAAACCTTTGACATGGACACCACCTGTCTTCGGACTAGGCACCGAGACCACCATTGGAATTGGCGGAATGAGCGTACGCGAGTGCGTTAAACTCCGCGAACGTGAACGAAACAAGGAGCGCGAAGCACAACGTGTTGCCGCTCTAGAATCCAAGGCCGCCCGTGACGCCGCCAAAGCACAGGCCGGCGGTAGTAGCTCGGATGGATGGGCACAGGTTGCCTCTCGGGTTAAGAGACCGGGAGAGGCCATCAACACTAGTACTAGGAGTACCACGCCCATTCAGAGCTCTTATGCGAATTCGTTCAGGAACCGCTCTATGTTTGCTGCGCTTGCCGATACAGCTGGTTCCGGGTCTAAGAAGGAGAAGCTTGTTCTTCGATCCGGCGTTGGTGTTGGCAAGTCATTGCGTTCACAGACTCCTGCTGAGGTGGTTGATAGCTGGGAAGAAGCTGAAGAGAAGGAAGAAGAGGTTGAACGGAAGCAGGAGCAAACTGAAGCTTCTTTAGAGGCACAGGGACAACAGGGGGAGGAAGAGTCACAAGAGCAAGCACAGGAACAAGCACAGGAACAGCCGCAGGAACAGCTGCAGGAACAGGAAGAAGCAAGCCGGGAGGATCTGGTGAACGATGTGGAGTCTCAGGAAATCATCACGTCTGAAGTCGAGGCGAAAGAGTAGTCTTATTTCATGTTCTTATGACTCATGACTGGAAGGAAAAGTGTGTTCTTTTTTTTTGCAACTGCGTGCATATAATACCCTGGTAGCAATCTGAGGACCTCGGGGACTGCGTGGTATCCACCATTTTTGGAGCGCTATACTTTTAACATCGGTGGGACTCTAGCTGGAAGAGAAAGAGAAAAAAACACAAAGAAATAAAAAAAATGTATTTTGATGAATATTCTCTGGTGCCTTGCTCATACGTAATTCTGTGAAGTATTATTCTGTTCATTATATCTTCTTCAGTAACACACCGAATTGAGAAGCTGGAACGTCAATCTTAATGGACAACTAGTATCTGAACATGTCAGATTCCTTGCCTTCGTTTTTCATGATCCAGATTGCACCTAAGCTGTGGTGACCATCTCATGATCCTCGCGTTGTTCACTCGAGCGCATTTGTACCTCTGTGACGTATCTCTTGAATTTCCGAAGATTGACTCTCTTTTCGAACCTTGAAATCGTAATCAGTTGCGTTAGTTTTGGGTTCGTAAAAAATGAAAAGGGTAAACTGTCGGACAAAGGGCTGACATACATCTCATCAATCTCAGCTGGTGTTCGGCATGTCACCTCTGGAAGAATAAACCAAGCGATAACCACTGCAACCATACCAGTTCCAGCGAAGCTGAGAGAATGGGAAGTCAGTCTCTTGAGACTCATTTTATGTTTCACTATAGTAATATCATTCCGAACTCACAAGAATCCCGTTTTGACACCCCACGCGGAGGTCGGTGCATTGTTGATCATTAAAGGCGTACAAAAGCTAAACATGATAGCGACCATGTTCGAAGATGCAAGGGCCCAGCCAGCTGTTTTCGCACGCAAACGTTGCTGGGGAATCTCAGCAGCATAGGCGTAGCCAATTGCAGATGCACCTGTAGTCGACAAAGTTGCCAAACAGGCGAAGAAGATCTATATTGTACAATTAGATTGCCGACATAAACTCGATACCAGGAAAGAACCTACCAATAGTGAACTCAATGATACCTTGGTATAATCGAAGCAGCCGACAATTCCAAGACACAATACCGAGATCGATGTCACTGCATAGGGGTAGACTGTGAGGGGACGACGTCCGAATTTATCAGTGGTGAGGGCGGTTGCCATCATAGATATCAACTGGACACAGGATAGAATGACTGTGACCATGAATGGATCTTTACTTCCGGCATATTGAACTTTCATGGGATTAGCACTATTAGGAAAGAGAAAAGGAGGGTGCTTAGGACTCACAGAAGTATGTGGCGTAGGTGTTAAAGACGGATAGGCCGACAAGCTGCTGGGCAATCTTAGGCCAAGCAGCAATCAAGAAACGAAGGCGGTTGCGGCCTTTAAAGACAGCCCATGTTCCTTCTTCGGAATTTCTTTCTGCGAGGATACGCTCCTCTGTGACTGTTGCAGTCATGACTTCCTAAGTGTGGTATTAGAAAACTGTTCGAATATAATCGAGGGTGAAAAGAATACGACACACAATCTGCTCGTCAACACTGTATCCCTCAACATTACCATTGCACCTGGTGAGAATCTGGGCTGCCTCGTCGATTTTTCCTTTGCTCACCAGCCACCATGGTGATTCCGGAATGAAGACAAATATGATTGCAATTACACCCACCATAGCCCACTGGTTATATTCAGCACTTTTAGTCACTCCTTCGGTAAGTAACGCTCAAGAGATGAGGATATGACGAACCTGAGTATAGATCGGAACACGAAAATCGTACGGGTCGTTCGCGCTGAGTTCTTGCAGTGCCACTGAAGCAAATATCTGACCGACCACAAACCAACTAGAAATCGTTAGACGATGAAGCCAGGTGGGAGACAGTACCAACTTACAAACTGTACGCATTGATGTAGAAACCTCGCAGCTGCGTCGGGGCAATTTCGGACAAGTAGAGAGGCATTGTGGACTGCAGCATGCCAACGCCCATTCCAGAGAAAAGCTTTGCTGCAAGCCAGTGATCCCATCTTGTTGCAAAGGTTTCGATAAAGACGCTAATCACAAGATCAATCCAAATAATATAGAGCGCAACCTTTCGGCCAAATTTTTCCGTCGCGTATTGGAGCATCTATAATCGTTAATTAGTCGGTCGCGGGATAGCAAGCTTGAGAAATACTTACAATTTGGCCGATTGTTTGACCGGCAGATTGAATGCCTCCCCATGCGGAGATGTATTTGCCTTGGATGATTGAAGTCCCGGGAGAGGCCATTTGTCGAATGAATCCTTTGTTGGAGACAATACCGCCATTAAGATTGATTTCTGTGTACCATTAGATTATATGGCCTGTACCAGAAAGTCATAGGGTATTTCTTACGGTAGCCGTCCAGCGATGCGCTAAACGCCGCGGTCATAGCAATGAGGGACACATGTTTGAATCGCCTCACACATTGCCAGACACCAAGGTCGTCTTCACGAGATCGCATGATTGGTCCCATACTCTTTTTGGGCATATCATCCCCCCGATCAGGGGATGAGTGCTCAATATTCTTAGAGTCGGCCTTGGAAATGTCCATCATGAATACAGCCGGGCACGGTGTGTGAGCAGGGAACAAGAAGTCGTGGATTTTTATCAAATGAGACTCCGATGTGAAATGGTCAGATGTTATATTTGATCACTTCGGGCTAGCCTCAAAAGGAAACGGACGCCGTCTTGCCGGCTTTACTGGACCCGAGTTCAACAAATATGAGGGAATGCGGGGATCCGGGGTAACTGGTGGAGCTTACTTCGCCCGACACAGAGCATGATCTCAACTCTCAACCCATTTTTCTTCGAGGTTGACCCGCAATGACGGTTCAGTTGCCGAAGCCCTTAAATACGAGTTCTAATAGGTTAATTTGCGTTTGAGTAGCCGGTAGGGCTTAAAGATATGAATACTAGTGGGCGCCCTAAAGAACGGCAATTGCCTCGCTTTGAATTATACCGAGATAACATCAAGTGGCGTCCAACTTTGGAACTCTTGGAAAGCTTCAAGCTTTGCTTCTTGATTGCCATCTTGAATTATCGGGTCTTGAACTTGGGCCTAGGTGCAACTCCTTTCTTTTCATTGGCCTTTTTTACAACTTTCTAACTCGGCTCAGGCTATTGCTGAGGCTTCAAATGAGGATATAGCAGCGTTTGATGCCTAGGTTTGCTTATGATACAGTACTATTTAACCTTGGAATTTAATAACCGGAATAATTATAATGATATAGTATCTACCTCGTAGAGCCTCTTTTCTCGGCCTGAATACAGAACCTGGCCCGCTGAAAGAGAATCTTCGTACTAGCATTTGCTAGTAACTCCCCGAATTTCAAACTAATTTCCAAATATTGAGTTGAGATTGTGAGATGTTCAGTATTTCTAGGTACTACTTGCACAAATACCGACTCGAGTAGAGAATAAGCCTTCCAATAGGTATAAAATTTCCTTTACCTTTAATGATTCCAAAGAAGAGTTTTCATTCTATTTTTCATTTCTCTTTTGCTGGAGTCAGTGGCACCGACGCGCCTGATGGCCCAATCCAGAGAAATCCCGGCGGGGTGGCCCCTCACCACCCACGATCGCTTTCTCTACATTGATTCTCCTAATAACTCCGATCGATTCTTTAAGTAGAATAAAGTTTTTAAAATCACAAATTTGCATTTGGTAATAAAGGGAGCTATACTGAAATCCTCTCATAATGATGAGATCTATCGAGAAGCTCGAATCATCTTTTGGTGTCGAGGAACCAATTTGGAGCAGCGATCAACCCTTTCAACTTCGATGTCGACTATCGTCGCTTGCGTCCTGGAAGTTTCATATTATTCTTTCAAGGTAGATTCTTGTATCACATCTCGATAGTCATCATTTTGGCCCTCGCGCTAATTTTTCTCTCCGGGCGAGGAATAACTCCTATCGCATATCCAAATGATATATATATATTGGTATTCAGGTTTTTTGACCTCCCCGATTGGATTTGTGTCTAAAATTGCACCGCTCCAGGGCTTTCAGGAGAAAATTGATGGGATTTGATGAGTCATGAACAAAAGAGAAGCAATGAAGATGAAAAGGGGGAATACATGCTGGAAATATCGACGTGTTTTAATTTTCAAGCAGACTGTTCTCGATAGTGTCATTTTCCCCTTGATTTTATAATCCTCAGCTCACATGGAAATTTACTAATCCACTTCTAACCTCGCTATAACCTTAGAAAGGCATTCAATTGATGAAAAATAAGGAGGAGAGACCATTTTCTAATTCCAGCCTCCAACGTTATGGTTGTCGAACTTTCTTTGCGAAGATAAATCTCAAGCCAATGGAATTTCTTATCTAAACCTAATATTTACAAAGCCCAAGTTTTACGCCACCTCGGCCTCAATGACCATTTCATATTGTTGAGGATCCGGCCAAAATTTGATGATCTTAAAACCAGAATCGGCCAAGAGGCTTTCCCACGCACTCTGGGTTCTCTCCGACGCAGAAAGGAGAGACATCATGTTCACATCCATGGTAGTCTGACTGATACTCGCTCCCGTAGGCGGGAGAACAATATCGTAAACGAACAATTTTGAGTACCCCTTGGTCATTGCATCTTTGGTATTTTCCAACAGGTGCTTAGCCTTCTCATCGGGCCAGTCGTGTAGAACAGCGTGCATGAAGTAAGCGCGGCTCCCTGTTGGATGTGAGTATATAAATTGCTAGGCGAGATTACTAGGAGACTTACCTTTCACGGGCTGGGGAAGGAAGAAGTCGTGGGACATGGCCGTGATTTTCTTGTCAACTTGAGCGTTTACAATAATTTCGGGAAGATCTTGGAGAACAAGAGAGCCGACAGGGAGGTCAGGGTGCTTGGCATGAACATGAGAGATGTCAATACCGGTGTTTCCACCAACATCAACGACGAACGGAGAACCATCCTCCAGCTTCGCACCCTCAAGAAGTTTGTCCGTATCGTATACCTTGGTCCATGGAGTCTTCCATGCCGTCCACGCCTCCATATGTCCAGTAAAGGCTTTGAAGTAAGAAGGACTTTCTTGCAGTCGGCCGAAAAAGTTGAGACCATCTGGATCGGAGTCGGAGTGGTTGTTTACCATGATATCCGTAGGCTCTGTGTAACCGATCTTCGCGATGTATTTCGGTAGGTTGTGACCAGCCAGTATGTATTGATTTGTTCTGACGCCAGCAATGGTTAGTGGGAGATATTAGACCGATGGGATGGGCTACTCACGCTGCTTGGAGCGAAGGGCGGACCTTGGTGGACTCATCTCCAATGGCGAGTGAAAATGGAGTTGGCTTGAATGTGTCCTCGCCGGTCTCTTCGACTACGTTGAAAGCTGCGAGCAAGCGAAATAGTCGACCTTTGTGACGCGTTAGCTTCCATATAGGAATCCGATAGGGAATAACATACGTAGCAAGTTTGTCTCCACAGCAGGATTGGTCAATTTGACAAGATCAAGAATCGATTTCTCACCACCTCCCAAGATAGTCCAGGCTTTCCACAGTCCCACGTCAATGCATGTCTGGAGAGCGGCAAATACAACAGGGTGTTCGAAGCAAAAGCCCCAAGCACGTTCGTACGGTGACTCCACCCTTGCGAGAAGTCGACGTGCAGCCGCGCGAACTTGGAGACGTTCCACCTCATTTCCCCCAAATGCCTCAGGGTGAACCCCATCGAGGACGGCGATGATTTCTTGAGATTGAGAGGTCATATTCGAATCGCCGAATATAGACTCTGTTTTTCAGTGAATGATATATGTGTCAATTCAAAGTGAAAAGTACTGTACTAATCCAGTCTGGTGAAAGCTTTCCTAATATATCATTCCACGCCTTGTTACATAAAGATCTTCGGATAGTCCGCAAATCCAGGGGGCTTCCTCTTAAGAAAAAACACAGACATTCTGTCGAGTAGTACTAGTAATGGAAAGGAATCAAGTAGGACCAACCGCTTACCCGAAGGGTCAATCTCGAGCCAATGGCACGGAAAGACCCACTGGATTGATTCGTCTCCGCGCTAGAAGTTACCCACTGCTCTCCTAGTTGAAACGTTGGCCATGGCTCTATCCCGAGGCCCGTGTCCGCGGTTCACTGCTCAATTAGGCGTATTGCATCACTGACAGCTATAGCTAATGTGATGTATCAACTCAATTATAAGCTTACACACCTCAAATCCCGCCACCCCTGATCTTATACCTCGCGCAAAAGAGGGCAACCAATGCCGTTGACACAGACCACCAAGTCAACTAAGTACGTGCGAACGTTGGCCCGAGTGGAACTCCACTATTACTCTTGCTCATACCTGGCTGTTCTCATGATAGCGGCCCGGGCTTCCGGGGAGAAGAACCCGCAGCCAAGCGAAGGGATTTGGACTAAAGTTAGTCCAAGTTAGGTATGATCGTTCTATTCGGACCCGCCACCCCGAGTCTAGACACCAGGAGGTTGGTATACTGGGATCGCACGTTTCTCAATGGCTACGCACTGTGAATCTCGCGATGATGGTGCATATAATGGGGCCTTGCCTCTCGCCAGGGATCGATCAACTCCCTTGCGATCTATCACAGCGGAGGATGCACCAAATCGGTCATCCCGACTCACCAGACGTTCTACTCCGTACTCCCAAAGTCACTCATGCCCGCCCATTCGAGAGTAAGGCTCCGGCCGAGAAGGAGCCAAGACTCGATCTAAATTTGAAGCTTGCGAATTACCGACAAATACTTCCTGGATTTCGCTGCGATGCTTGGGATGAACCGGAACTACGGAGTACCGGCAGAGAAAATCAGTTCTGGAGAGAATCACGGAGAATTAAGTTACTGATCCCTGTCGAGGAGCTGTCAGGAGCTGTCAAAGAAGGAGCCACTTTTATATAAACTTTTGCTACTGTTTGATATTTATCTTTCGTTGAAGGGAGTGAAGGATGCTGTCACCCTGACCTAGTTGCCCATGTCTTGCCACCTGAACAGCATAAAGACAAGACCGCTGGCGAACAAGGCCCCTCGAACTTGTTCAAATTGTGGGCCTGGACCGGGTGACCGTGCAGAATTAACTCTGCGGCCGTTTTTTGACAGCTCCACCGACGTACCTCAGTCAAGAAAATCGTCCTTATAACGGCCTATGAGGGTCTTGTATGATAGCCCATGTGGGTCGGTGGCTTGAGCGACGCCATTTCCACGCTCGTGGGAGAGGCCATCATGCCCGTCCTGACACGAGCTGATGGGTCCTTAATTAGAGAGTGGATCATACAGGTCATATTTGCCAAAATATTCCGACGTACTTTTGTTTCCGGCGTTGCGGGTGCCAATTAACGTCCGCTCGGGTCGAAACTATGAAATCCGCCAAGGACGTGTTGACTGTGCCTGAGATCGACATGGCAAGGAAGTAGGATATGGTGCTCTTCACTAATGCAGAAGGTCATTGTCGTGTGTCTGAGTTGTGTCGAACGTTGGAAAGATTCTTGTCGCTCAACTTACAGGTCATAAACATCTTCATACTAATACAGCAAAAGAGTTCTCTTCTTTTATTTTTGATGGCAATTCGTTCTATCATTTTCATCACCATACTCCCAATGGTGATTCTTTTTTAACATCTGAATTCACCTATATCCATCACCAAAATGAGCTCCTACGGCGGGCTAGGTCCCATGGTGAATGGCGTCCTCTGGACTGAGGCCGTTCTATTTGCATTTTTCGTAACACTCAGACTCTATACCCGAAAGCAGATCCTCAATGCTGTCGGTGCTGATGACTATATATGCATTCTGGCGCTGGTGAGAACAGAATCGCTACTTCCTATACCACTCCAGACTAACAGCCCTAGGTCGTCCACATTCTTTACACAATTTTCGTCACCATGGCCACACACTACGGCCTAGGCAGATTATTTGCTGATATTGGTGATCCAACGATCTACTTTACTGCTGTCAAATATGAATTATTCAGCCAGGTGGCTGGTATAATGGTCATTGGCATCGGAAAAGCGGCCGTTGGCGTTTTCCTACTCCGAATCGTGCGAAACAAGATCCAGATCTGGTTTATCTATGTCTGTCTCGGTATAACCGCCATTATAACATTATTTGCCAGCATCGTTGTTATTGTCCAGTGCTCGCCGGTCGAGAAGAGCTGGAATCCGATGACACCTGGACATTGCTGGATCAACTTTTCCAACGTTGGCTATACGGTTGGTTGTACGTATTCCGCGACTGGTATCCAAGTATAAACTTTCCATTCGGGATACTGATTTGCATTTTCACAGCTTGGTTTGTAGCTGCCGATCTCGCCTTCGCAACCCTCCCGTGGTTCGTTGTCTGGGATCTCAATATGAAACGAAAGGAGAAGATCACTGTTGCTTGTGGTCTGAGTCTTGGAATATTGTGAGCTGAACTATCCAACATCGATGAGCATACCTCTGACAGCACAATCTTAGTGCCGGTGTTTGTGGTATTGTCCGTACAGTCGCCCTAAATGGCCTCGACGCCTCTGAGTACATCTGTAAGTTATCTACCCCTAAATCGAAGAAGGAGAGCCTGCTAACGGTATTTTGAAACAGACGACACCGTCCCAATGCTCATTTGGTCTGCTACAGAAAGTCTCGTCACAATAATGTGCTCCTCCATTCCCGTCCTCCGACCTCTTTATATCCGCATCCGCTACGGCAAAGATGGCAAAGACAGCTCCGTCGGAAACAGCGGTGACAAAACCTCATACAAATTGCCCATGTATGGCAGCGGTGCTCGCAAGTACGGTAAATTCTCAATTTCGAACACGAATGACTCGGTCCTTGAGCCGAAGAATTCGACGATTGTTAAATACCACTCGCGTGATACCAGCGATGAGAACATTCTCCAGGGAGCGGCGGGTATTGAGAGGACGGATGAGATTTCAGTTAGCTATGAGAGATTTGATAGTAAGGTCTGACGGGTAGTAAGTAAATATTTGGATTTTGTGTGCATATACTGGGTGGCTGGGATTGCAAGGCAGGGAACAAGTCACGGTCCTTGAAGATTTAAGCTGGCTGTCTACTACCGGGGCGTTTTATGTTTGATTCAAATTTGGAAGATGTCACGGTATCTTCACCCTAGGCACAACGCCGTTTTATTCAAAATTAATACACTCATTTATACCCATTTTTACGTCTCGCTCCAGTGTATTTTCCCGAAGTATAAGCAGCGTATCTGACATGTTCAAGTTCGGGGTTTTGCAAGCAACAGGGTTTTTTCTTCTCTGAAATGTTCGGATGCAATGGGTATATAGATATTAGTTATGAGACAAGAAGAATGATGCACAAGAGACCAGCTCCGCGTATGTCTAGTCGAGCCCAGAAACAAAAAAACGCCAAACGATGATCATAGCTCAAGTTAACCACGAGTGGTGCTAAAGGAAATGTATCAGCACGAGGCACCATCACAAATGACTAGCAAGAGCAGCTTACGGTTCTTTTGAGATCTCCACGGCCAAGTGATCATGGGCGGGATCGTGTCTTGCGTCCGTGCTCGTGGCAGCGTGACCAGCATCATCCTTGCCCTTTCCCTTTCCCTTGCCCTCATCCTCACCCTCCTCATCTTCGGCACATCCGCAATCATAATATGCGCCCAGTTTGCTACAGTCGAATTCCGGCTTCTCCAGCATAGCGTTAACCTCATTGTGAATAAAGCAGCCCCAACCTGCTGCGACTTTTCGCGAGGACACTTGCGGTGGGTACTTGGTAAGGTGTTGCTGGAAGTGTTCGGCGCATTCACCACTGTTTCACGGTTAGCTCAGTTACACTGTCTCAATATTGCGCAGGCAATAGGTAATAGCATGCCCGTGTGAAACTGGAATGGTATGGGGGTCGGGGGAGTAGCGAAAGTATGACAGGGGAAAGTCGTACCAAGGGTATAGTCGAGCGAAGAGGTGGATATACGAGCGGAGAGCTTCTTGTTGATCCTCCGTTGGCTTTTCGGGGAATCGAGCCATGACCGTGTGGAAATATTTCCATGTCGCGCGTCCGAGTTCAGCTCTATAGTCACATTATGACGATTAGCTAGCTGTGCATGAAAGGGAACGGGGAATATACAAGTCTCCGTCTAGAAACAATGGTTTATACATACTTTGCGGTTGCATTGCCTAGCTTTGGCATCACGACATCCCCTTTCAATGTCCCTTCCTGGATTGTGATCCCCGTAGATGGCGCATTATGCGTGATGTGACCGGGTGCTCGGATGGCAGGGCTCGGTGGTCCTTGGGGTCGGATGAAAAGGAAGAATACGATCAGTATGGAGATCGCTGCACTGATGACGATGCGCCGTGTGATTTGTCGATTAGCCATGACGGAGTGCGCGATGGGGTTCGGCGCGGCGCGGCGTGGCGTGGAGTTGTGGATTTTTGAGGCAGAGAACGGTGCCAGAGGATCAGACAGATATGGTCAAGGGTTGAGATGAAATTCAACAGCTGGACAGCCCTGAAAACAGGGGGCTCAATGAGTTGGGGGCCTTCAAGTTCAAGTTCGAGTTTAATCAAGGCAACGTCACCCAATCGATGCAGTAACGGGGGCGGGCACGTGATTTCATGGGTCTATATTCCTGCCTGAGGCACTACATTTACCTCAAACTATACGAGTAGTCGTTATAAGCTATAACTTAGATCCAGTTGCTTAAATGGAACACCGAAAATATCCTATCCCATTGAGAACTTTGAAGTAATTCACACTCATGCACGACGCATCCCATTTTGAACAACAGTATCGCTCAAGCTGGGAGGCAAGTCCTCCTTCCGCGTCCCCCAATCACTCTCCGCCTCGCCTAGAGTCAACTCAAGCGTCATACCCTCCGTGAAAAAAGCATGATCAATCCAGTTCTTAGTATAGGGCTTTCCATTAAGTGTAGCACTTTGAACAAAGATCTTCTCATAACTCGAATCGAAATTGATATTGCGGATGGTAGCTGTCTTATTCGTTTCCGGGTGTGTGATCTCAACGGCCTCGAAGAATGGCGGGCTGATGAGGTAGACACTTTGGCCTGGATTAGGGAATAAACCCATCAGACTCCATGCCAGAAATGAGCCCATTGCTCCGGAGTCGTCGTTACCGGGGAGGCCGTTGTTGCTCGCGTTAAATGTGCGTGGGATGTAGTTGTGTGCCCGCTTGGTGGAGAGGGCTGGGCGGCCGGCGTAGTGGTATTCGTAGACAGTTAGGAAGACGGGTTCGTTTCCAATATCTGCGAGCCCGGAATTGTGGAAATAGTCCAGGCGTTTGACAAAGGTGTCTGGGCCGCCGACGAGTTCGATCAGGTTTGCCATGTCGTGTGGTACATAGCTTGACAATGTTAGTGTATCTAACCAGCAGTATTGGAATGAAGAAGGAAACTTACAACAGATACTCCCAAATACTGGACTCAAAGGTTTCAGACGGATTCGATGTTAGCGAGCACCACGATGCCAAGGCACTGCACGCAATAGGGTCCTGGAATCCCCAAGTACCATTCATGTACTTCGGTTGAAAGAATCCCGTGAATCCTGTATCGGTCCCATTTTCAAGAAAGGAAGTCTGATCCTCCTTGTAAATATTTCTCCAATTCCCAGCACGGGAGAGATATTTCGTATGATCATCTTTCCCGATGCCCTGTCCCACAACGGACAAGCAATAGTCATTATAAGCATACTCGACCGTCCTCGAAATACTGCGCGAGTTAGTCCCGAAACCGAGATAATCGAAATCCAGAAACGGGATATAATTCAAGCTCTTCCAGCTCTGAAGACCACCCCGTCCTTCATAAGACCACTCAAGGGGTTCATTCTCCGCATCATTGACCATAGCCTTGTACGCGAGCTCCCAGTCAATCCCGGTGATGTTCTTCACATAAGCATCCGCAAGAACAACATCGGCATTAGACCCACCCTGCGTCCAGCCCTTACACAACGACATTCGACAATCCGGCAACCAGCCCTCATGTTTATACGTGTCGATCAAACTGCGAACCATCCGCGACTGAGCCTGCGGATCAACGATTGTGAGAAAAGGGTGTTGAGCTCGAAATGCGTCCCAAATACAATAAAACGAGTCGAAATAGGGCTCATCGCTCTCCCATAGCGGATTTTCCCCAGTCATATCCTGCGGCGAGAGCATAGTTCGATAAATTCCGCTCCAAAAGGCACTCAGCATATCATCGCTAACACCATTCCCGGGCGTCACTTTGATAGGACTCAATCTCTCGCCCCAGGCTTTCTTCGCCTCGTCGCGCAATTTATCAAAATCGCCCTCGATATTGGGAACTTCTGATTCGCCGTTCGAACAGGCTTGCTCGGTGCTGATGAAACTCACACCAACTCGAGCAGTAATCGTATCCCCCTCATCCGGTTGCTCAAAACTCATCCACCCACCAGCCTGGAGGTAGAAGTTATTGAATCCCCTCGTAACGAATAACTCCTTCGGTTCACTGCCCGCGCGATCATTCACCCAAATACCACCATCCTTAACCCGGGCGCCCACGAAATCAGCGCAGAAATAGGTCTGATATGACCCGGCGCCGAAACTAGGCAGAAATGTCCCATTACCCTTGACACGACCATTCTTCACATCAACAGAGATACTGGCATTTTGCCTCGACTCCCAGAGATCAGTCAGATCAATCGAGATAACTGGATCAGTCGACACCGCTCCATCTCCCTCTGCACCGGACGAAGGAAACGAAAACCTATAAACAGCCGTCCTCCTAGCAGCCGTCATATCAACCTTAAACCCATCAACCAACTCAATTCCAAAAAACCCCGGCTCAGCCTTCACAGAATCAAGCTTATACCCTCTCTTCCTGCGCTCTTTGGTAAACCCACACTCAGCAATCCCCCCATCCTCGCTATTGCAAAGATGCGGGAATAAAGGAAAAACACCAAGGGAAGGATTCCCCCCCGGTGCCGGAATCATGAAGCGACGAAAATCCAGTAACGTTACTCCCGTCCGTCGAGAAACCGCCTGTATTCTGGCCGTCGACGTCGGCGACGGGTTTGGCGAGGCCGTAGGGTAGACTTGCGCCGGTGAAGACGTTTCCGCCGGCTGTTGAGCCGATTAGTGGGTTTATGTGGTTGATGTCTGTTGCTGTGGCTTGGGTTGTTGGGATTTGGAGGAGGAGGGATAGCCCGCTGACGAGGGCTTTTGTTGATGGCATTGTTGGCGCAGATGGTCAAGGTCTTGATTTCTGTTTCTCTTTTTTTATTTTTTATTTTTTTTCTGGATTTCTTCCTAGAAAAAAAATAAGGAAGTTGTTTGTTTTGGTCGCCGCGTTCTGTGTCACCCCCTTCCTTCCTTGGTTTGGTTTCTTTTCACCACCGAGGATTAAGTTGGAGAGGGAAAAACGAAGACGTATGAGGGGGAGGATATTTATTTTATTTACTCCGCGTCGCTTCGGGATAATTGCCGACGAGGAGGTCCTGCGCGTGGATTGTTGCGCTGTCGGTGATTGTAGGGTGGTATTGTTGTTGAGATCGACAGGCGGATCTCCGGGCAGCGTTAGTGTGGATGCAGGGACCACTTAACAATGCGGGGTTGAAGTTGGAGGGAGCTGGGTACATTGTAAATTGTATTGAAAGTGAGAAATAGTTGATCTGGACGATTCATGATAAGAATAAATTTTGATTCTGCTTCTAGCAGGAGTTAATCATTAAGTGTGTGCATGAAATGGTAATGGCTATGATACATATGATATGGTATGGTGTGCTATGGGGGTATCCGATAGTTAAGGAGATTTTCTCTTTTCTTGGGCATGATGAGCTTTCCCCAGCTCAGTGAAGAATCCATCTTCGAAACATGGTATCATGATGCTGTTCAGACAAATTGAACAATATGGGCGACGTAGACCCCTTAATTAAAGGCCATGGTACCCTTGTTCTGCTTCTTGCCGACATCGTAGTTCTTCCAGATGGCGACGCCAGGGATGAGCAGCACCAGGATACAGGTCGAGGCAATGCAATTCATCCTCTGGGCATATCCCCAGGCATAGACGGTGGCATTGCGTAGATCAGAGCCCACGGGGTAGGCCATCTGTGTGGTGATGCCTAGAGTGTAGATCTCCGTGGCATTGGCCTTCAGGTTCTCAGGCAGCTTGCTGGCGAGTGCTTCAACAAAGACGTTGTTGTAGATCGCAGCAGACACGGCATACCCGATAGCTCCACCGATGCTGGAGAACAGACCGATCAGCGCGAGCATCATTGGGGTGCCCTCGCGACCACCGCCAGCCATCACGGCCATGTCATCACCGATCACCAGAGTACCACCACCGAAAGCAATGAAGATCTGGCACATCACGATATAACCGATACCGTGATCTTCTCCACGGAAGTATATCATCAAGCCCGACCCCAGAATCATCAGAGGCACGCCGAAAAACAGGGTGATGTACTTGAAGTGTCTGGTATACCAGATGATGATACCCAGGATGGGGGCCCAGAAGCAAGATCCGACATTGTAAATTTGGAGCATATATCCAGCCATGGTCGAATCCAGATTATAGGTGAGGAGGATGAAGTTGTAGAAATACTGGTCCCATAGGTAGAAGCTGAAGAAGGAGACGGCGGAGCAAATGCAAGCACCGAGAATGCTTGGGCGTTTGAGGAGCTCGTATCGGATGAAATGGGTGCGAGCGAACCACTTCTCCCAGGCTGCGAAGATGAACAGGGTAAGGAAGCCGACGATGACCATCGCAATGAATTTGGCGGAATTGTACTCGGAGCGGCCATACTGGGTCAAGCTGAAGGGCAGGAGGAAGATGACAAAAGCTGCCATGAGGAGGAGAGCACCAATGACATCAAACTCGTGGATGTAGTGGACGATAGCCTGGATCTTTGTACGGCCGGTGTTGCGGCGCTCCCAGACACCCATTTTGATCGCCTTGCGCTCGTAGAATTTGAAGACCAGGGCCAGTGGTAGGAAGATAACCGGCTGGACGATGCAAAAGATACCATAACCCCAGCGCCAGCCAGAATTTTCACGAATGGCAGTGGCTGCGAGGGGACCCGTGAATGCGGTGCAAATGAACGGGGTAGAAGCGAAGGCGAAGGCAAAAGCTCGCGAACGCAGGCCAGAGGTATCAGCGACGAATATATCCAGGATCAGATAGAGACAGTAGTAGCCGATCCAGTAGATAACGTATCCGGCAGCGAAAGCGTTGGCATTGTTGCAGGCGGACAGGATGATCATGCCGAGGGTATAGACGACAGTAGAGAAGATCAGAGCTTCCGCGCGACCCCAAAGTTGCAGGGTTTTAGCCAGTGGCAGCTTGAGAACACCACCGATGATGGTGGAGAGAATGTACGAGGTGGAGACCTGCGGGGCGAGGGCGAAATCGGCGAAGACAAAGTTGATCAAGTTACCGCTGATGCTGGAGTGGAAGGCCAGCATGAAGAAGCAAAGCCAGATCCTGAGAAGAGAAGAAGAAATTGATTAGCAACTAATCCGGGATGGAATGCAAGCGAGCGAGCGAGTAAGGATATAAAGCAAAATCAATTGCATTTCACTGATCGGATGTACTCACCAAGCATAAATACCAATGACCACGGGGCGACTCCAAACGAGAGCAGCGGCCTCGGCCTTTTGCTGACCCAGGGCAATCTTAGCATTAACATGGTCCGGGTTGTTCTCGCGCTCCTTCTCGTCATCTAGGACACCGTTCACGCCGAAGGAAGCCTCGGAACCGGTCTCATAGACCGGGAGACCAGATTCACCTGGTTCTGCGCCTGCTTCAACGGAATGGGGATGCTTGCTTTCAGAAGGGTCGTGGATGTTGTCGGTATCAGCAATAGAGTGAGTGACACGGCCATTGTCATTGCGGCCATGAAACATATCGAAGACACCCATGGTGACGAATGGGATGTCAGAACGATGTGAAACGCCGAGTGACGAAAGGCAAGGGACTTCAGAAGAAGAACTGAAGAAGCCCGGTTACCAGCGGGGAGAGGGTTGGGACGAGAAATTGAAGCAAAAGAAAGGACGAGCCGGAGTATTTGAGAGAGGAGAAGAGGGATCCGAGGGCCGGCAAGCGCGCGCCATCCGATTTTTTTTTACTTTTTTTTTCAGGGCCAGGTCGGGGATCAGGTGCAACGGAGGAGCCGACCATGAGAAGGGCCTGGAGACTGGAGACTGGAGGGAGTGGGAGGTGGGATGGGATTGGATTGAGATGGGATGGGATGATATCCACCCATCAGATAAAATGGGAATTGGCAGTAATCAGATGGGATCCACTTGGTGGTTGACCAATCACAGGATCAGCCACCTTGAGGAAGGTTCATATGATTGGTGAGTATTAGATACGCTATGCCTATTTAGGTTAGGCGTACCTTCCGAGTCCGGGTGCCACTGCACCTGAGGAAAGTGCGACCCTGCCTGTTTGCAGTCACCAACCGCACCTTCCCCAAGTCACCACGCCCAAGTCAATGATGCTCCTCTCTCCACTTCTCTTCGTCTTCTCTTCTTCTTTACCTCATCCTCATTTTTATATCCATTCTTCACTCTGCCAGGACTCGTTGTTGTTGCCCCGGTTTATTCCTTCCAATTTAAACGCAAATTAACTATGCAAGGCTCCCACTTTTAATGCCGATCGAAAGGACCATCCGACTGCCCAGCCGGGTTAGCCCGTGCAACATGGCCAAGCAATCAACTAGTAACGACTACGGAGTACGGAGTACGAGTTTACACCTTAATCCATGGTCCTGTGAGAACGATTTTTGCTCCTCTTCGGGTCCCTGACCAAAACATGCTCTGGTCCGACGCCACTATTTCTTATCTGATGGCAATTGGAACGTGGAATCCCATGCCGTTCCATCCCATCCGTCACCTATCCCCATTCAGTCCCGGGTCCGTGGGTTAAACTTAGCGACTAGCGGGCGCCTCGACCACCATCGACCAAGGGAAAACTAGGGATGCCCGACCCTCAAACCCCTCCCAGCATCAGAGACAATTCGCGCGTTTTCCGCCCCTGCCATTGGCTATGCAAGAGGGAAGCTATGGCTATCTCGGGGAGTATCGATGCGAACAACTTAGGTTGTGCCCATGCCACGTCCAGGCAACATAGTACACGAGATGCACAAGGCTGTGTATCTGTATGTGTGGCCTGTCGTCTCCGCCTTGGTGCTTGGTGGTGCCCTGACATGCAATTTTGAATTTCCCCGTTCCACCACGGCCGTTGCCTTCCGGGCTTGCCAGCCGCAAGGAAGCTTTAGGCTTGCGTGAACTCATTTCCCTAGCGTTCTTGGCGAATCACTCGGGCGAAATTTTCATCGCCTTCCCGCGGTCAAGGTCATGGCGAAAAGGGTCGAAAGTTAATCAACGATCCCCATCTAATCTGATTTAATTCCCGCGACACAACCATCCTCGCCACAATCCGCTTCTGGCGATCTTTTTGGCCAACACTGTGGATCCGTGCTGGTCTGTCCAATTTCTTGTTTTTTTCAATCTGTCGCGCCGCCTATCGCCGACCGACGATGGTGTGGATTCCATGTTCCGGTTGTAGATAACTTGGCATCGATTGTCCAGTCGGGTATCCCGGCCGACACTAGACATCGGGACGCCGGTCAACTGCCGCTGCAGGAGATCCACCTGCAAAGTCTTCCATTCTCACACGACATTAGATCAAGAGAAGGGTGACGCTGCCCAGATTTGAAAAACTAGGAATCCACGTGGTCTAGGGAGAAGATTGATTGCTACTAATAGCTAGCTCATCATCGACTCTCCCCTCACGATGTAGCCACCCTTAATTTTCACTCTCGCTCGAGTTCGGCTTTCCAACAGTTCCAACCCCACCCGTCGGCTATCGCGGACTTCATCATTGCGATGTCTTCTTTTGAGTCTGGATGTGGGATTGGTTGTACGGAGTGTGTGGTTCCTCCACGGGTTCCTCCGATCGCAGCCTTGCACGGCCTTGTGTATAGTTCTCGCAGAAAACTACAGTACCCATTCGATACCGGCTTAGTCCGCGCTGGGTGGCGTGTCGTGCGTGAACTGGCGATAAATACCCGCTAAGCTGCCCCCAGCCATGTCTAGTTTAAACGTGCTTCGAGATACCGCGCTGAAAGACCTAACAGACCATCTCCAACACGCCTCACAGTTCAAGGAACTGAGTTCATCACTGAGACTTCTTTGATAGTGGGTTCGCACCCACCACAATGTGGCCCCATTTGAGCGTGTCGATAGTTCATTTCGCGTCAAAGATCCCGACTGGCTGATTTTGAGGCTAACTGGGGTTTCCCTTGTAATGGGGCTGCTGATGTGGCGTGTGATGTGGCGTGTAGACGGATCTGAGACCGTGTGAGCAGTTGCCTTGTTCACCGAAGGTGCATCAAGGCGTCCCACCCTTGGCATTCTATGCCACTTGTGCTACATGGAAAAGTGAATAGACATCATTCCATCACCTACTTGCCCGATGTCACCCTGAGGTTTTGCTGTGCACATCGTCGAAGTAAACCCTGCCTGGGGTCGTAGTGGCCGGGCAAATATCGCAAGTTTGATCAATTGTTTCTACTTTGATATTTTTTCGAATATGCCAGTTTTCCGTTATATGTACGATTCTGTGAAGTAATTGTGCATCACCTGAGGTCATCCCATATTTTTAGACTTGCATTGAGCCTTCAGTTGTTCAAGTTCCTCGAAGCTCATATTGCAGCTTATCCTTTCGAGCAAACAGCAATGCACGTAAATGCACTCGGCCTTGGTGTGAAATGGATTGATCATAATGTAACTTTGTGTCACAAATCCCCAACTGGATTCTTTCTCGGAGATTTTACTATGCCTTGAGATCAAATTCGTCACCACTTTCGTGCCCGGAATGAACATCTTACAAATTTTGGACAACGCTGGTTTCATGATGTCCAAAACTGCACCCAATTACTCGATCAATGAATAATATGATACCAAATTCATCGCATTTTTCCCCGTTGTTGAACTTCAATTGAGTCTACTCGTAGCTACTAATAAACGAGATCTATTGTCGAAGTTGCTTTGACACCCAGAGATCCACTGGCAAGGTACGATTTTGGCCCCATCACCTGGGCAGTGAACAGATTTACTCTCGTTGGTTCATAGTAATTGATGCAGTAGAAGAGCCTTATTAAATATTTACTTTGAGACGAGTAAACCCACAAAGATGAAGCCGGGCTTCATTGCGATAGCGTATCTGTTTTCGAAAAGCTACCAGTTGGCTCTTTCTTCTCTATTGGCTGGAAAATTCGATGGCCCCCAATTTCAGGAACCCAGCTAAGGATAGCGCTACGGTAATACGGCAATTCCATGATCTAGCCAAAGAACCTGCCACAGAGGCTACAATCGCTATTATGAAAGAAACTAAACCTGGGGCGCCTACCCGCTATCCACCCACCACCCACAACCCACGATCAATTCTTTCCAGCGAATCCTAGGCAGTCGGTTTATTTCCCGCTCCTATTTCGGGGTTGAGTGCGATGCACTCATCTCCACGGATGTTACCGTCCAAGCGAGGCGGAGGCTTAGCGTTCCCGACGAGATGCTGTGATAGGGCATGTCTCAGGCAGTTGGTCAGGGCAATCGATCTCAGACCCCGCGCTTTTCCTTAATAGGCTTGGAGGCTGAAAACCTCATGCCGGCATTCCGAGTCTTCCAGGGACCAGAACCCCATCGATGACTCCAAAACTCAATTGGGAAAGAGGAGAAGCGCCTATAACTTGAGCCTGTCTTCCCCGATTCTTTCGGGGTTCTTTCTCTCAAGCTGATCTTTAATCAATCCCCACACTCAACTCAGCCCTACGAGTAGATCCCATTTCGAATTCGTCACTGACAACACCCATTCATTGATCTACTATTTGCTCATCCATTCAGTCGCCACTATGCGCGTCCAAACTGTCGCAACTGCCCTCCCCCTGCTGATGCTCGCCTCAAGCGTCGCAGCCGTGGACTGTTCAACCCACAGCTTCACCACCTGCGCCGACAAGATCGTCCACTGGTTCGACCCAGACACTGGCGAAATCTGCGATCCCCTAGACTGTGGTGGTGGCCGTGCTCCCCCCAAGACTGATGTCCCCGGATGTCCTATGTACACCGGCACCGAGACCCGAGCCACCAGCAAGTCATATCTTTCTTGCTGGACACCCTCAGCCAGTGCTACTCCCACGACTGAAAGCACAGCTGAGACCACCGCTGAGTCTACCTCTTCCACCTCTGACGGACCTGATGTTGCCACCTCGACTTCTGTCGTAACCGCGACTTCTCCCACCACTGTTGTCGTGACTTCAACTGCGACTGGAAGCCAAACCAGCGGCGCTGCCACTAGCCCTTCGACTACTCCTGCGGCTTCTCTTTCCTCCAGCCAAGGCGCCTCTGGAAGTACAAGTGGAAGTGGAAGCGGAAGTAACACTGCTAGCAGCAGTGGCTCTGCTTCGGCTCAAACAACGACGACTTTCAACGCTGCTGGTGCGTTGACTGGGTCGCTTGCCGCTGTTGCTGGTGTTGCTCTTGGTGCGATCGCTTTTGTCTAAGAGATCTTCGAGGGCAAACATATTTCTTTCATTTAATATTCCATTCCGAATCATGTATATATAGCAGCGATGATATAACAAGCTAATCTGCTTTCTTGAATCTATCAATTTCGAAACCAGCGCGGTAGCGCCCTCTAGGACTGGTGCATTTACTGTTGACCTCGGGACAAAATGTCCATAGTACATCAATTTTTCAATCCTGTCTCTGATTCTAAAGCATTCTAAAACCCTCCAAGCTATTTTTTCTATCTACATAGTTTTATAACTCTTGGCAACTGATTTTTCATGTCTGGAAAAAGGAAGATGGCGATTTCGCACTCCTTTCCGAATCCGTAATAGCGTATCTTAGCTCGTGTTTGTTATCATAAGCCTTGTGGGCTTCTTCTGTGGCTGTGCGCATCATTTTTGGGGGCCAAAAGCCTTCACTCCCTCATTTGCCTTGGACCTTCAGCTATTTTCCTCCACAAATGCTCATCTTGATTATTCACTAGTAAAATCTCCATCTTTTCCATATTCAACAATCCCTTGGGTGTTGTGTGCGTATTCGGCAATTGTATCCGGCGCCATTGGGAACTTATTCGACAAAAAGCAAACCTAAAAATACCCCTCCGACTCACACCGTCAACATCTGAGGGACAAGCAGCGACGAATATAACGCAGCTTCACGGACCTCAGCGCTACAAGTTCCGGTGGTATTATTCTGAAATCACGACATGTCAGACAAAAAGTCAAGCAGCAATCCCTTTGAGGATCTGGATCGGCATCACGCCGAGCAGGAGATGGAAAATCGCGGTCTTCCACCTTATTCAAGGGTTGCGCCCAACTCTGCGTCTGAAGATCCAGCAGTCAACGACTCTAAAGACTCTAAGAAGCCGCAACCAGAAATCTATGATGCCCCGGAAGTAGTGCCACAGGTCGATCGGGAAACGCTGCCTGAGGTCGTACCCGTCGAAGAGAATCTTCCCGAGGTTCGTGTCGCGGAAAACACTCATTATTACAACCAAAATCAAGCTTTCGCTCCTCCTGCGAACGGGTCAGGGTATCCTCCAGCAGACGGGAAAGGATATCCTCCAGTGAACGGGCCTGGATACGCCCCATCAGACGGGAAAGGATATTCTCCAGTAGGCGGGTCAGGGTATCCCCCAGCGAATGGGCCCGGCTATCCTCCTGCTTTCGGGCCAGGATATGCCCCAGCAGACGGCCAAGGATATCCCCCAGCGAACGGGCCCGGCTATCCTCCTGCCTTTGGTCCAGGGTATCCCCCAGCCGACGGGCAAGGATATCCTCAAGCAGGCGGGCCCGGCTATCCTCCTGCATACGGACCAGGATACCCTCCAACGAACGCGCCAGGATATTCGCCAACGCCAATGCCAAATCCTCAAGACAGAACTATTGCCATCCCAGCTGTCGACTCCTCACCGGGGTCCCCTTTACTTCGAGCCTACGTGCCGATGTTAAACAAATACAACCTCCCCCAGGAATCATTCTTCAGATTCCTCGACTCGCTCAACGACGTGATCACAACCAACCCACCAATGCAAGTCCTCGATGTCACCGGCGGCATCCTCAAGTCCGTTCCAATTCTATTTCCACTGCACTGGATCGGATCCGCATTCAGCGGCCTTGCAAATATAAGTGAACAAAGCAAGTCAAAGAGCCGATCAGACTCGGCCCTCAAACAAGCGAATAAGGAAATTTTCGGTCCCCGCGGTCTAAAAGCCGAGCTCGCGAACCTCGATGCACTCGCTTACATTGCGAAAATTCCTATTCTTGACCCGCAGGGCAAGATTAATAAGAATTCGACTGTTGTTCGGCAGTTGGCTGATATGTCTCGCGCGTATCGGGAGCGGAGGAATGGTAGCGACTCTAAGGAACAGGATCAGAAACAGGCGCATGAATTAGACTTGCAGCAACAAAGGCTTCATGTGCTTCAGCCTTGGATCCAGGATCTTCAACTCGATATCAAGCCGACGGCTAAGTCGAGGTTGACTCGGTTTAACTCCGCGTTGAAGAAGTATAATGATCCTAGAAGGCAGGATTCGAATTATAGGTCGGAGAATGGTGATGAACAGGATCGGTTCAGGAAATGCCTTTGGTTGGTGATTCGGGAGGTGGATGGTAATGGGGGACAGTCGCAAGCTGGACCATCGAAGTGATCGAAGACCTTTTTCATGCATAGGATTTGTATATATTAGCTGCATTACACGTTACGATGGCATAGTCTAATTCATAGCCTGAGGCACATTCAAGTTAGCACCCGGGGCGACTAGTCGTCAATTTATACTGGTACAACTACAAATAGAGGCCAATGATCCGGTTTCTCGGTGAAGAACCATGGAAAACCTTTGGCAAGAATCGTGTATTATTAGGTTATAGTAGTATCGAGTAAGCTACTAGTACAATTCCAAAGCCGTTGAATAGAACCGGACCAGGGAGACGTGGTTGCAGTCTGGTTTTGATGTATATTCCAAGGTTAGGACGAGGCAGAAACTTCGAGCTCGTTTTCACCCCAGGAAAGTCGAATGGTGACGGTCGCGAGTGACTACGGCAGGCCGGTCGCCCTTTCAAAGCATACGTACGTCTGTCATGTCTCCCTTGAATTCTTTTCGAAGACCCGGGCAGTGATGGTTTGGTGTTGTCATTGCAGAATATACATATCGGGTATTAAAATGTCGAAAAATGAACGAAACGCTAGGAAAACAGGGTCGAGCCAGCTGGTATGTGAAACCAAATTAAGCAGAGGCTTGATAGTAAAGGCCTTCCCCAGAGCCATCAGTCATAAACTCGTCAATCATATATGCGACAATCCTAGCCAATATGTTAGCATGCCCCCGCTGTGCTTGTCAAGGTTGTGAATTGCATACGACTCTGTGGTGCGATCACCACGGTATGGTTCACGCGATTCGAGGCCTCGGAACACCTCCATTTTAGGCATGTATTCAATATCCATATCTCGACAAAATTCTCGGTCCTCCATGCAGTTCACCTTGACAAGAGGAACGTTGTTCTCTTTCAGTTCCCTGGCCGCTTCTTCATACTTTGGGGCCAACTCTTGGCAGTGCCTGCCTGACGGGCTGTAGAAGTTGACCAGAACCAAGTCATGCGCTTCTATGAAATCATGAAATGTGTCCTTGGTCAAAGATACGGTATTCGACTCAACGAGCTCGGTGATTCTAGCAAATGCGACCGTTGCGGCTCCGAGGAGGCCCAGAAGATAAGTGGTGGGCGGTCGCATAATGACGCAGTGGCTCGGAAGGGAGGAGATATTAGAGTACTATGTATCATAGGTCAGAATAGAGATATACGAATGAAAAACCTGGAGCCATGCGAGATAGTGGGGGTAAGGGAGGCTGACTTACCAGGTCTTGCGTGAAGAGGATGCGGGGAGGGGAAGATGAGAATTGAAAGACCGAACGAGGTCGGAGTTTTGGCCCCGAACCAGCGCCACTATAGAAACTTGGTTTGCTTTTTGGTTAGTTTCGGTTTGGGTTTGGGTATATTCTGCCAGTTTTGTCTCTTCTTTCCGCCTGCTTCTCTTCTCCCCAAGGAGATTGAGCATTTCCCGCGGTAATGATGGAGGTGAAGATGGGATGTCTCTTATTGTCGCCGGGCATTTCTCTCTCTTTCACAAATCATAAGCAAGGCCAGTGCTGTTCCTGTGGGCTCTTTGCACTCCAGATGTTACAAACGCATCGACGGCGACGCTATCAGGGATCGCATGACCCCTTCTTCTTGTGGAAGGGGTTCCCACGACAAAACATCGAATTCATTGAAAGTATAGCGTTATGGAAAATAAACGATGGATCGAATCATCCAGGCACCAAAGCTGCAATAAAAAGGAGCCATGCTGGGCCCACGCGGAATCTGGGACCCCGCTGTAGTGGATCATAGTCGGGGTCCAGGTGGTCCACGCCCCATATGGAGTACTCGTACGACAATATGGATATGGATATGGACACCCTAAATGCTAGTGGGATCAAATGAGATTCAATATTGGCTATGAAGTACCGGGTACCGAGTACGGATTGGAACAGCCTGTACTAACTGATAAAAGTAGTCCAAATGCTCCGAGTCTCACCCCAGAATTGCGGCAGGACCCGCTTCAAAGGAGTCTTCTAACCTTTTTCTGTGCCGCCCTTTTTTTGTTTTTTGAGGACCTGCTGACCTGGAGGCGTTCGAATCAGATCCTGGCTCTCGTATTCCGTATTCTCACTCGTGCATAGTTACTATGCCCAGTTCTTATGTATTTTTTTCTCTCGGATGCCCGGCAGCATCCGAGATGCACAAGCCCTTAGCAGACCATCGCGCTCGTACTTGGTGGTGGATAACTCGCTGCGGGGATACCTGTCGGTCTAAACTCCGAGATCCTGGGAAAACAATCGGTCAATCTGTTCAGCCATTCCCGTCGCATTTGCAATTCCCGAATCCTTCACTTCTCTCATACCTTCCTGTGTTACTCCCTTCCTCGCCCGGCCCAAAGGCCTTGAAGATCGTGAGTGGACCTGTTGAACCATATTTCCCGAATTTGACGTACTTCGGAAACCTTGTCCTCCGTGTGGTGCTCCTGTGGCTTACCTGCAATTTTTGCTAGCATCGCCACCAAGAATCATACCGCGCAACCAATATCCCATACGTTTAGCTAAGGAGTAGACCAGCAAGAGTACTGAGACTACTCCTTCGAAATGCTCGCAATGGAGGACCACAGTACGTGCACCGATTCTGTTGCTTTTCAACCTTCGGGAAACGAATGTTCACACTTTGATGGTAACTAATTGCTAATGTTTGTTTGCAGAGACCCCATCTGTTGATGGATCAACACCAAGAGCCAGCAATACAGAAGTTCACCAAGTCGACGACGAAAAGCAATCATTCCATGAAAAATCTGATCTGGAGGCTGGACCCCGAGCACATGAGACCACAATCGAGAAGGATGAAAGCTCCCGGGATCCAAATATTGTTGACTGGGATGGACCGAACGACCCCGAGAACCCTCTCAATTGGACGAAAAAGCAAAAGATAAGCGCAACGGTTTCCATCGCGCTGATCACCTTTTTAACGTGAGGCCTTTACTCCTTCCCGTGCTTTTGCAGTGACACAGCTCACACTACTATTCTTTAAAGGCCTCTCGGATCATCAATGTTCGCCCCGGGTGTTGGGCAACTAGTCAAGGATTTTGAGATTACCAGTACGGAACTTAGTTCTTTCGTCGTTTCTGTCTATCTCCTCGGGTACTGCTTCGGTCCCCTTCTCATCGCTCCTATCTCGGAGATGTATGGGCGACGTTGGGTAAGTCAAATCGTGATTGAACTTGAAATCCGAGTACCAACCATCATTTAGGTCTACAATATTTGCAACATTTTCTACGTGGTATGGACAATCACCTGCGCTGTCGCACCAGACATCGGCAGTCTGGTTGTGTTTCGCTTCTTCGCCGGCTGTGTGGGTAGCTGCCCTTTGACTATTGGCGCCGGGTCAATTGCGGATATGTTTGTTCAAGAAAGCAGAGGTAGCGCAATGGCGGCCTGGGCTATTGGACCCCTTATTGGACCTGTTGTTGGTCCCGTTGGTATGTCTCACAATCTCGTTTAACACAATCATATCTGACTGGAAATAGCGGGTGGATACCTTGCCCAAGCGAAGGGCTGGAGATGGACCTTTTGGGTTCTGGCCATGGCTGTGAGTGCAATAGAACATTTACCGTTTGTTGTTCGGAATATTCAACTAATCTCACATTTTTGCAGAGTGGCGCGGTCGCTATTAGCTCCCTCCTAACTATCAAAGAGTCATACGCACCAACCCTTCTGGCCCGTAAAACGAAGAGACTGCAGAAAGAAACCGGTAACATGAACTTGCGTTCTGCCCTTGACACTGGTCGCTCTCCTCGGGATCTGTTCATTTTTTCGATTGTTCGACCTACCAAGATGCTTTTCCTTTCGCCGATCGTCTTTTTACTCTCGCTCTACGTCGGTGTGATTTATGGATATCTCTATCTCCTATTCACTACCATCAGCTCCGTCTTCGAGGATCAATACCATTTCTCGCAGGGATCGGTTGGTCTAGCATACCTAGGCATCGGTATCGGATCTATCCTTGGACTTGTTTTCCTTGGCGCAACATCCGATCGCCTACTGAAATACCTCACCGTAAAGAAAGGTGTCAGCAAGCCTGAATATCGACTTCCCCCAATGATTCCCGGCTCTCTATTCGTTCCCGCTTCTCTCTTTATGTACGGATGGACTGCGTACTACAAAACCCACTGGATTGTGCCGATTATCGGAACCTCTTTCCTGGGCGTTGGAATGCTGATTTCTTTCGTAAGTTAGACAAGAAAATTGTGGGATCCAATTTACTAACGAATTTAAATTTAGATGACTGTCAGCACTTATCTAGTCGATGCCTTCACAATATATGCTGCTAGTGCTATGGCTGCAAACACAGTTTTCCGTTCCCTGGCCGGCTGCCTACTACCACTTGCTGGGCCAAAGATGTATGAGAAGCTCGGCTTAGGTTGGGGAAACTCGTTGCTCGGTTTTATTGCGCTGGCGCTGTGCCCGCTGCCGGTTATTTTCTACGTCTTCGGCGAGCGCATTAGAACGAGCAAAAGGTTTCAGATCAACTTATGAGACAGGAATTAGCTGTTTTTGTTCTTCACTCTGAAATCACCCCTCTTTGCATTTTTATTCAAGGACATGCCAATATTGGTTTTCTATAGCATACCCAAAGGATCTTGGGACTGATTTAAAATAATCCACAGGTTTAATTCAGTAAAGTCCAGTACATGAAATTATATAGAGTGTCAAGTATAATTAAGTAAAGCTTCAAGTCCAAGTTCGATCGGGAGAGAGTATCTTTTCTTCAAATGGAGTAAAGGGACTCAGAATACTTTCAGCTCTTCCCTTTTCTATCATGAGCACTTCTCGGCATTCCTCACTTCTCGGGCGGATGTTACATTCAAATGGACGCGGCCTAATGTTAAACCCTTGCGTGTATGCAAATGTATCATACTGACGCGGTGAACCATCTTTCTCCAACACTGGTTTGAATTCGAAGGTCCACAAGAGCCGCGCTAGAGCGATAAATAAGGAATTTTGAGCCAGTCCAGCCCCAGGACAAATCCTCCTTCCCCAGCCAAAAGAGCTATGGCCCTCTTTGGCTGGATGGTGATTGGTAGGAGAGGCCTCTGCAAAATCATCTTGAGAAAAGCGAGGAAGATAAGCGAGTGTTGTTGGATCTACCCCAAGAAAGCGTAAAGGATTAAAATGGTGCGGATTGGGGTAATACGATGGATTCAGATTGATAGCCCATGAGTTCGATAGAATTGTTGTACCATTCGGAATGAAATAGCCATTGTAAGTATCCGCAACCGAGTTAGCGTGCGGCGTGCCACCCAAAACCGCGACTGGGCGAATTCGAAGTGTCTCGTTGCAAAGTGCTTTGATGTATGGTAAATTGGCTTCATCTGAAAAATTCGGCAGACGCGATTTTCCAATAACAAAGTCCAATTCTGCATGGGCTGCGGCCTGTGCCTCGGGATTTGTGACAAGCATTAGTATGGCACTGCAGAGAGTACTGGCCGTCGTATCGCTTCCAGCGCCAAATAGCGATGCAGGTACAAAGGAAAAGTCCCTCTCACTGAGTAAACCAAATGCTGCAGGATCCGATTCTTGTGCTTCGAGGAGCATTTTAGTCAATGAGTTAGGCACTGCGGTGGAAGATGCTGCGTTGCTAATCTCATCTTTGACCCGTCGCAGTAAATTCAAATTCATTGCCGCTTCCCCACGGCCGCGGCGTTGTATTTCCGCTTTCCACGGGGCGAAAATATTCGGTATATACTTCAGCCAGGGAATTGATTCGGCTAGAAATTTACCCGGGACGTTCAACGAGGCCGAATATTGCATATAGTCCAGTCTTTGCCGAATTATATCAGAGTTCATGGAGTCAATCCTATGTCCGTAAGCGATGCTAAACACCACGCTTGCTGTGAAGCGGTCGATGAGCCCCTCGTAAGACTTTTGATCTTCAAGAATAGTGAAGCATAGTCTCGCAGCTTCTGCTTCTTGAACCGGCTTGTATAGGCGAAGTGCGGAAGGATTAAGGGCCTGGTGCAGCATCCGCCGACGTGTTTGCCATTCTTTACCATAGGGCTGGACCAGAATCCCTGCATTATCCCAGTAAAGCTCTCCCATGACCACGAACCTTGGTCGGGAGCTGAACTTTATGCTGCGCTTTTCAAGAAGGTCGACGGCGACATTGGGGTCGGATATTATGATTGTCGGTCGTCGCCCGATCCAAAGAGTGAATATGGGGCCGTAGATGCGCGACCATTTTTCGAATTGAATCCACGGAGAGGCAGTTGGAATACTTAATTTGTTCCCCAAAAATGGCAGTGGCGTAGGGCCCGGTGGTAAACGGAGATAGAGGAGAAAGTCGTGTATTAAAATAAACAGAGCAGGCAATAAGACGATGGCAAAGGCGACTGTGTAGGGGTTTGATTTCAAAAGGATGGAAGGCAATGAATAATACTCAATCATCGTGGCGATTGCCATTCTTCAATCCCAGCACACTAAGTATGCAGGAAACGATTTCCTATCACTTGGCAAATTCTCTGACGGTGATAACTGAGTCCCCTCCCCCACGCCTAACGGGGTAGTTATATGACTTCTCCACGCTTTCCCACCGGGCAAGCCCCACGCCCTCCACTCTTGAGCAGCTTGTGGGGATCTGATGGGGAAATCATCATGATTTGTTAGCGTAGCCGAAAGAAAACACGCTTAACGAATTAATTACCGAACTCGACTCCTCGCTTCGGAAGTCGTGTGGGGCCAACTCAGGCTATTTCGATCAAGTTCAAGATCCGAGTCGTCTAAAGGCAACTTTTATCCTTCCAGTATTACAGTTAATGAATAAAAAGGCAACTCAGGCGTTCAGCCTGCAATGATTGTCCATTACTTTCGAATGAATATCTCTCAACATATCAGATTCCAAGGTTTCACGTATTCCAAGGTCAATCTACCCACCTCTGCAGTATTTCCCTTCCCGAGGGCTCCTCCTGGGCACTGGCATGGATCCGTGAACACGGGCATTAGTACTATCGGAAAACTTGAATGGGAATATATATTTTTGACAAGTGAGCCTCAAGCCCTAGAGGTTACCTTGTACCAAAAAATTACAACCGTGGCGGGTTCCAAGATTTAATTCTTCCGAGTCAATTAGGTAACTATTAGGAAAGCGGATCGAAAATACTGATTTCTGGATTAGACTCAGACCTTAGGCTATCCAGACGCTCTATTTCACCATGGACCACTCCTAGTTAGCTTCTTGGATGATCGACAGCTAAAAATATAGGAGGGTCCATACCGCCTTACGTAAGCACACGCAATGCGGGCGCGGGCGCGTCATGTGAGAATCTTCAGAAACCGAGGTCACAATCTCCAAGGCTGTCAGGCTAATTCACTGGGGGATATGGCCTGATCGAGCTACTAGTATCTCCTGCCCGTTGAATTGCTTCACTCGACACTTCACGGTGTCTGGTACCCGACACTGCTAGTCAATGCCGTCGCGACGCACGCACACCAAGTCCCGCAAGGGCTGTTTGGAATGTAAAAGGAGGCATGTCAAGGTGAGTGAAAAACTTCCACATGGTATCGGAAGAGCAAGGAGAGACTTCGCAGCTGTGGACTGTGAATCAAATCAATCCCCTCTTCTTCTACTTTTGGGTAATACAGTCAGTATTCAAGTGTTTCATCCGTCTGACTCGATTGATAGTGCGATGAAGATTTTCCCAAGTGCACACTGTGCAAGAGACGAGGATTAGAGTGCAGCTATCCACAGGGTGATCATGAAAGTTCTCAAGGATCCCCTTTAGAGCGAGATGACTCCGAGAACAGTGGTCGGGCCCCTGGTGATCTTCCAATGCCCACGCGCATGCTGGAGATGAAGCTTATGCATCACTACATGACGTCTACCTACCAAACATTATCTCAGGACGGGCTTTCAGCTTATCATTTGTCAATGTCAATCCCGCAGATGGCGACATCGTTTCCTTTCTTATTGGACACTATCCTCGCATTGTCTGCATTGCACTTGGCCTCGTTCGAAGCCGATAATCGTCTCAAATGGCTAGATGCTGCCGTGCGTTATCAAAGTCAAGCTTGCTCTGGCCTTGGCAAGATTCTACCGGAAATCACGTTGCAACAATACGAGCCCGCCTTTGTGTCCTCCGTCTTTATTATAATTTTTGCGACCGGATTTCATTCAATATCAGCTGAAAATACCCCCGGCGATCCTTTCTCGCCAGTCATCGAAGTTCGCACGCTGCTCAATGGCGCCTCCATGCTTTTTAACCGGTTTAATGAAGTTGGTGCGGATGGATCACTGGGTGGCTGGCTTTGTATACCGGACTCTGTCGAGGCTCTATGGCAGCCAAATAAGTGAGTTTTAATATTTCTATCTATTTGAGGGCTTCTTACTGACTAAAATCTTAGTAATACTTCATCACATGAGATCAGTGAAAAGTTGTTCAGTTTGCACAAGTATGTTGCCACTTTATTCAACTCCCAAAATACTATGAGATGCTAATCGAGGCCTAGGGATTTGATGGCATCCATCGGACGGTTAAAAGTCAAAATCGATTCAGAGCAAAGGCCGCACCAAGCGGTTTACAAGGCCACTTGGGAACTATTAAATTATGCGATCGAGCCCTGGCCCAAGATTGGTGCGCAAGGTGGACCTATTGCGTGGCCTCTTTTCATCACAGATCAGTTTCTTTCACTCCTCCAAGAAGGCAACTGGCTGGCCAAGGTTCTCTTTTTGCACTGGGGCCTGGCTATGCGGTTACTGTGTAATCGCTGGTATGTTCGCGACTGGGGTCGGCAATTGATCCTAGCCACGTTAGACCCGTTGAAGGACTCAGAGATACCCGCTATGTGGGCGGATGATATATCTTGGATAAAAACAGCGGCTGAGATCAATGAATAGTTTGAAACACCCCCGTGGATAATTGAGCCAACTGGTGCTATGTAAGTATCAGATGTTCCATGGATGGGTTGACAGATTGCTCATTGGCACCCGGTTGACCCCCGAGGATGCAAATAAAAGTTCAGCCCTGTAGTAGCGAACCGTCAGTGTTCAACGTACGCGTTTATTCCTTGGATATCGCGCCCATCTCTATTCTTCTTAGCTCACTCTGGGATGAGATTCGGGCCAGATCTGACTGCAATGGGGCCTCTACTGCTCTGCACAATTAGCGATTGAACCAACGATGGAAAGACAACTGGCATTATACTGCGCGGAAAGGGAATCTGCTCCCGCGATTGTCGCCTTACCTCCCCATATCTACCATCGCTTCCACACTTACAAAACCCGCTGCAATGGATATCGAAACTTTCCGTCGGATGAATCGTCCTTGATGTCCGAAAGCGCATGCTAGATGCCTATCATCAGCTCCAGCAGGACGCTTCAACCTACCCTACGATCACCTCGGGAAAACTACTTCTTCCGTGAGCAAGAACTGGGGGATCCTTGAGAACAATACCATTGAAAGCCGGCTAATATAAATTTCTATAGGATTCAAAGATCATTTCCCATGTTAACATGGACAGCCTTGATCTGGGTATAAGCCTCTAAACCAGCGGGACCCAACTCCCGGCCCACACCGCTGGACTTATATCCACCAAACGGAACACGGTGATCACTGTCCTGGCTGCTGTTCAGCCAAACGGTTCCTGCTTCAATTTCAGCAGCGACCCGGTGTCCGCGCCGCAGATTCTGGGTGAACACAGCGGCCCCCAAGCCGTACAGAGTATCATTGGCATATTCAATCGCATCTTCTTCCGTATCAAACGGCAGCAAGCAGCCAACCGGGCCGAAGATTTCGTCACGATAGATCTTCATCGATGGCTTAACATTGGAAAATGTGGTTGGCTGCACAAAAAAGCCTTTACCATCGGGTGTAGGGTATGCTTCTCCACCCGTTTCGATGGTTGCTCCCTCTGACTTTCCAAGGCCAATGTAGTGCAACACTTGGTCGTATTGGGCACGAGTCACCTGGGGGCCTTGGAAAGTCGTCGGCTCCCATTGACTACCGACAACAGAAGCAGTCCGAACGCGCTCTTTGAAAAGAGCGAGGAACTTGTCATAAATAGTGCGCTGAACGAAGATTCTCGAGGTTGCTGTGCAGATCTGTCCCTGGTTGGCCATAATTCCAATGTGCGACCACTTGACGGCTTGGTCCAAGTCCGCGTCGTCGAAAACAATCAGTGGTGACTTTCCACCTGTTTCGAGGAGTACCTCCTTCAAAGCCGGAGCAGCGGCCTTCATAATTTGAGCACCCGTGGTGGTTGATCCTGTGAAAGCCAATTTGTCTACCAATGGGTGTTGAGTGAGAGCAGTGCCCGCCTCCTGGCCATAGCCGTTGATGATGTTGACAACACCAGGAGGGAACCCGGCTTCTTTGATGAGTGTAGCTAAGACCAAGATGCTCAGAGGTGTCTGCTCGGCCGCCTTGATAACTACGGTATTTCCGCAAGCCAAGGCCGGTCCAAGCTTCCAAGCAGCCATTGCCAGAGGGAAATTCCATGGAATGATTTGACCGATCACGCCGTATGGTTGACGAAGGGTATAGGCGAACTTTTCGGGAGAGGTCTCGATAGTTTGGCCGAAGCTCTTGTCGGCCCAACCACCGAAGTATCGAAATGTACCAATCGAATCGGGGAGGTCATCTTCCATAGCAAGCTCGTATGTTTTCCCTAGGTGATGAGAAATTTTAGTATTCTAGATTGGAAAACGTGTTCATTGCTCGGTACCTACCATTGTCCCATGCGTCGATGCTAGCAAATAGCTCTTTTCTTTCTTCGATCAACTCCGAAAGACGCACCAGCAGTCTACCACGATCGGTCGCAGACAGCTTCTTCCAGGTAGGTGCTTTGAATGCAGCCCGAGCTGCTCGAACGGCTCGGTCAACATCCTCAGCACTCGCTGCGTGTACGGAAGCAATTTCTTTCTCTGTCCTAAAATTGGGAAAAATGTGTGAGATGACTTCAATATGGCATCGAGTCGCATGGTAGTTAAGAAAGGAGTTGACTCACGCTGGGTCCAATGATGAGATGGTTTCCCCTTCGATCCCTTCACAAACTCATTATTGATAAAAAGTCCGGTCGGCTGTTGATATTTATGGCCATTTGGCGTAACAATGTCCACGAAGAGGTCTGACATGATTGAGCAATTCTTGAATTTCAACAGGGTTCAGATTGTTGTTCAATCACTGAAAAACGTGAAACTGACGAGGAATACTGTCTGATATATCATGAAATCTAAAAATCCCTTTCGGAATAACCTTCTACCTTTTGTACATAATTTTACAGGTTTATCTGATCCAAGTGGCAGGCATCTTGAGAAGGCAGGGAGATCCGACGAGGACAATGACGTGAGGTAAACGCCTTGCTACCCCTCCATCGGACAGTTAATCAATTAATTCCTTTTTTCATTATCTGAAAGAGTACAAGGGCCAACCAACCAAAAATACAAGCTCCTTTCCTATGATTTTTGAGGGTTTCTTTCTGTAGTTATTCGTTGCCTTCCATTTCCGTATAAAAGTGGGGAAATGTCGCGGGGTTGTGGTCCTAATCAGTCTTTGAAAGGCCCGTTGCTTGCCTAAATCGTTCTCACGTCTTTGATCTGCGGGGGAGCTCACCATGGAGATCAGGAGCTTTGGAGATCCATTGTAACCACGAGATAATGAGACGATGATATTGAGGAGGCAAGATGGAGAATAGGAAATCCGAAAATGATTCATAAAGGCCTGAAGTTGCACCAGGTTTGAATCCATCACACTCGAGCAGTATCTACAAACTTGCTTCTCATCTTCTCAATCCTCATTTTACTGGATTAATATTCCTGATTTACTTTACAACCATGCCTTCCAAGTTCCAGGGTGTTCTCGCCGCACTGATCACTCCTCTCACGGATGATGGTAGCAAGATTGACGAGGGTCGCCTCAAGTCGCACATCGACAATCTTTTCAATGCCGGCATCCATGGGATCGTTCCAGGTGGTAGCACCGGCGAGTTCACCACTCTGACAACCGCCGAACGAAAGCAACTTGCTGAACTCTCTCTCAAATATACCGCTGGACGAGGATCAGTTATGATTGGAGTCGGCAGCACGAAGACCGACGAGGCGATTGAACTGGCTGTGCACGCGGCACAGATTGGAGTTGACGCCGTCATGGTCGTCCCACCCTACTATGATCCTCTTAGCTATGAGCAGCTCCAGGAGTTCCTTCTCGAGATTCACCAGGCTTCTAAGCTTCCTATTGTCTACTACAACATCCCCTCTATCAGTGGTTTGACACTGTCACCTGAGCAGATTGCTGGTCTGTCCAAGGTTGGCGTCGAGTCGTTCAAAGACACCTCCGGCAATGCGCCCGACTTCACTGAGCTTGTCTTTGGACACGGTGACAAGATCTCGGCTATGAACGGTTGGGACACTCTTACCTTCTATGGTATGGCTGCCGGTAACGAGGCCATTATTTGGGGTGCCGCCAACTTCATTCCTGAGCTTGCCGTCGACATGTGGAATGCCATCGTTGTTAACAATGATATTCGCCAAGGACGTGAGATTTGGGCTCGTGCGTGGCCTATTTGCAAGTTCCTTGAGGGTCACAACTATTCATCTGCTGTGCGAGCCGGAGTTGAGCTGAGAGGTCAAAAGACTGGAGGTTACCGCAAGCCAGTTACCCCTCTCAAGAAGCAGTACGTTGCAGAGCTTCAGCAGTTGCTCCGCAATGCTCAGGTTAAGGGTGTCTAAGCTCTGTTCGAAATAGCAGAATAAAGTAGATTAAGAATAGAAACAGAATTCTAAACTCATTCATAACATTATCTTCTCTCTGTTTAGCTATACTGCATCTAAAAAAACCTCAAATTATCGTAGATCAAAATACTACTAATAAGCAGTGTGAAAGGATAAAGGGCAAAATCTGGCTTGTTGACATAAATACATGGACGAATCCCAGTTCCGCTTACCATGATAATAAAACTCAAAACAGCAGCAACCATTGGAGATTTTGCTTAGAGTAATCTGTCCAACTAAATGCAGCTGGCGATGGTTGTGACCCCGGCGAGTTCCCAGTTCCACAATAGTTATCCCTTATCTTCCAAACCTCCTCCATGATCGCTGCTGCGGAGGAATACGATGAAAAGCCACTTTGACTGTTTGCTTTTCTAAGCCAAAACAAGATACCATGGCGATCTTCGCTAGAGATTGCCTCACACCCCGCCACAAATGCTGGCCAGGCAGTGCCAGGGCCAAGTAATGCCTGTTTTTCCAATTCGACATCCCAGCTCCCCAATTCATGAATGATGTTCTTCACATAACCTTGAAGAATACAGGGATTTACACCGCGTACTCTTCTATAAAAGAAAATAACTAGAGCGTAATTAAGAGCTCTCAACATGTGAGCTTTCGGATCCCCACCGGATGGTGGCAGTTCTCGCTGAGTGAAAGTGCAAATCATGTTCTCAAGACAAAGTGATCTTCTTTGTAAGGCGAGATGACGCTTCGGGGACACTATGCAGCTTCCACAATTAATTTGGTCCAATACATTCGCCAGCCGAGTAGTCTGAGACAGGAGGCCTAGCCATGTCTCTGACACTCCATTGACCATCGTATGCAATTCTTCTGGATGATTCCGAGAATCCACAAGGTGAATATCACCAAGGCCTGCTTGAATATCCTTTGGATCATCGATGTTGAGGTCATTATCCGATTCGGTTTCAGACACGCGAAGGAAATAGTCCAGGCCCCTATTCTGCTCGTATGTTGGCACGGAAGCTCGCCGTTGATTCAGTCTTGTCAACTCTTCCATGTCCAAACGCCGAGACCAGAGAGCTTTGCTGGGTGCTGTGTGGGAAATTTCATGGTGCAAGACTAGAGTACTTTCAGTCAAGATGCGGATCCATGTATACATGTAGTGAAGAAGCCTCGCCCGACGTGAGATTCGAGGCTTCACAAGTCCTCGCAATCGAATCAAGTATTCCATATTAACCATATGACATCTGCATTCTCTCTGATGGTTCGAAAGTATCTTAAGTGGAATGTCAGTTGATGTTACAAAATCAGGATGAGTTAGAATAACACTCACTGTAAATGTGGTCACACTGATCATCGCCATGAGTTGCTCTTTATATTTGGCCTTTTGAGGGCCCTCGTGCTCAAGCTCGAGTGACTTATTTACATGAGATTTTCCTTCTTCATAGGCAGCAGCTGATAGTCGAGTCCAGTATTGATCAGGCCTGTCTGGAATGAGGTTGGGGTTTGCTGACAGGTGGAAGGCTGCGCATGCAAGTATACCATACAGGTTTCCTAGGCTGGCATGTTTTACAGTGGCCTGCCCCATATAAGTGATCTGGTCCAGCGTGAGCATGGCGTGGGGAATATTAAGAATGGTCCATGGTGATTTCTGGGTCATAGGAAGCCAGATTATTCGGGTAACGACATGTTCATTGAAGTGCCTCAAGAGAAGCGGCCCCTCTCCGAGTATATCTGAGACCTTCCAAGTCATGTGGCGTCAATTCAGCGTGTATGCCTTCAAGCTGAGGATCAAGAAAAGGGAGGTCTGCACTACTGGGTGGAGTCACGATTGTGCCGTATTCTTCGAATCCCGATATGGGTGGCGTGAGTGTCCAACCAACCGGTGGAGGATCTAAATTGAATATATCGGCCCATTGAAGGTAGGTGTCCAGGTTCCCTAGCACTTCCTCGGCGGTTGATAACTCCGGGAAGGGGGCATCGGTGAGATCAGACACGCTCTCTGTGTTGCCGAGTTTCATTCCTGCTATTTCATGGGCATTTTCGCCCTTATTTTGATCGGGCACCGCGGTATCTCTTGTCAAGTTCAGGACACCGAAAGGTCCGATCGCGATTTCACCATCTGTTTGGTCATCAAGATCACGGGAGGTATTGTCGATTTCCATTAGAAACTGGTCGACGGGGAACGACGAGAGTTGATCCACAAGGGCGGAGCTCATTGTCTCTCTTTCCTTTTCTAGTTACGCAAGGCTCAATTAATAAACGTTTGAGGACTAACGTGATAAGAAGGCGGGTTAAAGGCCCACGCACCTGTATATAGATGGCGACGAACATTTGGCCCAGAACTTGACTCAGCCTTCGTACAATCTGGATCCGTAGATGCTGCGCCAACCCAATGAATTTCCGACGCAAGTCCCTCGCAAGTGAGGCCTGCATCACTGCATGCTTTACAAACTGGTCGCGTTTGGTCGCATCTGACGTGTCGTTTCCGGCATGTTTTGCATGCCCCAAGAGCATGCGGTCGGCGACTGACTGGTTTTCTTTTCGTGTTTCGCTCGTTCTTCATTTTATTGATTCGGTTTTAAAGAAATCTGAGCTTACCCTACAGCAGCAGAAGCCGCTGTATACCTGTATTCGAGCAGACATTTCGCGAGAGGGGTTGGGGTGGTGCTATCCGGAATGACCTTCCTGAAGGTTAACATTTGATGGTGCGGGGAAGCATGTTATCGCCAACGTGGGGAGAGCCTCGAACCCGAACTCCAAATACTGGGTATTGTTAACTCGTTCTGCCCTTAGAAAGTCATCCATATCCACCTATACCATACTCTATCGGAATGTAGTAATCTTGGAGAATTCATCAAGAATTCTTTTGTATAGTACTTCTGCTACTATAAGTCTAAAACATAACGTGGATAACGTTATAGTTAACTAGTAACTATAAACTACATAACGTTATGTAGATTGCATATATTAACCTTGCAAGCCGTAAAGCAGATATTAATACCTACTAACGACATGATTTAAATTGAAATAAATTCAAGTTTCCTCTTATTATCTATCAAATACTACCTATCCAACCACTGCGAAATAATGCAGACACTCCTTTCGATCTCACGCATGGCTGTAGGGCTTGGCTTCCTGGCCACCCCCAAGTCACTTGCTTCTGTTTTTATCATGCCATTTAGCCCAGAAGCCGCGATTGGCTGTAAAATGGCCGGGAGTCGGGACCTTGTCCTAGGAGCTCTTCTCTACGCTTGCTACTCTGAAGGTTCACCAATTCTTGTGGGCAAGACCACCAACCCAAGTGAGCAGCCTTTACTTTCAAGCTCGGGTCAGCCCCAAACGCGTATTAGCTGGAACAACACCCAACGAGCCCTGGCTGCGGGAATGATCGTTGATGGGTTTGATGTACTAAGTGTGCTGTGGTGCTATCTAGATGGGACACTGCCGATCGAGGCAGCCGGGACACTGGGCGGAGGCGCGTCTCTTCTACTTGGATTAGGAGTTTACTGTATGGTCAACGAGAGCATGTAAATAATCAAAGCTCTTTATATAGCAAAAGCAAACAAGCAAAAAAACTACATATTGTTACTTGTGTATTAGCTAGAGCAATGTCAATCGATTGATACATCCATGGATGAAATCATGGTGGGGAAGACGATCAGCCGAGATGCGTGGAACAACTCTCCGGAACGGCTTTCCTATTAGAACTCGAAACACTCCGAGTCCCAGTGTTGGGACGCCCCCCAAGAACAATTTGTACCCCGCAAAAGCCTATTGCTGTAAATTCTCCACTCCTTGTCCGCCTATTGTCGGAATTTTCTACGATGGTGAAATTATGGAATTTTCCTTATCAACCCCATAAAAAGTCGAGTTCAATTTTCATCTTTCATTGCCCGGCGGGCAAAGTTGACAAGGGTTCGCCTCCGTATTTCGAGATAATTCTGACGGTGGGCTTCGAGGGGAGCCATGCGAGAATCAAGGTTCTCAGTGTCCTGTTGCAGGTCCTTAAGCTGCTCCGCAAGTGAATCAAATTGTGAATTGAAGCCCTAGTCCATCTCTTCAAAATCCCTCTTCAAGGCTTCATGGCCTGACTTAAAATCCTCTAGAAGTTCGTCGACCTGACTTGTGAGTTTCGAATCCACGTCAGTGGTTGCTTGATGGTCTCGGGTGAGGGACTTAATGCCCTCCTCCTTCACGACGAGTTTCTCACGATCCTGAACGTGTAGAGAGTATGTGGAACTTTCCTCCTGCATCTTGAGGAAACAGGTTACCAAAGGATCCTTGTTCTTCTGGTTAGAAACAGAGCTGTAGCACGAGATATAGGTTGAGAGCTGTAGTATGAGAAGATTAGTGGTGATTCTGAAGACAGACACTTACCAGGCGATATTCCCGGCCTAAAGAGCAGTGTCCGGGGTCAAGTGTGGTTCCGTGTCAGAAAGTTCCCATGGAAGTCACCTTATAAAGGACCGTAGTTGACGTTTGGGCGGTAAGGTAATGACATCGTGACTGTGTTGATTGTCCACAATTAGAGGCGGAGTAAAATCCAGGAATGGATTTGTCCCGGCCGAACTCCATATAGTTACTTGTCATTATCAACTCAATAAATTACAGTTGTCTCCTTCTCCGCTTAGGAATATCCTCGATATTTAAGCTCAAAATTTGCGTATTTATCTCACATATATAGGTACTAAACGGCACGTCACCTACAAGACGAGGACTCGGAGTCGAAGATACCTTGGGAATTTTTGTCTAAATTGAAGTTAAAAATTCGAGTTGCCAAAAGTAGCCCAGAGTGCTTTATAAGTAGCTAATGGTCTAGCGCCGAGAAGGAGCACAACGAAGGAGAATCCTCATCAAACTGGAACTGGATAAACTACTATCATTCCTGGCGAAAAATGTCAATAAAAAGGGAGTGGGTAAAAGGAATCATTAATGATGTATGGGCGTACTTGAAGACCTTCTCATGCTAGCCATTTTCGGTGTAAACCCTATATACTTTTACTCGTATAGTATCCCAGCAATCAAAGCTGACTGATACATAAGATCATTGTAGGGAAGACGATCAGCCGAGATATGTGGAACAGCCTCCCGGGAACGGCTTTCCCATTAGACTAGAAACACTTATCTCAGGCGTTGAGACGCCTTCCAACGACAATCTTGACCCCGCAAAAGTCTATTGCTGTACAATTCTCCGCTTCTGCCAGCCTATCGGCCAAACCTTCTATCATGGTGAAAGTATATATTATTTATTAACATGACAAGTGAGGCTAGATAAAGCATGTCTGTCCACGAAGTAGTCTGGAATATCCCCCGACAACAAGGCAATTTGTCATAAATTCGCTACGCATTCATCTGCCAACACTGGTCATACAGACATGGCGGAGCGAAAGATTACACTCGAAGAACTCAGTCAGCACGTCAAAGACACTGATACTTGGATGGCGATAAATGGCACGGTATGGGATATAACTGGCTTTGCTGGAATTCATCCCGGTGGGCCGGATATCATTCAAGAGTATTCCGGCAGGGATGCGAGTGAGCCTTACAATAGTGTTCATAGCCTCAAACTTGCAGAAAATAACTTTGAAGCAAGCCAAAGGATCGGAATTTTGGATGCCGAATTCGTTGCCGACAAACCGCGAATGGAAAATACGCGCAATCCGAGGTTAGAAAATGATCTTCCCCAGATTGATGAAATCATCAACCTCGACGATCTCGAAGCGGCTGCGGAGAAATGCCTCAATAAACGATCGTGGGCATACTTTTCGGGTGCTTCAAACGATAGCTTCACAAAGGCCGACAATGCAGATTTTTATCGCAAAATATTCCTGAGACCTCGAGTTGCGAGAGCTGTTCAAGATATCGATACCAAGACGAAGATTCTGGACGATGTTTATGATGTCCCGATTTTCAATGCGCCGGCCTCTCTCATGATGCTTGCTCACCCAGACGCTGAAATGGCTCTGGCCAAAGGATTCGCAGCGAGTGGTAGCACCATCATCATTCCTACATTGTCCTCCTTTTCTACAGAAGAAATCATCGAAGCACTTCCCGCGGGTCATCCATTCTACTTTCAGCTTTACGTGAATCCCAATAAAGCTGCACTGAAGAAGATGGTCGACAGTCTTTGCAAACTTCGACCGAAAGCGATAATAGTCACTGCGGATCTACCAGTTTTCAGCAAAAGAGAAGCGAACGAGCGATATGAAAAACGGATAGCAAAGCAGAAGCGAGCTTCTGAACCCAGAGAAACCACGGCCGAAAAGCAAGGTGGACAAGCTCGGTCTGCTGGGGTATCGATTGACCCTAACCTATGCTGGAGCAATATTAAGCAGCTTAAAGAAAGGACGGGTATTCCCGTCTTCGTCAAAGGGATCCAGTGTGCGGAGGATGCCCTGCAAGCGTGGAAAATCGGGTGCAAGGGTATCTACATCTCTAATCATGGCGGACGAGCTGCCGATACAGCACAACCTACGATACTTACTCTCGCGGAAATTCGTCTACATTACCCCTTCATTTTGGAAGAAATGGAGGTCTTTATAGACGGAGGTGTGCGAAGAGGCTCGGATGTCTTGAAAGCCATTTGCCTTGGAGCGAAAGGTGTTTGTCTCGGTCGGCCCTTTTTCTACGCCTTAATGTATGGGGAGGAGGGAGTCCGATATACTATGCAGTGTAAGTTTAAAGGACTCTTTTTAGGTTTTGCCAGACGAGGCTAACATTTGAATTTTTAGTGTTGAAGGACGAACTCGAGACTGCGATGCAGCTATGTGGTATAACTAGTTTATCTGAGGCTCACACTGGGCTTTTGAACACGAGAGAGTTATACCGTGACGTTGAAAGTCCTCAAAGTCTCTCCAGCAAGCTATAAGTGGTGTTAATAACCGCCGAATATGAGTATTACTGCTCAGGTGAGCGATGTTTATTGAAGGCACATTGAGCAAAGGGATGGGGTGTGGGGTGTAAGAATTCGTGAAGATGAACACGATAGCGTTAATTTCAAACCCCACTAGTCGCGGGCTTCCATTAATTTTCAGTTGGTATTCTCTATTTCTTTTCGGTCCTGGTGCCCAGATGTGGAATGATTATTCCGATGTTTTCCCGACCAGGGTAGAGCCAGGATGATGAAGCCCTTCCTTTCTACAGCTCTTAAGTCTGCGGGGGCGCTATTAGTAACTGCCTTAACGGCTTCCGCCACCCCAGCCTGATTATTTGGGTGGATTCTTAATCTCAGCCAACAGAAGATCTTAACCTTTCATCGTCCAAGTCAGCCGATCCCCGCAACCAAAACCACGAGGCACACGCTCGGGCCGATTGGCTTGGATGCCCGACACTAACAAGCACCACGGCTCAGATCCAAAGAAGCCAAAGGTCAAGACAAAGGCACGATGTCACGTTATAATAAACTTACCAAGCAGATACCACGCGACTCCAAATCTCGGTGGTTGATATTAATAATTTGCTTCGGGCGAAAGTTTACCTCGGGCAGTGCTTATCAGCGGGGTTCAAGGCGCCAGGGCGTAGGGTCTCCACGAGTCACCCGCCAGGAACTTGAAATGACAGGCCTTCGGGTATTAGATAAGGGTTTTTGTTCCTTGATATCGCTATGAAGATCGGATTCCTCATTTTCACCTTTACACGGAACCTCCCCAATATTGCGTGAGTCGGACCAAATCAATTTAACATCCAGGGGCAGCGGTGCTAGCGGCTTGGTTCTAACTTTTAACGTGCTGCCATGCAGCAAGGAATGCGACGCACCTCTCAAAATGCGGAGAAAAATGCAAGTCCATCCTTGTTCTAATCAACCAATGTCTTCTCCAACCCAAACCCCACTCCCTTCGGCCCCCTCTTGCATCTTCGGCGGGAAATAAAGAAACTAATATATGATACCATCGATAGCCCCTACTAAGCTCCTCTGCCTTCATAACCCGCCCCAACTCCATTCCCGAGTCGCAAAATTCCTGGCGGGAAACAATCATCAACATGTTCAAACCCGCAAGATTGGGTCTATTGGCCATTCTTTCTTTGACAATTCTTGTGATTCACCTACCAGGGGCTTTCTCAACGCCATTGGAGCTTTCCCCGCGTTCCTCTGATCACGAATTTGGGCCCGGAAAGCGGGGAGCCGTTGCGAGTGAAAGCTCAATCTGCTCAGGACATGGTACCAAAATTTTGGAAATGGGTGGCAATGCTGCCGATGCTGTAAGTCTCTTGTTGAAATACGCAAAATACGAGATTTTCCGAATGCTTATAAAACGAATAGCTCATTGCGACTGAGTTTTGCGTGGGAGTGATTGGTAGGTCATGTCATTCTGAAGCAAGATGGCGACATATCTGACCGCAATTCTAGGGATGTATCACAGCGGAATCGGCGGCGGTGGCTTCATGCTTGTTCGATCACCCAACGGCACTGATGAATTTATTGACTTCCGTGAGACGGCCCCAGCGGCGGCCTTCCAGGATATGTACAAGAATAATACAGACGCATCTCTTTATGGTGGACTTGCAAGGTATGGAAGGCGAATTCAATTAGAAGGTTTTATCTAACATGCAACCCAGCGGTGTTCCTGGTGAGGTTCGAGCTCTAGAGCATGTGCATAAGAAATATGGCTCTCTGCCTTGGTCAACATTAGTGAAGCCCGCAATCCACACCGCGCGGGATGGATTCCCAGTGACTCCTGATTTGGTCAAATATATGAATTCCGCAGTGGGCACTGGAGAAGACTTCCTCTCTAAAGATCCAAATTGGGCTCTCGACTTTGCTCCAAACGGGACTCGGTTGGGCTTGGAAGACATCATCACCCGCAAGCGCTACGCTGATACACTGGAAGCCATTGCAGAGGGTGGGGCTGCTGCATTCTACTCGGGTGCAATCGCTGAGAACACGATCAAAGCGTTACAAGCATCAAATGGTACTATGACCCTTGAAGACTTAAAAAATTATTCGATCGAAATTCGCAATACGTCTCAGATTGACTATCGTGGATATACTGTCACCAGTACCACGACACCTTCGAGTGGGTCTGTCGCATTGAGCATTCTCAAAATTCTGGACACATACCGTGGCCTCTTTTCCGATGAGAAGGCCTTGAACCTGAGTACTCACCGTTTAGACGAGGCCATTCGCTTTGGCTATGGCGAGGTATTATCATGGTTAATTTATCTTCGATCCAATCCGGTTGCTGACATTTGAAATAGAGAACCGAGCTTGGCGATCCTTCATTTGTGAAGGGTATGGCGGAGTATGAACGCGACATGTTGAAAAAGTCAACGATTGCCGATATTCGATCTAAAATTTCGGATACGCATACTCTGAACGTTTCCGCATATGATCCGTCAGGCCTGGAAAGTTTAGATACGTATGTGGAGATTCTCAAGTATTCTTTTTTGTTGACTTGCTCCAAAAACTAACCATTTCCCAGACCAGGAACTTCCCACATCGCGACAGCGGACCACACTGGCATGGCAATCTCAGTCATCACCACTATCAACACTCTATTCGGAAGCCAGGTCCTGGTTCCCGAGACTGGTATCATTATGAACAATGAGATGAACGGTACGTAATTTTGTGGAAGTTTATGGACTTAGAAAAAAAGCCTCTAACTTACTCCTTCACCAAGATTTCTCAATTCCCGGGTCCTCAAATTCCTTCGGGTACATCCCATCCGAGGCCAACTATATCCGACCGGGCAAGCGGCCCCTCTCTTCTATTACACCTGCCATCGTGACAAAGAAGGACGGAACACTTGTGCTAGTTACTGGCAGTGCTGGTGGCAGCCGGATCATCACAGCCACTGTCCAGAACATCATCCACGTCATTGACCAGGGGCTATCAGCGGCTGAAGCGCTCGCCAAACCTCGTCTACATGATCAATTGGTCCCCAACCAAGTCACGTTTGAGTATACTTATGACAACTCCACTGTTGCTTTTATGAAAAGCCTTGGTCATAATGTCTCATGGGTGGCTCCTGGACAGAGCACTGCACAGGCCATCCGAGTCTTGCCTAATGGTACATTCGATGCCGCCGGAGAACCCCGACAGCTTTCTTCGGCTGGTTATTCCGTGCCCTAAATTGGAGACGTTGTCTCGACCTGAAATTCGCTCTAGTAGTATTTGCGCAAAGGAGCATTTCAAGGTCCATTCGAGTTGGTAGATTCAAGTCCTTCGTGAACATATAGACGGCACGCCTCAACTAAGTTAGTTACTAGTTAGGTGTACATTAGTATAGTGTTAGTAGATGATGCTCATAGAAACATGAAATTCTCGACTCTAGAACTTATTCCCCACGCCCCTGGCATCTTTCCCAACTTGAGTAGAATAACAACCCTTCCCCATGTGTGCCTTCTTGTATTTGTTTAGAGTAGTAATTTGTTTACTTTTCATAGTTCCAGGTAGGGAAGGTACCTTGGTCGCCCTTGCCCGAGGCTCCGGGGATATCAGAGATAAGCCCTTATCTTATCGCTTATCGCGTCGGAAATGGCCCGTGCACCCCGTCAAATCGGGCGGCGCGCTTAAGGGTTCAATTTAGAACAGGTCAATTCCATTCCATTCATTCATTATTCATTATTCATTACATTTCCTTTAGCTGGCTGGGTCGTTCTGGCCGCAGTCTTGACTTTTGTGAGCTTGTTTGCTCACCAATCCTCTCTCCTTCTTCAACCCCTCGTTCGCCAATACCCTTACTTCCCATTGACATACCACATCCCACTCGTGATCTTTCCCCCGGTTACGCGACAAGCAACCTCTCGCGTCGTGGATCCCACCGAAAAAAGGTGAGGCGTTTCCAGACTCGTTGTACGTGTCATATACCCCAATCATTTGAATCCGAGTACCAGACAGCCGGTGGCCCTTCTTCGCATGCCTATATGACTAACAGCTGTGCTCCGAGTAGTCAACCTTGAACCGACCTTGATACATACACCCTCATTTCCCTCCCACTGCATGCTTGTTTCTAAGCCCCATAAGGCTGCATGAAGCTCGAATCACAGAATGGTGGCATCGGTCCATGACAATGTCTCCATCGTCCCGCCGAAGCCCAGCTTTGACATCAATACCTACAGCCCATTCCCCCAGCCGGTGATTCAATTGTGGGACAAGATCCTTTCCGAGGAGCGAAGCATGGAAGAATTCAGGGAAAAAGACTGGCCTGTCTATACGGGCTCAGAGAGCCATGATCTCTCGCCGATCGTCCTCTCGTCACGAAGCACAAGTCTCGCCCAGCCGTCCCCTTCTCGTACACGACCTCGCCCAGTGAACCCGAAGAAAACCAGACCTCGTAAACGAGCGGCCGCGAACCGGAATATCACAAGAATTCACATGTCTGATGAGAGCGACCATGAGGATCCTGTCTCTCCTGCAGCTGCAGCTGCAGTGGCAGGCTCCCCTCACAACGAGTCGAGTGATGGCAAAGAGAACAGACATCGAGTGAGTCACCTCAAACTACCGAAGACGAAAAAGAAACGGCGACCCCTAGACGAGAATGCGCAGGCGAAAGGTCAACAAGATAGTGATATGGAGGAGGAAGACGCCATATTTTCTTCATTGGAGTCATCAAAGCGAGACGACTTGGTTCGATACATCGGGCTGCATCCTCTTTTGACATCCGCGCATCCCATGAAGCAATCCGTCTGGCGAAGGTACTTGAACGATGTCCGCACCAAGGCTACCTCGGTCGGACTGTCCAAGCTACTGACCAATCGCTTGGTTCGCTATGTGCAAAGAAATTACCTCGAGACGCCGGATGGCTATGACGCGGGTCCGTCAGAGCCAGATTCTACCGTTTGCGATGAACAGATCACAAGTAGTGTGTCCAAGGCGAAAATTGAAACACACACTCGCAAACGATCTCGACAAAGCTCTGAACACCCCAGGGCCAAGAAGGCCAAAACACACGTCGTTTCTCCGGCTACAAGAGCTGCTCCAGACAGCGCAGCTGAAAGCCCAGTTGTCTTGAACCGTCCTGAAATTTCTCTCAAAGTGGCCCGAAAATGGAAGTCAAATTTTACTTTCAATAATGCCGCTACTGCCAATGATCCGCCTTCCGTCGGCGATGCTCCTCTTGTCGACGATGCTCCTCTTATCCACGATGCTCCTCTTATCCACGATGCTCCTCTTATCCACGATGCTCCTCTTATCCACGATGACGATGCTCCTACTTGGGTCGATCTTCCTCCCGTCAATGATACCCCTACTGTCAGCGTGTCCCCTACTTTTGAAGATGCTCCTACTTTTGTCCATGTTTCTCCTGTTGACGATGCTGCTCCTCTTGCCCATCATACTTCTGTCGCTGATGCCTCTACCGTTGAGGATAGGCCTTCTGTTGCTGATTCTCCTAAAGCTGATGATATGCCTTCTGTTGCCGACACTCTTACATTTGATGACATGGCCTCTGTTGCCGATGCTTCCTCTGTTTATGATGCTCATGTTGTTGACGATACCCATGCTGTTGATGATTCTGCTGCTGTGGGCAATCCCCGTTCTGCTGAGGACGCTTCGGGAGCTTGGAAGAGCAAGTCTCGCAAAAGCACCCATGCTGAGCAGTCTCCACTAGCGCCCCAAGACGAGGGTCGTGCATTAAGTACTGAAGCTGAAATTACTCGAGAAATGTCGCATCCGCCACTCAACTCCCAAATTACCAATGACGAGACGGTCGCGATGTCCAAAAAGGAAAAGAAGAAACAGAAAAAGCAGAAAAAACGGGAATCGCAAATTCAACGGGCAATTGATGTCCCTAAAACCACCCACAGTACGCTGACCCATCGATCCTCAAAGAAGGTGATCCGTCGCCGGAGCTTGGTCTCATCTGCGCCGTCTACCGATTCGAAGCGGAAAAAAAGCAAAAAGCAGAGAGAAAAGGATCGGAAGCGAAGAAAGTCCGAGCAAGAGCAGGGCAATACAAGTGTCGATATGCACAAAGAAAAGCACAAGCACCAGCTCACGGATGTGGCAAAGTCTTCGGAGATGTCTCCATCACGTCCTCATACCCCCCAGCGACACAATAAGCACCACAACACGAATGTGGTAAAGCCTGTGGAGATGTCTCCACCGCGTCCCCATACCCCCCAGCCACAGATTCGCCCAGCTTACGGTCAATCGCAAATGTCACCCCCGAGCAGTGCTCGCAAGTCCCCGTTTGCAGCACTATCGCCCGATCCTGCAAAATGGGACATGGATTTTTGATCTCCAATGATTCGCCGCCGATGACCCCGAGCGATGAGGTGAAGTCCAAATATTTCCAACCGAAAGCAAAACGTCATCCCCAGCAGGCCACAATCTCCGAAATGCATGAACAGACGATTCCCGAAGCGACTCGAAAAATTCTGGCGGAGTTGAATCTGCCACTTGACCTTTTGTCTTCAGATTCTTCATTGAGCGATTTAGAAAGCGATTATGAATCCGATGGATTTAATTTACAACCACTCGCCGACGTGGCGACCTGCGAAAACACGAATTTTTCACCCCCTCACCCCATGTCAAACCCCACGACTCCGACGAAACCCAATTGCCTACTGCTACAACCCGAAGCGAGTTCTCTACTACTTCTCCCCGAAACTCCAAAATCAAAGTCCACTCGCCCCAAGATACCCAAAGTCTCACCCTACTTCCCGACTCTTTCAACAGAGGCAGAGTCCTGTCTACCCTTTCCACCAATTGATGTCCCATATTTTGGCCTTGTACAAGAACAACTCGCCCATGAGCCCTTCAAGCTCCTCATTGCAACTATTTTTCTCAACCGCACCCGAGGGGAGTGGCATTGCCTGTCCTGTTTCAAGTCTTTGACAAATACCCTACCATTGACGCCATGGCTAATGCATCACCATCAGAACTTGTATCTATGATCCGCTGCCTTGGTTTCCAGAATCAACGTGCCCGAAAATGCATTGATCTCGCCCGAACGTGGCAAACCCAACCACCTACCAAAGGGAAAAGATATCGCGAGCTACACTATCCCCGAAAACTCGATGGACGAGATGTTGGACGTGACGAATGTATTGATGATGAAGATATGCGAGTTGCGTGGGAAGTTGCACATTTGCCAGGGGTTGGGGCCTATTCCCTGGACAGTTGGCGCATCTTCTGCCGGGATGAGTTGCGGAAGGTGGCTACGAATTGGCAAGGGACCGGGGCAACGACTGTCGGGTTTGTGCCCGAGTGGAAGTCTGTGCTGCCGCAGGATAAGGAGCTCCGGGCATACCTGACGTGGCTTTGGCTCAAGGAAGGCTGGGTTTGGGATCACCATACAGGGGACCTGGAACCAGCTAGTGACAAGACACGTCGAGCAGCTGTGACTGGTGGCGTGGCTCATGAGGAAGATGGGAACTGGGTGTTGGAAACGTCCCCGGTCAAGAAGGCGGCCAACGGATTACATGCCGAGGACCAGGAGAGCCCTGGAAGGGGCAGATGACCTGAGCTGTACGATAGTATTTGTTGTTAATGATACCCATACCCGAATGTATTTGCCCTTTAAATTCGAGTTTCAGCTATATAAGCTTTGAAGAAATGGCTCACCACGAAAATCACAAGGTTATGACTGACGGTAACAAGTCACAGCTATAGACACAGCCATAGATAGCAATTCCCAGTAAGATTAGAAGTTGATTGATAGTCCATTTGACCGGTTAATAGAATCTCACCCGACATTTCAAATCCCTGCTGAAGGGGACAACATCTGGGGCGTTTAATATTAGCTGCAAACACAACATTGTCCAGGACAAAAGTTTTCACAACACAATTGAGGCTATTAGTTTCACGCTTGTCAGCTTTTATCTCCATGAAATTAGACCTCTTAGTGTTAGGGAAGGCCAACACTCACACATGCAGCTTGGCATTCTTGGATTTCGTCTCCTTGGCAATCAGTTTCGCAACATGTCTGACATTGGGGACAATCAAGACAAGCAAAAGCTTCTCCCGCATAACAATCTGTTCCACAAGAAGGTGGAACCACAGAAGTGGTAGTGGTAGTAGTAGTTGTTGTTGTTGAAGTAACCGTATAACAATAAGGAGGCACTTCAGGTCCCAAAGGAATACATGTCGTCAACGGAGTTGTAGTAGTGGTAGTAGTAGGAGGAGGGACAGTAGTAGTGGTGGTGGTGGTGGTGGTAGTGGTGGTTGGCTGTGCCGTAGTTGTCGTCGTAGTGGAAGTAGTGGTGGAAGTTGTGGTGGGAGTTGTGGTGGAAGTTGTGGTGGTAGTTGTGGTGGTAGTAGTGCTGGTGGTGGTAGTGGTGGTGGTAGGCTGAGTAGTAGTAGCAGTGGTAGTGGTAGGCCGAGTTGTAGTGGTAGTGGTGGTTGGTTGAGTTGTAGTTTTGGTGGTGGTGGTGGTCGCGGTCAAGGTAGTTGACGCAGGCTTTGGCAGATATTAAGACTCCCGAAGCCACTCTGATCAAGTCAGCCTTACTTCAATCACATTATACTGATAACGCACGTTCTCGGTATCGCAGCATAACAATTTCCCATTGCACGAACTCCCCGCTATTAATTCAATCAGCCCGACTCAAAGAATAAAAACTGCATTGTGGGGTATTGGAGCTCCACACATTTCAAGTTCTCACATCCAATTCCAACTTCGATAGCTTTCCCTAGGAGAGTCAAAGGGACCACAAGCTGACAGCATGTTGGAGTCTGATTTCCATTGGGGCATGTGGCAGAGGTTTCTTTTTCTGTGAGTGGGAATGCAAGGATTTTTGCCCCAATTGATAAAATGAGATAGAAGAGCAGCATCTTGTTTGATTTTTTGAGATTAGTCCTCAACTATTCGCTATTATAATGAAAATATTCGATGAACAATAGATATAGGGTCTCCAGGGCTTATATACTATAAACATTTTCTGGATCTGTCTAGGTCTTACCAACGTGAACCAAATACCATGAGCGAGGAATAATATATTCATAGCGCTTGGTTCCCAGCTCGGTGACTCGGAACCAACAGCTATCTAGATCTTGTGACAACCTTGGAAATAATAATCAAACAAACATTACTAGTAACGCAATACCAATAAAATGTGGTATTCATTATGAAATAGCCATTGTGATGAAAATAAACCGCCTTATTTATTGGTCTGATTTTGCGGAGGCCCCAAACCTATCCCAAAGCGGCAGGATGTAATGAGGTCATTGGACCGCAGTTCGCCTAACATCCGCCGCATGGCCCCTATACAACCTTGGAAGTCAACTCAAGCCTTTTTTTATCTGGCCTCATCCGCCGCATGTAAAATCTAGAGCAGGCCATTTTAAAGATCATGAGAAGTATTGATGAAGGCTGGAGCTGTAGCTGCTTGTACAAATCGTACATAACATCGGTTACTCAAACAGTCAGTTTATACCACCTTTCAACTGTCCGAACCATACGTGACAGCTTTCTTATCACCGCTAAAGCTGGTGGGCTTGCAACCCCGCTTATTGAGAGACAACCCCCTGTCGCGTGTTCCAGTGGAAACCAGACTCGAAAGTGTTACAAGCTGGTGGGTCTCTGTCAGCATCTTATTGAAAACCGTCGATATTGGCGCTATTTGTGAGAACTGCTAGTATATGCAATACTGTCTTTTTTAGGAGCAAATGGGTTGCAATACGTACTTCCGACAGTGGCGTTCTGTCTAGGCTCGTAATGTTGAATTTTTGAGCTGAGCCCATGAGATCATCAAAACAGTTTGCCAGCGGAAATAATTTCCGCTTCCAGATGGCTCGACCTAGATTTTCCAGGTCGGCACTGAGTGCCGTAGTTCAGAACTAATCTGGAACTGTCACGGGTACTCAGTAGAATCGAATGAGCCCTCCTGATATCAACCCCACTCTCCGGCCGCATTTGATTCGTTCCTTACGCCTAGCGGAATGAACTTGAATCTATATGTCGCTTAGAACCCCAGCTGTTCATCGATACGGTTGCTGGGAAATAACTACCACATCACGAGTAGAACCCTCACGCAGCGGGACAAGTCCGCGTGGTTCCGGATAGAGCTTCGGATAGAGCTTAGGCTAGAGATCTGAAGTCAGAGAGAACCACCTTTGAAGCATATTGTTTATGCGCCTAGACCTAGAGAATTGCCACTTGGTGTGTTTGATATCAGGAACGGCAAACAAGGATCAGTTAATTCTAGTCTTAGTCTATATGAAAGGGGTTCGGTCGCAGCGTTCGTGTTATTGAATATGTCCGTGCGGCCACGCAAGCTCGTTTGTCTCTTCTCAAATACTGACTTGAGCAAAATGTTTACTCTGTCTCACCGGCCTAGCCACCCTTGGAGGGGCAGGATTTACTTGAAAGTCCTCGTGATAATGTTTATTTTTGGTTATTATTACAAAAGTGCCATTCCCTCCTTTGCGGACTATAACTCAAGAGCCTGCAATCATCATATGAATTTCTCCCCCCAGACAGCCATTTCACGGGCTCTCGTATGGAGAGCAGGAGTACGCACAAAGTGCAAATCGAAAGTTTTCTCATCGGAATCTTCAACCCCAAATTGACAGTAATGATAATGGAGCCGCCGGCGTGTCCATTGCTCAAGCCCTAGAGAATATCTTGTCTATACTGCCGGATGAGTCTGATATAAAAGACTTGATTGGGCCAATCGAGGGAACAGGTGAAGAAAAGCTCCGTGAAGTTGGGTCTCGAGCTCGAATTTTCAAAGCCAGCTTTGAAGCCTGGGAAGCTCTTCATCTTCTTCCTATGCAAGACCAAATCTTTGTCTATGAGAATACTTTACAATATTTCAAAAACAACACCGAACTATCCGCACGGCTAAAATTGGACCATAATAACATGGTTCATGTCTACGAAAAGTATCGTCATTTTCTCACGCGGTTGTCGATGCGTCTTTTTCCTTGGACTGTGCCTTATTTTTCAGATCTTACCAGACTTCATTCCCAATTCTGGAGCGGAGACCAGGGCCTTGTTTTCACAGCTGGAAATCATCAAGCACTCTACTTACTCACGTCAATTCAATCTCTCCGGAAGATGGGTTGCGAGCTACCCATTGAGGTAATGTACCTGGGAGACAGTGACCTAGGCGAGGAATATAGACGAAAGTTAGAAGCGATCAGTGGAGTGATTACTCGTGATTTGAGCTCGATGATTAATGATGAAGGATGGAAACTAGCCGGATGGGCTGCGAAGCCGTTTGCAATTCTGCTGTCTAGTTTCCGCGAGGCCATTTTTATCGACGCGGATTCCCTTTTTTCTCCGCGATCCAGCGGTATTGTTCCAGGATCCAGGTTACCAGAGCACTGGGGCATTATTTTTCAAAGATCGAATCTTTCAGCCCGCATCCAAGAAATCCTGGCTAAAACGGATTTTGCCAACGCCAGTATCCAGCCTGGTCCGGAAAAATCGGTTTTGGACCGGCGAGAGCAGCCATATGCAAGAGTCTGGGGTTGTGGTGGTCGACAAATGGAAGCACTTCTCAGCTCTTCTCGTTATATGTCGCATGAATGGCCCGGATCGGGATGGAAACAAAGACGAAGGAAGAGTCGGTGTATATGATATGGTCTTTGGTACGGCCCTGATTGTTCCTACTATTTCCTTTTCCGAGATACTGATTGTGAAAAGGTGACAAGGAGACGTTTTGGCTAGGCTGGGAGCTTGTTGGTGACACTGGTTATGCGTTCCATGATGGCAACGTTGCAGTAATGGGCACAGCTGAAGTGAAACAGCCATCCGATGAAGTTGACGAGCGAGAAGCCCATAGTCATGAACTACATGAACTACGAGATATTGACTCCCAACCAACGAAAGCGAAATTGACCATCTGTGGGCCGCAAATGCTACATTTAGATACGGCAGGTCGACCACTTTGGTTTAACGGCTGGGTACTGCCTAACAAGTTCTCCGGCGACCCTCACTTGCAGCCTGTCAACTTTGAATCGTTTCTCAGCGAGCCTAGTGACGTTGGAGGCGATGGTGCTTGGATACTAAGACCTAGCAACGTGTTTTGTCTGTCTGCAGATCGCCTGTCTAACTTTACTACTGCGGAGAAGAGCATTTTGGATAGCATGGTTGAGCTTGTGAAAGGGGTAGGCGCCATTAGTGTGGTTTAGTACATGATTTTACGTCTAAAAATGTCATAGGTTTGTGAATTTAAAATCATCACGTACCCTAAATCCCCTAAAGTATATTGTATAGTACCTAGGTATTGAGTAGCCATGGGCACCCAAGGACCAAGAGCACTCGGGGAGGGCTAAGGTCAGGAAGCAAACGATAATATTGGTTTGATCACAATCATAGGACGTGATATAGGAAATGACTAAGATTAATTAAACTGGCGTCGAGTGTTGTACCGTATAGTTAGTACTAGTATATACCTTGCTTAGTCCCGATTCGGGCGGGGCCAGCCTGGGCACTTCAACTTCCCGCGATTCACCGCATCTTACCTTGTTGACGTGTTAGACCCGGACACCCGACATCACCCAATCTACCTCCTGCGCATGAGCTGATTCACATCCTCGAAGACTATCATTCCCAGCTCAGTCCCAGCTCATTCCCTTCTGTTTCCCCTCCCTGGCCCCCCCCCGCGGAATGCCGGGGCTTTTCCCGACCTGTGATCGACAGCAACCGCTGAGCCCCCCCCCGGCCAGTTGGCAGCCAGTGATATCTCACCTCTGCCCAACTTAAGCGCCAGGCAGCACGTTATCCGTCACAAAAATAGCATCGTGCTGCCTCCCATCGCGAAGTATACCACAAGGCTGGCAGCAACAAAGCATATACGAGTAGCAGCAGGAAGGACGGACTGCGCCCGATGAACTAGCGGAGACGGGGTCTTTTGAAGGGATCCACCTTGTCTGCGGCTACGAAGAGAAATTCGATTCGACCCCAGCCATGTTTTTTCCGGTGAGACCTAATCAACCGAAGAAGTCCAAATCCTCCAAACCCTCCTCCTCCGTCGTCACTACCAAACAAGGCCTGAAGCGTTCGTCCCAAGGACGCTCCTCCCGGGTATCGTCGTCAACCAAGGATCCTCAGCCTGAACCACCGGCTACCTCCTCCACTTCTTCGATCTCCCACACCGCACCACCACCACCCCGCAGGGCCTCGATGCCTGGCGTCGATACTGCCATTTCGGGCACCGCCTCGTTCCTAGAATCGAGGTCAAGCCTGCCCTACCCAAACTTCTCCAAAGCTCATAGCAAGGAGGATGTCCGTACCGCCAATATTCCTACCCCGGACCCCACCGATGTGACCGAGCACGATCAAGAGAATGGCAAGGCCAATGGAGCGGGTCACGCCCGTGCTGAGAACCCGAAAGCCCCTCCCAGTCCGCCCTTGACAGGTCTCAGTGATCAACCGACCTCTCGGAGAGGTAGCCCAGCGGTAGGCGAAGACGACAAGGGTTCGGACAAGGATAAAGAGAAGGAAAAGGCCAAAAAGAAAGCAGCCAACATCAAAATCAGAGCCGAGGTCAACAGATCGTCGTCTAGTCTTCGGTCGAAGAGAGATGATGGAACAAAATCAAGCAAGACTACTCGCGCAGATACCCCCAAATCAAAGTCGTCATCGTCCAAACCCGAAAAGGAATCCTCGTCGACCCGAACAGTCCATAAATCATCCTCCAAATCCAAGACCGATGAGAAAAAGCCCTCCAAACGCTCCAGTCGCTCAACATTGTCTCCCTCGCGGTCAAACATCACCATCCGGGATGTCGCCGCGGAATCAACAAACGGATCCGATGCTACCTCCATTGCCCCCAACCAACAATATACCGTACCACGCAAGCCGATGACCCCTCCGATGAAGCCTCCCTCGCGCAACCAGGTTCGATCTTCCAACTCTCATCGACACACACCTAGCGATGAATCAAACGGCTACGGAAGACCAGTCGTGTCAAGCCCTGGTTTTGGTGGCCCTCCCCCTCCCCCGCCACCCCCCGAAATGCCCGTGACAATCCCCAGAGTTGATTACTTGCTGAAAGATGGCGGTCTGGAAAGCAAGGTCCCCAGGACTCTACTAGGCAACCCTGGTTTGACGGACCCTTTCGCCCAGCAAGCTACTCAACCTCAGCTGGCCGCTGCAAAGGTGTTCGATCCGTATAATCGTCTTCTCGATGACTACCAAAAAGTGATGAGCAAGAGCGGCTCCCTGGCTGTCGCGACGGGATACCGATCTGTAGCTCGCCGACTACTCGATAGGCTGGAAGCTGTCTTTGCGCGCGATATTTCGTCTGAACCATGCAGTTGTTTGATGTGCGGTCGCGATCAAGAGGAGGAACCACAAGAGGGCGTTAGCTGGGGAGAAGTCCTGGAACTTGTTTCGGGCCGTCGTGAGCTTCCTATGTGGCCGCCATTCATCATGGCGCATTCAAATATAGACTCCGATATACCTGGGGAAGAACACATCCCAATGCAGAAGCTTGATGTCGATGTCCCCGAGGAGTACCGTGATCACTTTATTCGACAATCTCGCAAGACAAAGGTGGCGGTAGATAAATGGCTCTCGGAGCAAAATGAAGACACCAGCAGTGCGCCCGTCGAAGTGGATGACGAGACCTTGACCTTCGCCATGCTCACCCACCTTGAATCTCACCAGCGCTCTTTGTTCTGCGCTTTACTTGGCATCAACTCCTCAACGCCCGTCCCACGATCGGGCGATGAAAAGCCCCGACCAAAACCTTCCGCCCTAGTCTCATCTTCACTGGCAATTCAAAGATTATACCGACTCCCTTCTCTCCCTCGCGACCCGGAGGCAGCCATGTTCATGCTCAACAATCCCGCCCTGCATCACGTCCTCGCCACACTAGCCGCAATCAGCGACGATGAATGGGAGATCCTAATATCCGGTCGATTCGACGGCTTCCTCCGCAGTGGCGCAGAGGACTCCGTCCCTACATCCGGCTCACGGTGGAACAGCAACCGCTCCAACACACCCTTCAGCACAGGCGGAATATCACGCGGAGCAACACCCAACTACCTGGACAACAGCCGACCAGCCAGCCAACCAAACGGCAACCCTTCATCCCCAGCCTCCTTCGGCGGACCAATCGCACTAGACGAAGAAATGGAAATCGCCGCACTAGCAGAAGTCGAACGCGACATCTTCCTCGGAATGGAAGCTCTCGAAGACGCCTTCGAAGCCCTACACCTAAAAGCCGAAGTCATCCGACGCGCCCTCCGCGAACGTGGCGCCGGCCTCGCAGTCGCTAACCAAAGCCGACGCGGCTCAACCGTCGAAGCGCGCATGGGCACGCCTTTCTCTGTCAATGCTTGGGAAAGTGGGACTGATGATGGTATATTTGATGATGATCGCTCTCTTGCACCGGATGATTCGGCCAGTAATATTAGTTCCAATCGTCGTCGGAGACCGAAGAGACGGACTGAGCGACGGACTCCTGCTCCTGTTGAGGAGGAAGATGAAGAGGATGATCGCTCGCCTATTGCTGGTCGTCGCGATTCGCGGAATTTGAGACGGAGATAAAACACTCGCTGCGAGATGCGAGATTTGTTTTGGGGAATTTATCTTTCTTTGTTATTTGCCGCATAGCTCGGGTGGTCGGTAGCATTAGCTGGGAAATGGTTGCAAGAATAGGATGGGATAGTATGTGAGATGGATATATTACATGGATGTAGCGAGCGAGCGACCGGATTGATCTTGATCTTGACCTTGGTTTGATGTTGATGTTGATGTTGACGATGATGATACCCACTCCCCTATCTCTATATCTCGCGCCCGACATCGTTTTTGAGGGCTAGCGCTGCTATCGTTGGTTTAGTGAGCTTTTGGGCCCTTTGAGCCTTTTTTTTTATGATTGATGAATGCATGAGCTCTTTTTGAGTGGAAACATATATGTTCATCCTTGGAAGCCCTGGAGTCTTCAAATTTCCAGGTGAAAAGAATAGGGCTATTCTACGAATCTTGAAATTCACGCTATGTCCCCCACATTTCTTAGTGCAGATGGCAGGTGGACAGCCGAGGTCGTCTTCGAGTTCAAGTCCAAGTTCAACTCGTTTACAATAGGCAACTGGGCATCCATGGATGGTAATTTTCTATTACTATTACAGGTACTACTACCCTTGGAGTAGCATGCCATCCATGGATAGCAAGGGCTGTCTGTTATAATACTATACGCGTGGACTAGTTGCAACCTTGGAATTTGACTTATCTTCCAAGTTTCAATTTGAAACTTGAAGTTGGTGCCCACTGGCAGGTGACTGAAGTCCCAATTGATTGCGTTCAATCCATGATATGATACGACTTGTCAGTGGCCGCGGTGTCTCAGCATAAACAGCCCAGGACTCGGAGGCGTGTTTCCAACTTAAACTTGAACCTCTGGGGCTTTCAACCTTCCCTGAAGGCTGCGACCGAGCCACAAGATTTTCAAGGTTGACGATTGAATTCTTGCCTCACCTCCAGGGCTGGGGCATTTCTTTCTGATCCCAGTGCGCCCGGGCGAGAATACGCCAGCACCTCTATGTTCTACCTAGGATACACCTGGGGACTCCTTTCCAATCCAACCTTGTTCCTCGAGTTTTGAACGACCGAATATGCTTCCCGGGAGAGCTTCCACACCAGTGGTGGATGGGTGGGTTGTACGAGGTCTCATGACACCCGAGGAAGTATTACAATGAAAAGAGTGCGACAACGAAAATATGGCCAATGAGAGTTTCTCGGGTTGAAGCTGCCATTTGATGGCAAAGAGTGGAGGAGGGATGCGTGGGATTGCAACAGTATCCATCGTCTAAACTACGATGACTGGGGTGATGAGATCTTCCGAGTCTATGATATTGTGGAACTTCTCTATGCTGCTTAGCTTGGGCATTCTCCTTCAAGTTGGCTGGCCTGTCAGCCTCGTGCTGCTTTTTCGCCCATTATCGTAGCTTCTCGATACCACGGAGGGGATAGAACGACCAAGCTGTGTAAATATACAACTGACCCGCAGAGACTGCGCCTGATTTGGCATCTTTCTCTTTATCCTATTTTTTGGCATTTTGCGTGGCAGTCATCATTTCTTGCAACCTGATGATCTCAAAGATGTGGTGAATTGCTTCCTTCGGGCCTTTGTTCAGAATTTTGATGCTGGGATTAATTGACCAATGTTCGACATCGTGTTCCACTTTGTGGTATGTTCCTTGAAATATCTTGAATTCAAATACCATCCCAGCTTTTTACGTAGTTGGGTGATTTATCTTCAGTCTTACCTCCTCCACGGCTTATTCCACGTTCTTTGCCTCTTCAAGAAACGTCGGAATGTCTCCGAGAAGTCTCTCCTGAAGCGGCTTCACAAACCGGGAAAGATCTTGACTGCCCCGATCTTGGCGCAACTCCAATCAGTCTTCAAGCATGATCGTAAGATCTGGTTCGACGATTTCCAATTCCCTTGGCATCCCGACCGAAAATTTGGACCAGCAAAGGTAGCAGAACTGCTGATGAAAATCAAGGAAGTAGGAGATGAGCGGGTGATCGTTCTAGTATCAGCATAGACACTAAGAGATCGGGAAGATAACTACCTTGTGGGCATACTGATAACCCGATTCGGCAAGAAATGAGAAGCGTGTACAGCCGCCGCCTGACCAAGAGGAAGAACCGACCTGTTGCTTACTCGAGTTCAGCCCCGTGGATGGTCGATATCAAGGGAACCCGGGGTATCCTGCCTGGACTCCGATCGACGAGGATGTCGTCTTTAGCGATCCGAAAAATGGAGTTTCTCGAGCTGAAAAATGGATTCAAGTGCGGAATCTTCTTTCAAACGATCAATGGCCTGGATGATCCCATCTATACCCCTATCCATTGGAGAAGTAATTGCAGAGTCGATCTAGTGCTGGATGGCATTGAGATCTGCTGCCAGTGTTCATCGGAGATACCGGAGTCCGAAGATATCGAATTTGAAGTGGATATATTGTAGATGGGATGGCTCTAGTGAATACCAGCTGGGGTGGTCAGATCACGGAGCGAACTATGGGTGATCTGATCTTACGGGAGAGTACGGAGTACTCCATAGTATGTACGCATGAGCTTGAGCATGGTGATCATTGAAACCTCCGCGTTTGACTTCAGTAGCTCCTTGTCAAGTCGACGCCATGATGGGAGTCTTCTCCCCGGCGGTGGATCTAGCCCTGGCCTGATTGATTCTTTGGCACGGTCGCAAGTAGGTAAACCTAAATTGGCACCATCGCCACCAAAATCCAGCAAGCCGGGACGCTTGTCCCAATGGCCTAGTGATCTCCTCGACACGAGCCAAGCCAATATACTGCTTGTATCTTGAGGTTAATAGTCCACATTGTGATCTACGGTTACATACAACCACATGCGATGGGAAGTGCCGTTAATTAAAGTGCTCAATTGGGAAAACGGTTAGCTAAGAAATAGAGATCGACATTTGTGATGAACCTTGATGGGTCTTTAACGGTAGTTTAGTTGTTCTCATTTTTGGGGTTCTTTGACGTACAGTACGATGCCTTGAAAATAGTTAGCGCGAACTGATGAATATGTAGTACTTATCTAGTATGCTATGGATGTCGGATGAGAATGAAATCCTTCAGTGGCGATGTGAGTACCTTAGGCTGTTCTGTCAAAGATTGCATGAGTCTAAGTTCGCAGCTACCTCGGTAGGCAAGATATGTATTTCCACAAATTCAGGGCACACGGGCCAAATCAGTACTACTAGAACCTGAAAGGTCTAGATTGAGTAAATAGTCCCAGCCATCATGGTGGTTGTAGCTACTATCGAAAAATGAGTCCTTTTTTTAATCTCCGGGGTGATTCAGGCTGAAGTGAAGAGACTGCGGGGCGTGTCTTTTCTGCACTTCGATGACTGAACTTTATCAGCCTGATATCCAATGGTTCAGAGAAGCCATGATACCCATTTCAGGCCCAGATTCCGCGGCCGTCCCTTGTTCAGAATGCAGATCGACGATGGGCGGGGCAACTAACAAGAAACAGGCAGGTCAAGCAGACCACATCAGGTTTATGGTTTGTGAACACGGTTCTCTGAACCGACGGAACCGTGGTTATCTAGACATTTTTGACCCGCATTCTCGTAAATGGACCAACCTGCCATAATGGCAGGAAATATAAGCTTGTGGCTGCTCATGAAAGCTCTCAAAGGGAAATTAGCGGGAATATTCCACGTGGAGTCGAAGCCACGAGGGAGTTACTCGTTCACTCGCCAATTAGCCCCTTAAATCCGGTCTGACCGGCAAGCTCCCCCCTTATCCCGTACCCATACGGATAGCTGAAGTCCAATTGTTGCCACAGTTCGAAAGCCGGGCGCTGTCGTGCTCGGGAAAAAGACTCCCTGAGAATGAAGAAAAGTGGGTTTCTCTGGAGCACATTGCAATTCCCAAGATCGCTGCTAGCGGCTTGAAGCGGGTTGGTTCTTGTGCGTATTCATCCTTCGTTGGATATTTTGGATGATCACTTCCTATCGAGACTCCATTTACGGACCACGCTAGCACGTCGGAAGGCTCACCGCAAATCGCGACCGACAATTTGTGGGCCAAAGCCGACCTTGTGCCCCCCCTTGTACATAAAGTATGTGCATTGTTCCTCGGCACATGGCTGCCACCTGGTTGCCCCTGTTGACGGGTCGGCAACAGGTCACAATTAGGTCAACCCACTCCTTCACTGTCGATCAACATGATTTCAACATGATATCAAGAAGGGGAACATCTCATAACTGACCGTCAAGTCACTGAATCAATTGAGAAGATTTGTAGAATACGGGGTAAAGTTCTGCCTACGCTGCAAATGACGCATGCCACGCCTCAAGAGAAAATCCCCTTAAGATCCTAGCGGGGCAAGTCTCAGTTGAAACTTGTCTCGCCCCGTCAGCTCCTCACGGCAAGGCCGCCCCGATGGAGACGGGGTAAAACGTGAGCCAGTTGGAAGCCGGCAGATTATGGAAACAAAGCTTATCCCGGCCCAATCGCATGGCCACAAGATCAATATTGCACTCTGAAGTTTTCTCTACTCCGTAGAGAGTCCATACTATTGCGAACGATCTACATATTTTCTGGAACGGTCGCCCTTGGCAGAGTCACATGAATTTTAGATGTTATGCTTGTGAATTCTAACTAATTCCCAGCCGTATGTACAATGCATACTCGTACTTTCTGCGGGGGGTGATCCTAGTGATGTACGGCCATTGGCCATTTCCCGTTGGCCACGGACCATATGTACATAATACTAACACTCAAAAATTTGTTACCACACAAATCAAGCCCCGCCTGTTTAGGCACGGAGATCTAACCCAGAGCAGCGGAAGGTTCGAGCTGAGCACGCACTCATGATATGATACTGCTGGGGTTAATATTGGGGCACGCGGCGAAACGTGGCCGCGTCTTCCGTTGGCTTTCCCAAATAGTTGCCCCTGCATTGACATGGCAGAGATTGTTGGCCAATAAAATCTCCAATTGGCTGGGGAATTTCCGGACGTTGGAGACCGTAGCCTCGTCTGGGAAAGTGTCAGCCTCACGCGGAGATAGAGGCTTTCTGTGGCGCTTTTGCTTTCGCCATTCCCCCAGCTTCTCAACGACTTTGCTTAAAATTTAGACATCCTTGGTGCGGTTGGCACTGCAGCTAGTTTTTCCACTCCCCCTTTACGAGTACATCGTTTTCATGCCGTGCAGCGCACGCTCGGACGATGATCGTGGGTGGATATAGCCGTCTAGACCAAACTTTCACCCCGTTCTTTCGAATTGCTATCGCAGAAACTTCTTTGAACCCACACCCGCGCCCCTGTTCAGAGAGGGGTTGCCTCCGCCCATAGTGGATACTATGATGGCTAATTTGGCTCTTGTTGCATTGCGCACTGGGGGTCTTTGCCTCAATGCTGGACACGAACCCACTTCGGGGCACCCTAACGGAGATGATCCCTGGTGGGCTCCGCATCGAAGGTTCCAAATTCCCTGGAGACCAAGTCATTGACAACACAATGGTCTGTGTGTAGAAATTCCATTGTCGTTCTCCTTAACTTATTGACAATAGAGTTCGCTGAGGCCGTCCATGGTTTCTTTGTGGGTTCCGTTCCATCACCTCGGCCCTGATCTCGGATTACTTTAATAATCCTGGTCAATACCCCTGCCGTTGCGGAGCGTCTATTTCCATCCAGTTCCGCCTAGCCATTCGTGAATGAGAAGAAAACTCTTCTTGAATTTTCTTACCACGCATATTACCCTCACTTATATCACTCGGCTGGTGAGATTGGCTTTTGGTTATCACGCGAACGACAAGACAAGGCAGGGAAGATCTTGTTGGCTTGGCACGAACTGCCCTCCAGTCCACCTGCAGACGATGGTCGTTGGCGGCCTTTAGGAAAAGAAACGACCCTCATTATTGAAACACACGTTCAACATGTCTGCACTCATTCTCAGCATGTTGCAGCGGGACATGGCTTCTAATAGCCCACTTCACCCTCGGTTGACAAACGATGTGACCTTGGACATTAATCCATTGCCAACCGTCCAACGGCGAGGCCTTATCGCCATTTCTGTCATGGCCTTGCTCTCCTTTCTCGCCACAGGAACTCTACTTTCATTCATTACATATCGTCTGATTTTCTGGAAATCCAGCTACTCCAGATATATTGGTTACAACCAGTATATCATTCTTATCTACAACCTTGTTCTTGCAGATTTCCAGCAATCCCTCGCTTTCTTAATTTGTTTGAGATGGATAGTGACAGACCAGATCAAGTCCGGAACTGCCGGTTGCTTTTTGCAAGGTCTGTGGCTTCAGATTGGTGACCCTGGATCAGGTCTCTTCGTCCTGGCTATTGCCTTCCACACCTTCTTGCTTGTCGTGTGGGGACGGAAGATGTCTTACAAGGTCTTTGTAACCTTTGTTTGTGGCGTTTGGGCATTTATCGCTCTCATTGTGATTATCCCCCTTGCAATGTACGGAGGCGATGTTTATGTACCATCGGGTGCTTGGTGCTGGATCAACGAAGACCACGAGACTGTTCGTCTTTGGACTCATTACATCTGGATTTTCCTGGCAGAATTCGGGACAGTCGCTCTCTATGCGATCATGTATTTCCAACTCCGGAGACAGATTGCCGCATCTTCCATCCTGGGAAACAGCCAACTGGAGAGTCTTAAGCGTCTGCGTCGTGTTGTCGGATACATGACCATCTACCCCATCGTCTACATTGTTCTCTCCTTACCATTGGCTGCTGGGCGTATGGCTACGGCGAACGGAGACTCTCCATCTCTCACATTTTTCTGCTGTGCCGGTAAGTGTCTTTGCCAAACAATATTTCAACACTATAACTATACAAAATGGAACTGACATCGAAACAGGCGCTATTATTACTAGCTCCGGGCTTGTCGACGTGATCCTCTACACCGTGACCCGCCGCAACCTCATCATCGACTCCGAGCCTAGCCATGACCGCTCTTACAACAAATTCGCCAGCAGCAAAGGACGCCGCGGCGACACTCACTTAACCACCATTACCGCCGACCCCACGACACGGAGAATGGGCTTACATGACGAGGATCTTGACCGAGATGGTTCAACAGATAACATCGTCCAACCCGGTGTCGAAATGAATCCCATCGGAAAGGTGTACCAAGAGACTACCATCGAGATTACAACCGAGCCCGCATATCCTTCAGAAGGTGCAAGTGAACGTTCCAGCAAAGACGACTTCAACGAAGCTCCTTCTCGGATGTGGCGACGATAATATCCCTTTCGCGACTTCATACGATCGGCATTATATTTTTCTCAGGCCGAATCAGTCGCATGCTGTTTCATGTTTACGACCGTGCATTATGTTTTATTTGATGATGCACAATTTCTTTTAATACCTTTCAAGGTTCTCGCCTTTCGACACCCCCGGGTTTCAAGCTTGCACATACTACTGGACCACAACCCTTTACTACATTGCCACATTTTCTTTACAACGACATCTCACTATCATTCTCCATGATTTTCATTGGCAGGCGACACCCATTTCGAAATGGCAACCTGTACATATTTTCAAGGATTTGTTCGTTTTGCTTGGCAAATAAACCCATCACGAATATTCCCATGTATACTTAGTCGACGGATTAACATAAAGACAATAAACTGTTCTTCTCATTTGAAATTGTAACCTGCCTTCTAAATCCCCATATTACTTCATGATGGTACCAACGTACACGTTGCCCTTCTAGCAAAATAAATATGTCCGGAATCCCTATTTACAATGCGTAGAGATAACGGCATTTGCCGGTATTCAATATAGCAGCTCAGATTCAACTTGTTGTGCAAGTGGCCATTGCTAGATTGCTGGAGTACCTTTCATAAATGAGCATCCGGGTTCAAATCTTTCAAATTTTCTGGCCCCTTCACAACTATATTTATAACCTTCTATAAGCTACCGTGACTTTATTCTATCAAGGTTATGGCTTCATGATTCGCCCATTCAATGGATCCAGCGAACCTCTCATTCCAGGCGAATGCCTCAACTTGAAACACATCATGACCTCATTTCATTGATTGCTACTGATACTGGGCATAATTCAAAGCCTGTATACATGATCTCGCGCATCAAAAGCCTTCCTAAATTTGAGAGCTTGTCTTTCGCTTGATGAAGTTGAAATGGGGGAGCCCTCGAAATTTCCAATGCAAGGGTAGTAAAAAGGAGCTTGTGTTATTCAGATAGGACTTTGAGTTCACAAATTATCAAGTTCATACAGTGCCATGAATTTGACCATTGAAAGCCCCTTATTGAGTAGTACAATGGAGAAAAGGTGGCACAAAACAGGGGTGAGTCTTGTTAGGTTCAACGCACCGTTGCATCTTCAGCCCAAACTGCGGGAATGAATGACTGATGTCAATTCGGTATATGAATGGATAGGGATCCTGATACGCAAAAAACTTGAACTTGACTGACTGCGTAATGGGTTCCTAGAATTGCTCAAGATTTGTCGTCGCATATTATTATTCTTTTCTTAAGATGGCAGCCTGGGAGGTAACGAAAGTTCTGTCGCCTTCACTTCTTATCTTTGGTAAGAAAACAACTGCATACCGAAATTTAGCATTATTAAAACTGTAGGAGTGATCTACCTTTATTCATTGCCTTCCAAGTGTTTGGAACTTGGGCCAACCCCGTTACAAAAGAATCGGGCCCTATTATTTCTCAAGATGTCGCTGAATGTGCTTCGTCGTTTTCACCAGATACTGCGAGTACCGAATCTAAGCCATTAATTTCGGCATCTAATCACTTTTGATCGATCATTCCATCCGGATAACTACTGACCACGGATTTCTCGTAATAGGGAATTCATCAGCCTCCATCCTGTGGAGCTGAATACCCTTTAAGCTCCACCTATGCCGATAAGCTACAGTCTTGCAATACTATAACCGTAAGGCAATTTAACCTTGGGATATATAGGCAATCTCATCAATTTGAAACTAACGCCCCAGGAAGTGCCCTGACCTACAATCAGACTGCTGCTCCGGACAATGCGTCAATTTAACCAACAACGCTAATTTTTGCGGTGCCTGTTCCACATCCTGTATCAAACATAGATGTCCCGGAAAAATACCTAGTTGCTGTTCAGCAAAATGCGTCGATTTGTACATCAACAGTTTGAACTGCGGGGGTGCAACACTGCTGTGAGCATACGATAAATCCGATGCGCTTTACTTGCATCGGTGTAGGAAGCAATCCGGGGTGTTGCTCAAATTCATTTGTCTGTCCAACACTTCTCGCACCCACCGGTCCTGTCGTCTGTGTAAGCTTTTTCGAATAGTCTGTTATATGTTGACGTTTGAAGCTGACTTTGCTGGAAGTGCTTGTTGCCGTGTTTACTTGGTATATGTGCTCTATCGCCAGACTTGAAGAAAAGCAGATTATTAGTGCCTCTGTGAGAAGGCTTCAGAATTTCAAGTTGGCACTATGACATCAAGTGGTATTTTCCAGGTATATAGTAACAAGCATACTATGCTGCCCTCAACTTTTTTCATCACGACTCAAGTCTTTGTAGAAATAAACCCGTTCGAACCCGTCTTCGGTCCTTCGCCCCTCCTCAGAAAATCCCAACTTCCCATAGAATTGAATATTTTCGTACATTTTAACATTGGTGTAGAGTTCCAATGCTAACATATTCTGCGATATCGCGAAGCTTTCTGCGTACTTCATCAAAACGCGACCATACCCACGCCCCTGTCCTGCTGGGCTGACAACTAAATTGTTGATCTTCATTGATTTGGCACCATTGTCACAACTGAACATAATTGCACCGATCGAGGTCTGATTGTTGTCTTTTAAGACAAACACTGGGCTTGTTTGGATCACGGAGTGATAGTCCTCTAACATTGGAGCAGGTGGTTGACCAATCCGGTGGATATATTTCGAATAGGCGGAATCAACCATGTTTTTGATGGCTGGTACATCATCGACCGAAGCTTTGGTTATGAAAACCCCGAGCTGGGTGGACTGGGAAGGGGTCGTCATTCTCTCTGTTCGCTAGAAATAAACGATGACGCCATAACAACAAAACAAAACACAAGATCGGCTTGGCAGGGGGATCTTCCGTTGCGTGGACCCTTACTAGACAGTACTGAGTGGTAGCATGAAGGAGCGAACGAGATGGTACGAAAGGTGGTGATGAGATGACTACCTGAGGCTATCCAGAATGACTAAAGGGTGGGTTCGGGATGACTCAATCACGCTTTGATGCCTGAGCCCCGCAGACACTCGCAATTATTATCCACATTAAGCGAATTCCACGCTGATAGTAATCAAAAAATGATGCATATATCGCTACGTGTATTCTCAATTCCAGCCTTTCTCTAATTCTAAGCCCGGGCCAGTCAATAAAGGCAGTGCGGATGAGAGAAGTGGAAGGAATAGCTGCCATTAGCTATTTGGTCAACAGGGCATGTGGCAGTGAAATGACAGTATTACTAGTATAATATTAATTTTGGGTAAATTAAAACTTTCGACTGACCCGATATGGGGTTCCGTCTAATTGTGGTGGCTCTACCTTATTTGGAGGGCTATTATGCTTTTGGCTACGTCATATCTTACACAGAATCAGTTCGGTTTATCGAAAAGATTCAAGAAACAGAATTGGTGTGGGTGGAGAGCTCCCATTGATGGAATGAAGGTAGGAAAAGCCAGATTAATGGATGCCAGCTGAATGTTTCATACTGTGTGGATTGTATCCTGGGTGGGAGGTAAAGTGGTCGCATCAGATGGCCCCCATCCCGGTTCCTCGGTCACTTCCCACCCAACCTCTTTCACAGTTCCGGTCTCATTATTTCGGCTTCCTGGGGTTTCGACGAGGTGGATATCATCTTGTAATCGTGTGATACCTCCTTTACGACGGCTATGTGTGGCAGTGCCTGAGCTGTAGCCCTTGAGATAGCTTTGAGCTGTGCTACCTCCTTGGGTCATCCAGTCAGATGCATGACGCCGCAAAAATTGCCTTAGAAAGGGCAGGCAGGGGCAAATGACGATGAGATTTGATTCGACATTTCTGTGTCATATTATTTAGCTTGCTTCTATTTATATGGAAGCGACAGGGAAAGACTTACATCCAAATTTGAGGTTCCGCTATTTGATACGTAGGATCAGCTGTTGTAAGGGACGGGATTAAAGTTACAAGACGCAGAATGCTTGTTATCAGGGTTCTATAATCGACATTAAAATCATTTCAACATGGTCTAAATGAAAATATGTTAGAAGTTTGGTACTTACGCGCAGCCGATAGTAAATATCGCGAGCAGACCAACTTTCTGCATCCGTGGCATATGTAAGCCACATACCAATGGAATTGGAACCACGATGAGGGCCAGGTCTATAATTATATTGGTCACTGCCGTGGCAATATACAGACCATTGCGATCAATACAGGAGCCCCCTGTAATCGATGAATTCCAACTCCTTTGAATTGGATTGCAAGCGAATATGTGTGTGAAGATTGTCGCAATGCTGTAGCCACACACCACTGTGGAGATGACATATAAAGTCCATTTGTAAGCGGACCTTTTATTCATAATGCGATGGTATAGAATCAGCAGGCCCATTTTTGCGAATGCAAGAGCAGGAACGTATACCTTCAGCTGCAACTAGAACAACCTATTATCCCATAAATTATGAGCAACGCATGGTTTCATCAATGCGAATTTTCACATACCTTCTGATAAATTCCAAACATATCTGGTGTCGCGTTCCATAGGTGTATACCGATCCCCGCATTTCTATATCCAACTGATAACGATTATTGGTCACTGATACCCACCAGAGGCAATAGAACCAGCAGGGGATAACTTACAGATGCACATTATCTGCGTGAGAAAAGAGAAGAACTGTGTATGCATTGAGACGTTGTTAGTAAACATAGAATGGATAATCTATCTCTTGTACTCACCCAAGCGGCGATAATTGACACCATTGAATGAATTGTTAGTAACCAATGCATTGCATATCGAGTCAAGGCAGCTTACCGTCATCCCAACCGAATTTGCGTTAGAGTTGGACCTTAGTGTAAACCCGCATGACTAGGAAAGGTGTACAGAGAGAAAGCCCAACACCGATCAAAGTCATATTTTCCCTCAATCTCCAGGGATTGGAGTAGTCAAAATCAGCCGTCTCTCCAGGTGGCGGGGGAATGACGCCGACTTTATCTCTCATATTGAACCGTCCTGATGCAGGGTAAAAGCTGGGCTTCAAGAAATTTTGAGATATTTCCAATGTCACCCGAGCATCGGAAATGCAAGTGTTGTCCCATTCGCGTCTATTTGAGCAGCTTTGCTGTTGAGTAATTTCTGTCAAGCTAGTAGCCAGTAGCTGACGATCAAAATTTCGAGCTGCATGATTGAGAGGCAGTGGTTCTTGTGTTCCTGAATCTGGTTAAGATCTATGAGCGCTTACCGTTAGCGCATCCTTCGCTACGTCCGAATGTATCAAACCCCGATAGCCTTGCCCATAATTCTCCACAATTCGATCCTCCTGTGAAACTGGAGTGACTTGAAGGTTTATTGAGCAGGGATTAGGGGCTCATTGTAAATACCAAGTTCCACATCCTTGAGCAAACGTGCATAACTTGTTCTTCTGCCATGTAGGAGACGCTTAGGCCCCATAATTATAGACGCATTAACGCTCGAACGGCCGAGTTCGGATGATTTTGATGCATTGCACAATAGACAGACTGGTGATCTGTTCTTGTGATGGTCGCGCTCATCTGGCCATATTTACGGAATAGCACACACTGAAACTTTTAGTATTCGGAAAATTGGATCGAATTAATCCATGCCAGCCTTCATAAGCAAACCCAAGAGAATGTGCTAGCAGAAGCGGCTTCGGTCATCGTCCATAACAACCAGGGAATCATTATACGTTCAGTAGCTGTGATAAAAGTCAAGGGCCACTGATCGGTCTCAATATGGATATCTTAGTGTTATCAAAACACGCCAGGCCTACCTAACAAGGCGAAACTGCACGAGGCACGGAGTACAGATTATGCAGGCTTCGCATCGTCCTCAATTTTGGGGTCCACAGGCCGGTGTCGTATGCAGCTGTCACATTAGATACTGCGGTCGCAAAAGTGCGAGTAAGAAAAAGACAATGAGCATTCTTAGATTACGAACATTTATTTGTAGCCAATCAAACTGTCAGACATTTTGGAGGCCCGGGACAGTCGAGGGTCAACTTGTTTGACAACGAAGGATTCGTGGGTGGGGCGGAGGTTGATCCCGCAAACCTTGACACTCGATCAAAAAATGGTGAGAGAGCGTGATGTTCCAGATGGTCCAAATTTGGTCTGTGCATTTCCTGACACCATAAAATTCCGATGGGGCTTTTGGACGAGCTTGTAGGATGGGGAATAAGTCAAGGTGAGAAGGCGGGGAAAATGAATGTGGGTCTAGACAATTCGCGCCATGAAGCCGAAGGGCCGCACCGCTGTAATCTACTGTCATATCGTGCTCGTAGGTACTATTTAGTATGCTCCTGGCACCCGGTTCAAATCTTCAAACAGAGATAGCATGTTGTATTTCTTTTTCGAGTAAGTTTACTGTAATTACTCAACTAGCCTTCCGTCATCTCTTACTATAAACAAGACCCTCTCGTATTCATTACCACTCACCTGGCACAACTAAACTCGAGGTTCGAAAGTTTGTGTAGGATGGTATGTACGTACATTATTTCCGGAAAGGAAGCTATAGCCTTCAACTTAGGATACTGAATACAAAAACATCTTGTTGGAGTCAATTCCTTACTCTCAAGTTTGAAAGAGGAAGGGGGCGGTGGTTTTGTTCAGACGTAATCAGAAGGCCACGGTCAATTCATTCCATCAAAAGTCTTTTAACCGATTATGCATGCACAATCCTTTGAGTTTTCCTATTTTTAATCAAGGACAAAAGTATTGAATAAAGTTCTATCATGGAACAGTTTCTCGTCTGTGCAGAGATCGGCTTCTCGATGTGGATATCTTGATCCACTCCAAACCGTAACTTATTCTGCGCAAATGCCATGTATGTTTTGGCGGACTCCCTGGGGCATAGATTACCGGGAAGAACATCATATTTGGCCAAAAGTTTTCAGAAGGTAGTATTGTTGTGAAACACACTTCAGATTCTCTGTGTATGATTCTCTCCATCCAGGATTTATCAGAGAGACTCAAAGGTGTACTCAGATCTGGTGACCAGGAACGTAATTCTCTCAAATTTATACCTCTCCAACTCAAAGTAGTTTGCTACAAACCAATATAAATTTTGTGCAGCTTGGCATGTAAAATATTATGGATGCCGATGTAAGTTTTCTTCCGTTTGCAACTTGAACATATCCCTTCAAATGGACCTAGTTGGTAAATCGAAGAAACAGGCGGTCGGGCTACTTCTGATATAAAAAGTAAGTTTAGAGAAAGCTGGAATAATTTGGATACGGAAGGACTTGAAGAGTAAAGGGAAACTCATTAAATTTTCTTAAAGCCGTAAGGACATATCTGTATATACATATTCAATCGATTCAAATACCGTGACCGGCATGTCGTGAAGAGTCTGATCGTGATGTGTTATCGTCGGAAACGACTTCAATGTCAACCTGCTTCGTGATCCCCGGATTCAGATCACGAGAAAAGCTATGGTCGCCGCCGGTTGCGGCGCTGTTTTCTCTGTCAAGAATGTGATCTATGCTGCCATACTCCAGGTCATGAGGTTTGCTGAACTTGCTGCGCGACTTGCGCGTCTGAGTGCCATCGTTTGGGTTTGTTCGACGGTTACTGAAAGGACCGCTGAGCTCATATGACCGAGTGACGCTAGAGAGCTTTCGTACAGACGAAATAATCAAGGGGCGAATGCATGGAATCGACGAGGTGATAATGATGATGGCGTTTTCGATGTATCCCCAGCGGATCAACTCAATTCCACCGGCAGAGCCAAGGTTTGTGATGCTAGGTAAGGTATCGAGCTTGGTAGTCTTGATGATGGATGCCACCATAGCACTTAAAGGTCAGTATATATGCGAAGAAACAGAAGCAAGAAAGACTAACACAATGCCCAGGCTGAGAAGACCAATCAAACTGATCTTGATACGCAACTTCAAGTTGAGATTCCAGAAAACAACGGTCGGAAATACGGCCAGAAATAAATCGGCAGCCGAGTTGAAAGCTATGACGGATTATATTAGAAATGTTTGAGGTGAATTAGTATAGGAAAACTCACTGTTAGAGAAGTACGCGAACTTGATGACTGCGTCTGTATCCCCGCAAGTGGTTTTGACAAGTGGATCCCAGAGGATGTTCACGTTCTTGCAAATGCTCAATGGCAAAACTGCCGATGCAATATTCCCAGCAAGCTGGATGGCGAGAATAACCCATAGTGCGATCTTGTATGCCTTGTTTGTCCCAAGAACTGCGACAAGATATATGATAAAAGACGTTCGAGCGAAGGTAGTACTGAGGGTAACGATGGGGATTTGTATGGCGATGTATTTCAAGACTAGGGAAGTGTCGTGGGTAAAGGGGTCACCCAGGGGCTTGCCGAAGCCATGATCGACGGAAAGTGTGAGAAAAACGGTCGAGACAATTGCCGAAATCTAAAGCCAAAGACGTTAAGAAATTGTGTGCAGGACTATAGTTTGGAGTAGTCAAGTCCATACCGATGCGATGATCATCAGTACATCGTCAAAGTGAAAGCGGTTGATCTTCACCTTAGCAAAGACCCTAAGGATTACAACCAAGGCCGCGATGATCACCGCGACCCAGATCCCTCGTTCGAGAGCCGGGCCGTGGTTTGGTATGGCCTCTGTCATAACGATTCCGGTGCAGGATTGGCGTGGTGATGATGCCTAGGTGCGCATTGCTGAAACTGCGTGGATATGTGCCCTTAAAAAGAAAGCATGACGATATTCTTGTGCTTGGGATTATACTTTTTAATAACTTTTGAGTCTGGTGGCTGAAAATTGGCCTTCGAGGGACAAAATTCGGCAGTGGAGGGCAACGAGTCTGGTTCACCCGCAATCGAACATGATCAGGTAAGTGCTGAACGACCTCCGGTTGCCCCTGGTTGAAGGCTAAACAATCTCCGAAAGACCAATTATCAGCAGCGTTGTTCATAAATTTCCGGACCTCTTAAATTATGTGGCTGTCCGAACAATCAAGTTCCCTGGCCCATGTAAACTCTGATCGATTGATTTCCCCACCGGGATCGACCTGATAGGGCTAGGGCTAGCCGATCTGAGACAAATTGATCGCCCATATTCGGGTGTGCCTTAAATTGCGTAACAAGATAGCAGCACGGTCTCCGTGGCTTTCCGGCTAAAGAGTTTTTGCCAACCCAACCAAGCATCAACCAAGCATTACAGCTGGAAGGATTCTGGAAGGTTGCCGATTCCGTCGATATCATGCTGGCTGGTCGAGATAGAAAAGCGTTTGCCACCAGGTTGATCGGTTAATGTACGGCTCAAGTACCGAAACTAAATGCCTCCGGAGTGACACGATCGCCGAACCATGTGGGAGTACGGAGTAACTAGTCCACCGCTCGGTTCATTCCCAGTCAACCCCATGCATATATCCACTGGTTCTGTTAGTAGTGTGCCGACTTAGACGCACTGGGGAACATCTCCGACAGGCTTGTGGACAATCAATCCTTAGGGGTTTTGCCATTTTCAGACCGAGGAATGTCTGCTTCCCCCATATAATAGCAATCGACCTGCCGATCGGCAAACTTAACCACACTTCCATTCTTTTCCTCATCCCCACCATGAAGATTTGGCTAGCAACAGTTGCGGCTCTTGCCTCAACGGCACTTGCTGAATCCCAATGTCACTGCTTGCCTGGAGATAGCTGCTGGCCCGCCACATCGGCATGGTCTTCATTGAACAACACCGTCGGGGGTCGTCTGGTTGCGACCGTGCCCATTGGCACCCCTTGCCACGCACCCACCTATGATGCCGCCGCCTGTGCGGCGCTGAGATCCAACTGGACTGAGCCGTTGCCCCAGTAAGTGATGCACGTCCTCCACTAAGTGCCATGTCGCACCCCAAGGAGTCGTGGTATACTAATCTTGGGTTCTAGTCTCGAATCGTCCTCTTCTGTGATGCAGACTTATTTCGCCAACCAAAGTTGTGATCCCTTTACCGCAAAGAATCGACCATGCCTGCTGGGCAATTTCGTCAGCTATGCCGTCAATGTTTCCTCTAGCAAAGATGTCGTCGCGGCTGTGAACTTTGCCCGGGAGAATAATATCCGTTTTGTTATCAAAAATACTGGCCATGAGTGAGTTTTCTTTTCCAGTTCTTATTTTTGGGTTTATGCCACTGAATAATTGCTAACCATACTTAGTTACCTTGGCCGTTCGACCGGTGCCGGTGCTCTCTCTGTATGGACCCACTACCTGAATGCTATTGAATACAAGCAGTGGTCGGACTCTGCCTACCAGGGTGCTGCATTCAAGGTCGGTGCCGGTGTTATGGGTTATCAAATTCTTGAGGCTGCCAAGTCCAAGGGCCATGTCATTGTCACTGGTGAATGCCCAACTGTTGGACTGGCCGGTGGTTACACCCAAGGCGGCGGTCATAGTGCTCTGAGTACAGAGTTTGGTCTCGGCGCCGATCAAACTCTCGAGTTTGAGGTTGTTACCGCGGCTGGAAAGAGTATAGTCGCTTCTCGGTCTCACAACGCCGATTTGTTCTGGGCCCTTAGCGGCGGTGGAGGCGGCAACTACGGTGTCGTTATATCCGTGACCGTGAAAGCTTACAACGATGCGCCCATCGCCGGCGGTTCTGTTCAATTCACCGCTGCGAATATCACCACGGACACCTTCTACGAGGCCGTGTCTGAATTTCATCACCAGCTCCCGAAGATGATCGACCAAGGTGTTACTGTCATCTACCAGATGACTGCCAGTGTTTTCATCATCAACCCTCTGACCGCATACAATCAAACTTCGGCCGAGGCAAAGGCCATCCTCGCTCCTTTCCTCCAAACCCTGACCAAGCTTGGAATCAATTATAAGGCTGCTTTCACTCAGTTTGATTCATACTATGATCACTACAATAATTACATGGGGCCTTTGCCGTGGGGAAATCTGGCCGTCGCCGCATACCAATATGGTGGTCGTCTGATTCCTCGTGATGTTCTGGAGAACAATCCCACCGGTATGGGTACTGTACTGCGCAATCTGACTCAAAACGGTGTCATTGCTGTTGGAGTTGGTATGGATGTCTCAACCCCTGGCAATGTTTCCAATGCCGTTTTCCCAGCTCTGCGCAATGCTGCCATTACCATGCAAATTGGAACCATGTGGAACGAGACTGCTCCCTGGTCTCAAATGGTCGCCGATCAGTACAAGATCACGAATGAGTATGTCCCACAGCTGGAGGCTCTTACTCCGGACAGTGGCTGCTATCAGAACGAGGCCAATTTCCGTCAACCGAACTGGAAAAAGACCTTCTTTGGTGACAATTATCGTCCCTTGCTCTCCGTGAAGCAGAAGTGGGACCCCAGTTCCTTTTTCTACGCCTTCAAGGGCGTGGGTAGTGATGCCTGGTCTGTCTCCGAGTCAGGACGGATGTGCCGCGCTTGAAGAAACTCCTACCAAAATTTTTGATATAGGCAGCGAATCTGCAAACTCACCTGGGCAGACTTAAGAAGTACCACGGTGTTGTGAAGGATATATAAATGCAGTGATGCAGTATACTAGAACATGAGATATTAATAGCGAAATTGAATTTATTCCCGCAAGGCTAATGAACTGAATTCGATGAAGAAAAATAAATGTCTTTTTTCTTCAAGTTTTCCAGATGCCTGAGTCACTTATCTATAAAATATTATGGTATGTGTTGAGCACTGCCCAGGTCACGGTGGAGATCCATGATGGAAGTTTCGAAGGTCCACCGATGAAATCCATTCCAGGTTTCATTCAAGTTAGTAGTTACTACTAGTAGTAGTAGGTTCCAGACACAGTCCAAGGTTCCAGCAGAGGAAAAATGACTTGGCAGGTGTTCCCAAGGTCCTCACCTTGGAGGGTTCATAAGTTATAAAACCATGTACTACTGTCCCAACCCACCTCGCTATATACATTCCTACCTAGGTACCGTCGGAGTCTATCTCCTTTCAAGTTCCAAGGTTGTTTTAACAAGCCTACGCACAGAAATATACCAGCTAAGTCCGAGTCATGTTATGGACATAGTACCACTTGACAGATCAAGAGGGCATCCCTTTTTTGGTTGAGAAAAGCGAGTATTAGCCCAGATCCTGAGGGAAATTTGGTAGGCCAGTGTCAGTGCAGACAATAGCCGCTGGGCCTGCTGGATGCACGCCGTGAGACATTTAGCGCCAATGGGGAGCATTCTGCAGGTCACTTCTCTCTGACGTCAGGAACTGACACGCGCATTGACACATGGCCAACATGAGAAAAACTGCGTGTCTCATGGCGACCGAGATGTGTCTAACATTCCTAGGTTGGCAGATAGAAGGATAGTCACCTGGGAGTCATGCCCAAGGAAGGCCAATCAGAATGAAATTCCGATTCAACTAAGCCCATTGGGGGCTAATTATAACGCAGGGGTGGAATCGACGAATCATGTTTGCGAGATACAATAATAAATTCAATGGTTCAATTCACCGATGGCTCGTTGGTTGAATGTGCCCGGTTCAAAGACTTTCTTGGGCAGGTCTCAGAATAAGAGCCCGAGCGGCGCTTGATCATATCGCGCATGTCATTAATTCCGAACAGCAATGCATGGAAGCCAAGCCGGGGGTAAAGGTCTGGCAAGGGGCTCCGATCCAAAACACTGTGGAGGTGACAACACAATCAGCCGGCTATCCCTTGATATGATCACATCGGTTTGGAAGTCGACTGCAGTCCGAGCAATCCGCTGCGCTCCACAGAGGTTTTACGTATCTATGCCAATGACCTATAGCCTGTGCCTGCTCAACCCAGACCTGTATGATTTCGACAACTTGTGATAAAGTCGATCCTGCAGATCAGGGGGATAGAGAAGTGGGCCCGCCCTACCTTGAGCGATCTCTTCTGCCAATCAAGTCGGCTGGCGACAAGAATGCATACTTATTCTCCAATTCAATTATGTGTCTAAGAACCTGCATTTCGCGCCGAAGCTATCATATTTAAGCAGCGCGTCTTCGCTCCGGATTACCCCTAAGTAGGTCATTTCATGCTGGCACATCCTCGAACAATGTTGTTCTCTCGTGGTCTTTTTGCTCCGGTACTCATCCCTTTCCTTCTATCAGGCGGCACTCTTGCCAACGACGCCCTTGAACGAGCAGAAGAAGCTTTGCGCACGCTGCAGGACTACTACAACGATGGTACTGGGATGTGGAATACCATTGGATGGTGGAATGGCGCGAATTGTTTGACTGCGATTGCAGATCTTGCTTTAGTTGATCCATCAGTGGTGGAGACTGCTGACTACGTCTTCAACAACACTCTGAATAAGGCACCACCCTCCAACCCCAATCCCGGTCCCGAAGTGAAGGCAACCTCCAAACGGTCATTGTATTCCCGAGCTGGCGGCTCAGCGAACGCATCGCAGTGGCTCGACTCCGCTTATGATGATGACGCGTGGTGGGCCCTCGCATGGATTGCTGCATACGATGTCACGGAGGATAATACCTACCTATCGCTGGCCGAAGGTATCTTTGCTGCTTTGGTTTGTATTCTACTTGATTCATATACAAACATCCTCGCGCTAACGAACACAGACTAAAGCTTGGGGAACTCGGTGCGGTGGGGGCGGCATACCATGGAACCCTACGGACGGATACATCAATGCGATTACGAATGAATTGTTCCTCTCTGTGGCAGCGCACCTATCCAATCGCGTCCCATCAAGAAAAAGTGATTATGTGAATTGGGCGATCAAAGAATGGGACTGGTTCACCGCTCAGGGGTTCATCGGTGAAAACAATACAATCAACGACGGATTATTGGACAATTGCCAAAACAACGGTGCTACAGTGTACGACACCCCAGTCCCCTAAGAAATCATTCGTTCATATATTTTAACGATTGAATAGATGGTCCTATAATCAGGGAGTTGTTCTTGGAGGGCTCGTCGAGCTGAACAAAGCGGCCCCCAATGACACCTACCTACAATCTGCGAATAAAATTGCACAAGCTGGGATTGATACACTCGCTGATTCGAACTACGTTATTCATGATTGGTGTGAGAATACCGATTGCGAACCAGATGGTACCCAGTTCAAGGGAATATTCATGCGGAACCTGCAAATGCTGCATCGAGCATCGCCAAATGAGATCTACAAAAAGGTCATACAAAATTCCGCGAATAGCATCTGGGAGAATGATCGGAACGAACAGGGCCAATTCGGTGTAAACTGGGCTGGTCCTCCTTCCGCTGGAAACATAGATGCCTCGACGCAGAGCTCAGCCTTTGACGCGCTGGTTGCCGCAGCGGCAATCTAATTATTACGACAATGAAATGAAAACTATGTTGCTTGATTCCACGCCCGCCTATGAGACAAAGCTATCAGTCTCATGTAAAGATCAGAAGTACTCAAAATGACATGATCCGTAAGCGAGTTCCTCATCACCAAGAAATGCTCCTTCATCTAGTAGGCCCCCTGGCGCGACACCCAAGAAGGCTGTGGGGCAGGATCCGGCTTCGTGTAACCTGAGCGGGTTACAGCCGTGGGGGTCAGTTCAAGATTTACGAGCTGGGCACCTTGCTCGTCTTGTGCCCAGAGAGTTAATGCAATATAGTTCAACCCGTTGTGGTTCAAAATCCCTTCTGGTACCGGAAAGGATACCTGTGGGCCGAGATTGTTGACTGAAAAAGCTGTTAGCCTTCATACCCTTGGTGGGCGGGGTTTCGGAGTAACACTCACTATATTTGCCAAACTGATACCCGTTCACAAAGAGCTGGCATCGGTAATTTGATCCAAAACTGCCGGATTCAGGTGATTCCGCTGCAGATCCATTGAACACAAAGCTCATCGGGACGTCCCATCCTTGGGGAATATCTAGACTGAAAGATGTAGTGAAAAATCCAACGCCGGCTGTTGCAATTCCGTCTTTTATTGGGCTAGATGAAAGCCATTTCGAGGCTGGCGGCTTCGTATTATGATAGCCTTGCCTCTCGGCATACATGGCACCTTCGTTTAGAGGTCCTCTGGCGAGATCATGATACTGTTCGCCGCCAAGATTTCCCGTAACTTTCCACGAAATATCAGTTTGGCTATGGTTTAGCAGCTGGTAGCTGAGGATACCATGCGGAAACTTGATTGCATCAGTACCGGGGGCCTCCTCATCTTGGCCCATATCGTCAATCAAAATGGTCAGCACATAAGACTGCCCAGCAGAGAGATTATTGGGAAACTGCAGATTTTGAATCGCGGTGGTATTTGAGCCACTCCCGGTCCAGGATCCAAGGAATGTTTCATTCAGCCAGATGGAATGTCCGAAGCCAGTTCCACCTGACACATTTAATGAAATTAATGATTCCATTCCATTTGCAACAAAATGGCCACGATAGATCAACGATCCGGTGTGGAATCCATAGTCCATAGAATACAGATTCGTAGGAGTATCCAGACCTCTAGGATTGTTTGTGGTCTTCTTCGAGCAGGGTGTCCATTTTGAATCGTCATAGCCGGGTTTTATTTCGGGTAATGAATCAAGGAACTTCCAGTCTAAGTTGGCTAGACTTGGTATTTTGATTTTGGGAGGGTTGTACTCCAGCGTTGCTGTCAATTTTCCCGACTTTGTGCGCGAAGTCTGCACTTCATTTTCATTGAAAATGATAGTTTTCAAGTTGCGCATCGGAGCAGAAATTACCTCAATCTCTGTTGTGGCATTGATGTCGCCTGTAACTCGAATCGTCTGATCCTCAATCCAAATGGAGCGAATGAGATTTCCGCCCTTCACGATGACCATATCCTTAGACGGCGAAGAAAAATTGCCGATCGGCTCTTCAGCGGCCAATTCCAATGGCCAATATTCGTAAGCCTCGTTTCGCCAAAGAAGGTGTATCTCGAGATCAGAAACGCGCACTATGCGGCGTTCTCGCTTGACCTGCCATTGTATCACCCATGCTTGGCCTTTCGGAGTGAGGGTGACGTCGGAACCCTCAACAACAGTCGGATTTCCAAGATGACGAGACAAAGCAAACTCATGAAGCTCGCCTGCTCCGCCGTAAAGAATCAGTACACGTGCCGAACCCGCTCCGCGTGCCCATGTGAATATCTCAGCTGTAGAGTATATCAGATTAATGCCGTCCAGATTATAATCTGTAACGTGGAACTTGGAATCTCGCCCGTTGAGATTGAGGTGGCCACCAAGCTGTGGTATGCTGATGTTTCCAATGCTTGTGGGTAGATGCAGTGTATATTTGGTGTTGCTAGTAGAGCTGAAGTTGGCGTGCCTTACTAGGTAGAAGTTCGTTTGTGTGTCGTTTCCACGGAGTGGGGTTACAGCGATGGAAGCTGGAGCCCCGTAGGAACCATTGAAACCGAATCCTGGCGTTGCTGTCAAGTATGCTCGTGAAACCTTCAGGAAGTTTGCTTCCAATTTCTGCTCGCTGTACTTTTCACGCGAGATGCCCCTTGCTTCGGTGATGGCTGCGCCGTAATCATAAGAGGTATAACCTCCTTGGTAGCCAAGATTTCCCCAGTTTGTACCACCAAAAGTCTACCAAAGGTATTAGCATAATCTCAATCTATCCACCAAATGAAACTAACGAACCATGTAAATATTGAATATCTTAACGCCAAATCCATAATTATTTTTGTAAACCACTCGGACGGCCTCTTCGTTCACGAGTTCAGCGCATTTATCCTCGACGACGCCTCCCCTACCGCAAATTAAATAAGCGCGTTAACCGAAGATGGGATAGGATTGGCTTACCATCCTCCGCCTGACCCTCCTTGAAACTCGACGATGGAAAAGGGTGTGTTTGGACTGTACTTTTCATGAAGAGCTTGCCAGTCATAAGGGAATCTATAAGTAGGCCAGAATGTTGGATTACCGCCTTTTGTTCTCTATCGTCAGCAAATAGATATACGCCGGTAGCGATCTCTTCTCACTCACAGTCGTAACGCAAAGGGTACGAGTCAATTCCGTAAATATCTGTCGCTCCAAGGCCGGACCCTGGAGCCCAGTAGCCCAAGGCCTTATTGTCATTCACGATGAGAGGGACAGTAATGCCAGTATTTAGCAGCTGCTTTTCGACATATTTCATGTATTCCCGGTTCATTTGGGTCGGAAATTCCTCTTCAGATACATCGGGCCATGTTGCGTACTCGTTCTCAGGTTGAACCATGATCACAGGGCCCCCCGTGGGTGATCTGTGCTCTCTCGATAATTCGGCCCATTGTTGACATATATTTTTCCGTTGTCCTAAGATATTCAGGGTCGTCGGAGCGGATGGTCGCGTTGATGCGCAAGACCCACCCTGGAATACCTCCCGCTGTCGTCTCTGCATTGATGTACGGCCCAGGGCGAGCGATAAGGTATATTCCAGCTTCGGTAGCGGCATCGAAGAATTTATCAAGATTCCATATTCCTTCGGTGACAACCTGTCCCGGATTACCTTCGACAAGGCTCCAGTCGACGTAGAAAGATACTCCATTGAAGCCCATGCTTTTAATCTTCTGAAACACATCGAGCCACAGACCTGGAACTGGAAGTCGGAAAGGGTGAAATTCACCCGAGAAAATCATGATTCGCTCGCCTCTAACAAATACTGAATGCTTGTCCCAAGTGACCTGTCAGGGTCAGTTCAGTATAATAACCATCCTGATCTGTGTAAATTTCGACTTACTAAATCTTGCAAGCCATTTCCTGTTTCAATCAGCTTTGCATCGACAGAGCTACTTAGTAAGGCTGACTGTACTTGCAGTCCGAGAAGCCACATGGCGACTCGTAAATAATTGAAAAGTAACATCTTTCTGAAAGCAAACAGCAAGGATCATTTCAAAATTGCATTGCCAGTTACGCCAGTATTCACTGAGAGTGGGGTTTTATTAAACACAAACTATTCTAACCCCCACGTCTCCATGAATTATCCTGCGGGGTATTGGAAGAGGAGATGAATGATCAAGTGAATCTGATTGAGGGAAGATTTCGGGAATGGCATGATCGGCTAAACCCACTTCTCCACATTCCATGGAGCGAGCTTGTACATACTAATAATAAGTAGCAATCATTAAAGATCGCCGCTGTTTCAAATAGCAAGAGTGGTTGCCAAGGCAGGGTTCCGGTTAAATGAGCCCAGCTGTTTATCCATGCACAGGTGAAAAATGTAGGACGGTCGCCCTTACTTGACCAAATCCATCACCTCCAGGCTTCCAAGGTTCCAGTGGGCAAATATTACATAGCCCAGTGCTCGATACTAGTATATATATGGTAGGTACATGTTCTGTTCTAATAACAAAGACTGAATCCATATCCCGGAGTCTTCTATATGTGATAAATGTGTATATGCAATCGACCCTGCCGCATCTCTTGCCGGTTTTAAATTCATGAACACAAAAGTACCCGCCGAGTAACCAATGGGCTTCCTAGCCAGCCCTAGTAATAACCAACTCTAGGTTCCAGATATCTGAGAGCTTTTACTCACTACTATGCGCTACGCATTAACAATTATAAATTCACAAGGAAGGTCATAATCAAGTGTTAAATTTCAAGACTTGCGCGGCTACGGATTGAATTTTTGCCTTAGAATTTGTTGTAGAGGCCGTTCGCGAAATGAGCTAATCCATGGATGCAACTTTAAATCAAACCCCGAGAACCATCTAGATGACATCATGTTTCAATCATCTGCGCATTCCATCGCACCCCCCGCCTTTCTTCGTCTTAAACCTTTAACAATTTCAATCACTGCTATCAACAGTGTCTATACGATGGAAGCTCATATAAAGCCACTCCTCTTGCATGCGCATGCTACGGGTCCCAATCCGGTCAAGATTGCGATCGCCTTGGAAGCCCTTCATGTGCCATTCTCTGTGAAACTCTGGGATATGAGCGACGAGCCGGACAAAGGTGTGAAGGGTACGACTTTTCTCAAGATCAATGAAAACGGACGTGTTCCTGCCCTTGAGGATCCGAATACAGGAGTTGTGGCGTGGGAATCTGGAGCATGCATGAATTATATCCGGCGAGTATACGACCTGGGCAATCAGATTGGACCATCCGGAGGATCAGCGCAAGATCTGGTTGATTTTGAGAAATGGGAGTATTTTCTACTGTCGACTCTTGGCCCGATGACTGGACAGGTGAATTGGTTCAGGTACGCCCTGCACTTAAATCAGTCCTGGTATCCAGGCAATCACTAATCAATTCACAAGACACTATCACTCGCAGAAGAATGACGATGCGCTCCAGAGATATGTTGCTCAAACATACCGATGCTATGATGTTGTGGAGGAACAATTGAAAAAGTCAAGTGGAACAAGCATCCTACCGAGCAGAGTGAGCGCAGTCGACTATCATTTCGAGCCGTGGGTCAGACAGCACAAGTTCGCTGGCCTCTCTTTGGATAAATATCCCTTGATCACCAAGTGGCTTGGACTCATGGGCTGCCGAGAGGAGGTCCAGGAGGCGTATTGCAAAATCCAACACGATGCAAAAAAATGATCAATGCTAGTTAAAGCCTTCTCATTGCCAGATCCGCTTGAAATTTAACTCATTATTTCCTTGCGATTGATATAGTTGTAACAAATAATAAATATTGAACCTTCAACAAATTCCCACTATCTCACAAAAGAGCGGTGTACCACCCCGGTTAATATTCCCTGGGGGACAATGACAGGATACAAAAGCAATGCTTTCCCGTCATGCGATCTCCCAGGCATCTTACCGCCGCGCACATTAACCTGCATCGCTTGATGTACGATTCGGGGGTCGGTGAGGACATTATCACGCTCGGTCCTCCAGCGAACGAAATCATCTGCCGAAGCACTATTCTTGATGTGTTTGTTCATTTCATTCTGCTCGCCGACCGTCACGCATGGTGTAGGATCTCGAGCCGCAGCCTCGTTTGCCGGCGGGTAGTCATGGCCAGTATACAGTCGCGTATTGGGAGGAAAAGAGAGCAGGCGTTTGATCGATGTGAAAAGGACTCTAGCATCGCCACCGGGGAAGTCGCAGCGCGCACTACCAACATCCGGATTTAAAATACTATCCCCTGTAAAGATATTCTCCCCGATGAGATAGCCCATTTGATCGGGCGTATGTCCGGGCAGATGTAGTGCGGTCGCTGTCAGATTGCCGATCTGGAATTCCTCATCCGAACCGAATAGATGCCCAAAAGCATTCTGTAGTTCTTCTTCTGGAACATTATACCGGCTTGAGAAAACCTTCTGGGTATAAGTAACGTTTTCACCTATTGCAATTGGGACATAAGGATGGCCATTTTTCCAGAGTGCACGTTGTATGTAATAAGCAGCAGTAAGGTGGTCGCCGTGCACATGTGTTTCCAGGATCCAGGTAACAGTGTAATCCTTTTCGCGGATTATACAAAGCAGGGCGTCGGCCGAGCGACTCGTTATTGTAAAGACGGCCGGTTCGTAGTCAAGGACGGGGTCAATGATGGCTGCTTCTCTCGTCGTTGGGCAGGCCACGATGTACTGCCAGGTGCCTGTTTTCGGCTCAAATGAAGTGTGGATTATTGGCTGCATGTCGGATGGTGACTTCAATGCGCTGGCAAAGATTTGTCAAATTGGGAGACGGCACAGGCTAAAATTCACTTGCTCGAATGAATAGAATTCGGTGTGGGTATTACGTATTTATAAGTCATGGTTGACACTTGGAGGCGATTGCGTCCGTCCGTGCAAAAGGAATAGATGAAGGAACAAGAGAAAACTCATTCCTCCGATGGAGCATGGTAGAGACTAAATGCACAATGGCTATCTAATTTCTCATGGGCCGCTTCGTGGCTCATGCAGGCTGGAACCTGTCATCACATCTTAGGACCCCCGCCATTGAGCGCGAGGTCAGGTCTAGATCCTCCACCTAGAAAGCCTAGAATTGATCGAAAATCATTTCACGATGGTTTCAAGGAAGCAGTTATTTATTTCCCCGGGTTGGCGATAAATGGAAAGTATTGCGATTCGGAGAACTTGAACATTCCAAAGCATTTTCGGAGGCAAAAACCTCCAGGGCTGAAGTTAAATCCATATTCTTCAAGTATGCTTACGTTACTGCATATTATTAAAGGGTCACCCTAACGACACCAAAGCAACTTTGGTCAACACCACATAATTAAACTTCAATTCATCAAATCCATGGAGTTGTATTAATTTCCTGAGACTATGCAGTCCCGGGAATACATCCTCTCGTATGGTCTAATAGTTATGGCGACCGAGAGCACGGCATTTCGAGCAAGGGGATCTAGTAATTACAATCGCCAAGAACAACAAGACTTCAGTCTTTGAAGACAACTTAGTTATCATAGTATTGGGCTCTCTAGACATAAAGAAAGGGTGGGCTGTCGCAGCAGCCAAGAACAAACGAAAAGAATTGCTAACCGGGAAAAATGTCGCGTGTACTGAGCTCCATCTCATTAATATCTTGTCAATTATCCCGAGGTCAAAGGTATTACCGTGACACTGCTCAGCGAACACAGTGCAGGTAAAATGTTTTGGGCATTAAGCGGATTAGATATCTGGTTACCCGAATCCCATGTGGCCATACCAACCTTCGTTTTTGCTTTCGGCTTTTCTTGCACGCGAATATCCGCAGGAAACCCTACCCTTTTTCTTTTGACTATCCTGATCAAGATATTGAGCAAGAGCACACTTTTTGACAATCACTGAATTCCGACTCTGTAAATCACGTTTTTTCCTGTTGGTCTCACCTCGCGAGTAGGAATGACCTTTATCCAACGTTGCATGCGTAGTTTAACATTAATCAATCGCATGTGTTGGGTTATGCCCGAGCACACTAGCCGAAATAAACGGTGCTCGGGGAAATTTGACTTGATATAGATCCGCCACTGGACGAGTACCGGTCTCCATCTATGGTTTCGATGGGATCAACCCAGCGGGCGACTTCAAGATCCAAGGTATGTCCTTTGTGGTTAAAGCGACACTGCCAGCTTTTCACGCCCTTGCAGTTAGGCTTCTGACATAGGTGCCCCAAGAAGCACTTCATTGAACGACAGGCGGCCCCCTTCGTGCAGGGGTGTTGCTGGACAACGTAGCGGAGGACGTCAAGAACAGTTTCGGAGACATCGGTGTGGTCATAATGACAGTTCATATCCCCACATTCACCTGACAAATGATAGCTGTTGCAAACCTTGGCGATCTTCGCCCGGTGGTGATATTGATCGAGAGCTTCCGATGTAGGCTGAGGGCAGTAGGTATCTAGACGGTCGCCGTCTTTATTGACGGGGATGTATTCCGTGGATTTGAGATTCTGAGGCGGTAAGTGGGTAGAGAGAAACTCCTGGGATCGTCCCACGATATGTGGTGTTGACCAAAGTTGCTTTGGTGAAACGTCTCCGGGCCGAGACAGACTCTGATTGGGCATGACGTGTTGCTTGATGCAGCCACTTCCAAACTTGCAGATTCCCTGTCGACGTGTCAGTTCTGAGTTGGCACTAGATCAATACCTACTAGTAAGAGCGGGGAATGGTACTTTTTGGAAGTGTTTGCAAATAGGCTTCGTGGGCGCCGCCCCATTCGTAGCATGAGTGCCATTAAATCCGTTCGAACCGTTGGTGCCATTTGTAGGGGAATGGGCCGGCTTGGCATTGACCCCAGGCACCGGTTTTCCATTAGTAACAAGAGAAGTGGACATGAAAACGGAGGGCATTTCCGCAATGGGAAGATCTAATTCTTCGAATTGCCGGTGGAATCCAGCTGCCTTGATGAGGGTGATGCGGTCACTTTTGCCCTTGTAGGGGGTCAAAAG